TCCAGGGATAGGTAAGTATGGCAGGTGATCTAAGTTGCTACGAGTCACGAAAGCCAACCCCAGGGCAACTGCTTTGCGAGGTTAGGATGGTTTAGGATAACTGTTGTTCATAGCACAAGACATCCTTCCAACACGACGTATTTCTTTCTGAAGCTACCTAATACCTATATACCCAGTATAAGCCAAAGACCATTGCCACAGACCGACGTGGATCCGTAGCTCACCTCGGCTCACCGAGATGCCGGTAGGACAAAGCCTGCCCTAACGCCAACCAAGCAGGCGAAGGAACGACCACAACCACGTTGTAATGCAGATAAGTAGATGCCTATATTAGGAAAGAGGGCTACTTGTAAACAACAGCCTCTTCCGAGACTTAGTCTCAGGCTAGCCTTGCAACACTCACTAGCTCGGTGAGAATTATCTTAAGATAGGTAGGTAGGCACTTTAGTTTTTCTACACCTAGGTAAGACCGAGGCATAATCTGACTTGATATACTCTGGGCCTGGAGCGTGATCACGAAGAGCAACCACCTACCTACCTATCTACCTACCTACTACTTAGGTACTCTCCTTTCTCGTGATGCAGCCGTCGTAGTTTAGGATTTAGGGTCGTGTCGTATGTTTCGCAAATCTAAGTAGGTAGGTACCTAGTAGACAGGGAGCAGGTTATCTGTATACTTAGGTATATAATGCGTATATATCGTCGTAGTGTTCGTAGGCTTGTGATTCTCTGTACAACAACGAGACTGTTCCCATGACTTCGGATCTGGCCTTGTGATATTCAGGGACAAGGTCTCTGCCGTGCTACATGAACTCGCGGGGAGGTGAAGGGAGCATGTGCTTGATGGAAGGGGGTGGGTGTTGTGTCTGCTGTCGTCCTCCGTGCCAAGTAGGAGAGGAGGGGGGGCATTGTATAAACAGATGCGAGACTTCCCTATCTGTTTCCCCCCGTTACCAGACGCGAGAAAGAGGTCATCAGTAATAGAACTTTCTACCTGTACAACGACCGAAGGGGAATGTTACGCGTAGGTACGCCACAATGAGTGTACCCGCCACAATGACCTTGACGAGAGTAACTCCTAGCCAAGAGCCGCGCGGCTAACGCTTCGTAACAATCTTTAGCGGTCTTACCTTTGTCCAAAGCTAAGGAGATTAGCCCTTGATTTGGCACCTGTCAGTGATGATCATCTTTTGCGGGCGATCCCTTTGGCTCTAGCCTCGAACATCCGCGAGGGTTGTGTCATTGCGCCACACCCGTTTGTTGTTCGATACAGAAGTCCATGCTTTCTGCTGTCACGGATGTCAGCCTTGCCACCTCTTCACTGGGTAAGGTCTAGACAGCACTTGAGTTTTCTAAACTTTGTTCGTTTGTGTTGGTGCTCGGACGAAGAACGACGGTTGTGTATCTCGCTAACTTAGCTTAGTAGGTAAGTAAGTATACCCACTAGGTATGTCAAGCGCAGTTACTAGCGGCATCGTCTTCGGCAAAATAACAATTATCTTTGATAATCGGCGAGCTGAAAGCAATAAAGGGCTGAGTAGTAACGAGGTTCGCCGGAGTTCAGCTCGACCTGGAGATACTGCCTAAGTAAGTAGGCTACTACCCATGTGGATATTTGTGGGATCTAGCGAGAGACAATTACTTGATGAAAATATCCTTCCTGCTTATCACAGAGGAGTTCATACAGTACTAGGTAGCGGTGGCGAGAAATGGCTATTCTGGCTCGTTATGAAGTTCACATAATTATTGAACTTTTGGCTTTGGGGAAGGCCGGAAAGGTTGGTAAGTTAACTGAGGGGGACGACGCGCAATTATTGACGAGGTATCTCCTGATACCTTAATGTGGCTGTCTTTGCTGCCGCGTCCATACATAACCGAAAGAAGCAAATTTACTATATTTAGTATGCAGTTTTTTGTAGGATGGCAGTTGGCTTGACCATCGTGAATATATTCTTAATCAAGTTGAAACAATTCTGTGTAAGGAATAATATAACTACATGTAGTTATGTAGGTAGGTAAGTACAAATCACATATGAAGGTAGATGGTACATTGCATGGATAACTTTAGCTACGTAATACAGTACTACGTAGGTAGCGCACTAGCTGCCCACCTAATAGACTAATAGACTCCTAGTCAGTGGTCAGTGGTCACTGGTCACTGGTCACGATGCTGATATTATCTAAACGTAGTACTATGTCGTAGCCCTTGGTTCTTGGTAAAAGGATACAGGGATGATGCTTGCCTACAGTGACGATACTTATATAACTATGCAGATATGGTTTGCAGAGATTGTTTACATATGTAGGGGCTTGATACGTACGACGTGGTATGTCGGTAGAAGAGAGATCGATTCAATTGACCCTCTTTCTTCTCCTTCATTTCTCCGCTATTTTTTTTAATGACATGGATATACATTTTATTTTGTATGGTAATTTGAATTCGTCGGGTTAGATTTCTGGAGTTGTAATAAATTTCTGGAGTTCCCTAGGTCTAGGTCAGAACACCAATTCACGTGGGAGTGGGAACAGTTGAAAGGAAGAGGAAGCAGCCGAGCGACCTTGCCTAGTAGCCATGAGCTCGGTTCGTATACTATCCCCAAGTCAGCGTTAGCGTTGAACGAATGTAACCAGAGTAGCTCTTAAAACGGTTAGGCCAGGGGTAAAAACCAAGATCCAGCTTCCAAGGTGGGCTAGCTCAAGCTTGATTTGCTACGTTCTAATCGTTAAGTAATCGTTAAGCCCCTCATTGCGTCAACTTGTCAACCCGTTACTACTAGGTAAGTAAGCTACTAGGTACCCTCGGTAAGTCCTTTATTGTCCTAGGTTAGGTAAATACTACTAGGAGGTAGGTATTAAAGAAGTTGAAAAAATCATTATATCGAGTCCAGTTTCTTCAATACGGAATACACTATTGAGTTGCTAAAGAATAAGTTGGAAACATCATTGAAGTACTTACATACATGTAGTGTACCTAGTAGTACATGTAATTACTAATTACATATGTAGATGTGTATGCTTTTGATAGTTCCTGGGTAAGGTAGGACTATGAAGGTAGGGAAGATACCTAGGTTAGTACTGTAATTACTTATTCGCCTAGAATATCAATGTTTGCGTAGCACACAGATTATTTTACATGCAATTCGGTAGTTGTACGTGCATGAGAATGATGAGATACATAGTATTGCTCAGGAACCGCAGATTACCGCCCAATTGAAACACGTGGGATCGACGATTCTATTCTATGCGACGATCATCTCTGGAACGTTTTATAAATTCCCACCACCATCAAGGAGGCCAATTGAAACCGAATCGGTATTTCTGTGAAGGATATCTACCTGGTGTTTGATGAGTTGGCATCCGGGACCATGTTCCTATTCGTCGATGTATAGTGATATAAGGTGGAAGAGCGCAGGTCGATTCTGCAGCATACATTACATGTATGCATGTAGTATTGTGACAAAGTTCCAGATTTTGATGACCAGGAACATCAATCATATCACAGCAACTGCGTGATTCAAGTTGCTGCAGCACGCATGCAGAACTAGGAAGCATGTTTTAATAATAGGCCTGTTAAGGCTCCCCCTTTGTTCCCAGCCCTTGCAGCTCCATATGTCCTGATGCTGCCAATCGTGCGAGTTGCAATTAAGCCGATTGGCCACAGCCCAAGACTTTCAGTCTGGTGAGAGGATTACGGCCAAAGTAGCAATATATCTGTTTCAAAGATGGATCGGACTTCTCTCACGATTGATCGCCTGGAGTACATACATAGTACAGTAGTGATGTTGCTTCCCGCTCTGCATCTGCAGCTTTTTCAGTGATTAGTATTCAGTAGATTCCCGTTTGCATGCCTACCTACACTACACTACCTACTGACTTATGTGCATGATATCAATAGTTAGTAGATGGAGACATCGATGTCAATCATTGAATGGTGTACTTCGTACATATGTATGTGTGTAGGCCTCCAGTGGTAGTAAGTAGACCTTTCGCAATCCACGCCGTCGGGAATCGAACCGAATTATAATTAAAAGTAGCGATTTTCCTCGCCTTAATCCCGTTCTGGTTCTAATGGCAGGGTTAAGGGATTAATAGGTGAGGTCGGAAAAGGATTCGTGATTCGTTTGGCAGCTGGGCAGCTTTTGGCTTACTGATTTCTATCTACAATTCTACATAACCTAACCATAGACTATTCTGCTTTTAAATGGTGGGGGAACCACAACGGTGGGTCAAAGCGTGCATAAGTCCGTATGTACAACATAGGGAGGGGAATCACAGAATCCAGTTTTCGACATTTTCTCTACCTAGGTAAGATGAATTATTGGGACCATGGAAGAGACCGGAAGGGCAATGGCTTGAAACGGAAAACAAATCTCTCGAAAAGGAAAACTCATGTCGTATGTGTAGTAGTTCAAATGTTTGTCGTCTACGATCATCGTAATGTATTTACTGAATCTAGGCAGGTATCCGTGCTCATCTGGGGTATCATGGATGAGATATCATCTTGGATAATGCCATCCCACCACCCACGTTGATAATCCTATCTTTGCTCCTTGCTCTTAAATAGCCATAGTGGTATCTATGGTTTACTGCAATGATACCTACAACATGGCCACATACTGGGTAATTGCTATGTAAGCATGTAGATGATATTCAACTCCCCCTCGTATTTGACGATGTCATAGTGGTGCGATGCGTCGAGTCGAGTCGGTGACGAGCTGAGAAGCACTGACTCAGTGGTGCCAGCCACCGCATACTGATGTTGAGCCAAAGACTTCGGAAGCCTTCAAATCGTGCAGGAGACGATCTGTAATGTTGTAGAACGATGCATACCAACTATGTAGGTATTGTTTACATAGTAGGTATGCAGTCCTAAGCCTCGCAGAGTTTCGTTTGATCTGAGACGTTTCTTACTTAGCTAGGTTAGGTAAATGATGCGAAGCATCATGGGCAATAAAGCCGCGGCTTATCGTCTCACAGGTAGGTATAAGGCCTATCTATGCACAGGGTTGCTTCTTATGTTTCTTGTGTTTCTTCACGAGGGATATTGAACATCACCTGCCTTCATTTATGTAAGAAGCCATCTCATGAGATTTCTATTCGCCTTCAAATGTTTGTCTTCACACTGTGTTGATCTAACTTAGGGAACTCACAGGGCTACATAACATTGAACATTGAACATTGAACATCGAAAGCTTCAACTTGCAAGGTATTATATGAGAAAGTACCTTGTACCATCCCTTCTGTTCAACTTCAAATGTTTATCATCATTGATGTTATTCCGTTGGATTTAAAGTTACAGTTAATTTCTTAACCTAAACCTTTTCCTGGATGCGCATTAAATAAACCTAGAAAAGCTTGACGCGTATGAGCTTAATTCGATCGTTGGGCATGCTTACCTACCTAGGGTACCTTACTTATGTAATAAGCTGGTTGCTTGACGTATTCCAACAAAACCACCTGCAGTCTACAGGCTATTACAGGTCAGATCGTACGTATGGCTTTTTCTTTTTTTGCCAGACGGTGAGCTACTTGATGATAGCTCGCTCTCGGTGTGGCTTCCAACAACGTACGTACAAAAAGAAAGAAAAAAAAAAAAAAAAAAAAAAAAAAAACCGGCCCCTTTTTCAAGGTTGGCGATGTTCCACTTTGGTTGCTCAACTTGCTTGATTATTGGTCATGATGTAAAATACAAGTGGGTCGCCGAATTTTTGAGATTACCAGGGAGCCCGGCATAGCTTTGCGCTAAGGGAGGATCTAGTCTGGGTGTAGCTTGAGTCCCCTGCTCAATTGGTCAGGACTAAGCTCTTAGAAGTATCTGCTACGACAGCTAATGTTACATCGGCAACCAGCATGATAGGTAGAATAAACAAATGGTCACCAATCTCAGGGTAAATTTCTACTCGAACACTAATTCCATAGGTGTGTTTTCCCCCCTTTGCATACGAGTACATATGTACCTAATACATGATATACATGATCGAGTCCCATTTCTACCCTTCCATTTTCGAATGTCGATCCCCTGGAACGCCAGGCATACATCAGTTCTTTCGCCGTACAACCCCACTTGTTATTTCCCCGTTCCTAGAACGTTCCCTGACAAAGTCCCTGTAAGTTGTAACACTGGCCTCGTTGAAAGCTTTCCTCGTTTGGGGCCGTGTCACACCTCTTCTTACTTGTGCATCACCCTATCCCAGCATTTCCCAGCAGGTCCAGCATCAATTAAGGCATCTCCAATACCCTACCAATACCCTAGCCTTGACAAGCTGAGGTATTCTACTAGGTATTGTATTGTACAATACACAGTACCAAGTACCTACATGGTAGCCCTGAGATAGCAGCTGGGTCAACAGTGCTAGGTACCTACATAGCAGGGTCTAAACCAGAACGCATTGACTTCTTGTCTGCTTCGGTCTATCGGGGCAAATCTCCCTTCTCGCACTCTGTCCGACACACCCTTATTTTTCTCTTACCTAGACCCTCCTGCTTCATATCACGTCTCTCCTTTTTTCTCTCTTGAGCGCCATTCTCCTCTCCACCCTCCTTTTGCTTCATCTTTCTTCCCCCCCACTCGAGCAGTTACAGCAAGTCTGTATTCTGTCCTTCATCAACTAACAACAAGCCATCGCTCGTTGCTTAGTGAGTTAGTTGGCGGTTCGTTTTTGATCTCTTAAGATTGGATCAGAAACAAGTCGGATGTGGGAGGGTCTTTCGTTCGAGAGGCCGCGTACCATAATTCCTTCGTAAACGATTTGGATTGGATTTGACAATTCGGTAACTTGGTTTCAACAGGCTTCTGTTGTAACAATTTGATTTTGGAACAATTATTACGACTTCATACGACGGAAGGTGTATTTACTACCATGGCGCCTTCACTTAACACTCATTCTTCTTTCACGCGCCCGCGAACAAGCGAACGCGATGCTCGGCCGAGCACTCGCGACCAGAGCGACAACAACTTGATAATCCCGAGCAGGACCTCCTCTCTTCATTCACGCATTACGCAGCCAATTCCTTCAACCCTCAATGTGAAGCCTCAGCAACGAACACCCAAGACCTTGACCCATGCCTACATGGTATGTGGTGTTGGAAGGGAACCGTCGCAATGGGTGAAAGCTCCCGCCACCACCCAGGGAAAGATTGGCCATATGAAAGGTGCCGTTGGTCAGTTTTGGTTGCCTGAAATTCTGGGAAGCAGTCCTCGTCTGGAGCAGGATAATGAGGTCGCTCGATCCTTGCATGCTGCTATGAGGGTAAGTTTGTTAAGGACACTTGATTTTGTTGGTAGCGTACTGATTTTCAAAGGCATGTTTCCCCCATGATGTCGAGATTTGCACTGGTCGAAGCCAGCCTCATTGCGTTCATCATGCTTTCGTTCTACAACAAGATTCGTCACATACGCTTTACGGTATCTGTCTGCGTGTTTGGTCAAGGGCGGATGAGAAGAGGGCAGAGACGATAAGGGACCTCAGGAAGCGTACTGAGACGGATTACTATGACAACCCCGACGAAACTTACTGGATTCCGTATTGCCTGTCGTTCCTTTCTCGATACCCGTTGTACAATCTTCTGGGCGATTACTTACGAGGGATGTGGATTCACTGGAATAAGGCCACGAATCTGTTCCACGCTGAGGAAGTATCGCGAATTCTCAGTTTCCCCGCGCCGCGATTGAACGATTTGGTCCGAATAGACATGAAGGATTATGCCCTTTGCTACCAATTCCCATCTTCGCCAACAGGGTTCCAAAACTTCGCCATGTGGCCTCTGTGGACGTGTCTTTCGGTTCCTAACATTGTCGGCGTGATCGAGGCTGCCATATCCCCTACGAGGCGTATAATATTCGTCAGTCACTACCCTGCGATGTTGACAATGGCCGCCGAAACTATCCGATTCTGCGTCCGAGTATACGAGTGGAGCGGTCTTTACGTGCCCGTTGTCCACGCTCGCCACGCAAAGGAACTGGTCGATGAGCCCGGCCCGTACATCCTCGGTATCACTGCAGAATGCAGGTCTCTATTCACCGCCCCGAATGATGCCCTCGTCGTCGACTTGGATCGCAATTTCGTTCTTACTTCCAGCCCGCCAACTGCACTCAACTCGAGCCAGCGCAACAAGTTTGTTACTCGATTGACACAAGCCCTAAACGGGGATGTCACGCCTTCCGGTGTCCCTCAACATCTACGCTCTGCTTACGGTGGTGGTAAATTGGTACCAGCAGGTCAGATCATTGTTATGCGAGGAGAGGTAGAGTCTATTCAGGACCCCGAATGGTGGAACCAGGACTCTGTAATGTCTGTGATGGACCATGTCTGTGAAAAGCTGGTAAGTATTCTGTTGAATCTTTCTTGGGATTTGGACACGACATTAATCATTGATTGTAGGGCCGTAACACCGGACTGAAAGCTGTTTTCGGTGGTTCCGTTAAGAAGCCTCTGATGACCAAGGTGTCCATGAGGCACCTGAACGAGATCGTGAGAGAGCGCAACCAGTACTCTCGCGATGCCATGGAAGCATGGCAGGATTTCATCAACCTGAAGGGCCGCATGGAAACCGAGCTTGCCAAGGTTACCAAGCGGAACAACTACTTGGTCGAAGAATTGGAGAGCTGGAAACAACAGGTAAGATTATACACTAGTTGTATTTGTTTTTGGTGGTACTGAATGATGCTAATGCGGAATCTATAGTTCCTCAAGTTCCAAGCTTTCGCTGAGACGCTCACTAAGGAGACCCAGGATCTCAAGGTGAAGATCGAGACCCACAAGCGTGAGAACCGCAGACTCGGTGGTCTCATCGACCAACAGAAGGATGATAACGCCCGCCTCTCTGTTCGTCTTACCGGTACCGAGAAGCAACGAGACGATGCTCTCGAAGCCCTTGTTCTTCAGCAAGAGATTGCCGAGGAGCTCGAACGAGAACGTAAGCGAAACAAGAAGGAACTGGCTGCCCTTCAGCACACGAATGTTACGATCATTCGACAACGTGACGAGGCTCGGCGTGTTGTCCTCCACTTGCGCAGTCTAATTGGCGGACAGTCGCATCACATGGAGCATTTGGTTCAATCTCTAACTACGCGTGATGATCTCGCTAGTGAGATCGAAGAAGGCTTCGAGGAAGATGGTGACAGGGAATCTCGTGACAGTGAGTTGATTCCTCATTGAATCCTGCTCCTCAAATTGGATTTGCTAACATGCATTCAAGGCCGCTCACTACAGAGCTCCAGTCGGGCAACCAACCGATTTTCCACCGCTAGCTTCAACGACGTTGCAGACCGTCACCTCAAAGATAAGACTGATGCCATCTCCCACATTATTAGGAATATTGCGGAGCAGTGCCAGGCTGCTGTAGAGGGTCTTCAGCTTGCGCAAGACGCCGAGATCGAGTCGTCTCGATCACCTCGTCGAACCAGTGCCATGTCTACCGTCACTAGTGACGATGGCCACTCAGCAGCCTCTTCGGAGGTCGGCGACGATAGCCTTCTACGCCCCTCTAGACGTGCGTCTAGCATTCCTCCAACACCGGATTTGATCCCCAACCGAAGCAGCACATCGATGTCGATGGCTTCGACTATGACGACTCCTGAGCGATCCAGCCAGCAGTACAGCATTTCAAACGACATCCCCACGAAGATCCTGGAGGATGACGAAGACGATTTAGCTGACCGAAGCGAGGCTGAGACAATGTCTCAGGAGCCCGGCCTTGTTGGCAAGCATGCCTCAAGCCTTATTCACCGCCCTTCTGGCGCTAGAATCAGTGCCCTCGGTGGTACCCGCTAAGGGTTTATTTATTGATCTTGATTGATCTTGACTCGTTGCATGTATGGGAGTCGGTGGTGCCACGTTTCAAGATTTCCTTTTGAGGGGAGAGACTTCTGAGGAGTGGAAGGTTTTCTATGTATCTTTCCCCCCCGATACCTGTGCATATGGATTTGCTTTATACCTCACGGCCTGCTGACGGACCGGAACGGCGTTTTACTCGGCCAAGAGTTCCCTCGGAACTTTCGCTCTTTTTTTTCTTTTCCTACAATTCTTGTGGCCTGTCCAGGTCCTCTCTAATTTTCCTTCAGCAATAAGTGCGACGAGACTTAGTAGGCTATTTAGTAGCCTAGAGACTTACAAGGGCCTGTTAGGTTACGTTGTTGGTTGTTGTAAGGAAAAAGATGCAATGAAAAGAGTCATTTCATCTCTTATGTGTATATTGCTGCGCTCGCCTTCAGCCTGCTTTCCCTGGGATGATTGGATGTCTTCTATCTTTAATTGCTTCCGTTATATCTTTCCCGCATTGTCGGAAAGATGAGATGTAAAACTGCCTACACGTTAAACTATTCTGCTCTTCAATAAGTGACATTGCCTTTTCATCTTCTTACCTTCTTTTCGGTTTATATTCTTGGTGATTAAGTAATTGATTCTTGACACTCGATGTCTTCATATTTTTAATTGTTGCTAGGTACTAAGATGCCTCAATTCGTATGCCTGTCTAGGCTGAGGTGTTTCTTGTTGTTTTCAGCAAATCGAAGAGGGCTTTGTCTCTTTGTCTTAAGGGGGGCTCTCTCGTGAGTATATCATCAAGGTTACTTCTAGGTTGTAACATTCAACATCTTCTAGTCGGCTCCTTCTGACTTTAGGTATATTGTCCTTACTAGATACTATAGCTTGTTCAGTTAGTAGTGTATTAGTAGGTATTCAACGCGGAAAATCTGTCTGAAGGCTATGTTCAGTGTTCACGCAGCATCGGGGATGATTGGTGTCTTCCATAGGTACCTAGACATCCAGTCAGACAATCGTCATAAACAAAGATGTTTTAGATTTTCTAATTTCTATTAGGTAGATACCTATCTATCAAGTGTTCTATCAGGGTACCTAACCTATCAAATGCTCTATCTGGTTATGAGTGCATACCGCCGCGTAAGATAAAACAGATCGTTTATCACGGTTAAACAAGAAAACAGGCAAATGACATGAACCTTTTGGGACACCCACTCTCTCTCTCTCTCTCTCTCACACACACAAACACTATCTATTCATCTATCTAATCCCCTCCTTCCCGTCAAAAGCGTCTACTAGGCTTAATTTATCTATTTAAGCCGGGCCATTGGGCTCAAGCAACTTCGCGAACAAAGACCAGGCCAAGTCGGCCTGGGCCGCGATCGCCTTCCTCTCATCGGGGCGGCCAAGGGTGGCGGCGACGAAGGCGGTGCCGCAGTACGTGGGCTCGGCGTCGTCGGGTTCGTCGAGGAAGTTCAGCTTGGCGATGGGGTTGATCGTGCAGATGGGGCCGACCATCATGGCGGCGGCGTCCTGCGTGAAGATGTCGAGGTTGATGGCGCGCAGCGTGTGGGCGATGTCCTGCACGTGGACCATGGAGCGCACGGCGTGCAGGCGGCCGCCGCACCAGAGCTCCTCGCCGTCGAAGAAGGGCCTGATGCAGGGGTAGAAGAAGAGGGTGAGGCGCTCGTTCTTGGCCTCGAGGCGGGCGACGAGCTGCTTGAGGGGCGTGATGATGTCGCTGCGGATGCGGGCGATCTTGCGCGCGGCCTTGTCCGGGTCGTTGGCCGCGAACGGGTTGAGGAAGTCGAGGATGTCGGTGCTGAGCTCCCGCGCGATGGTGGCCTCGTCGTACTCCGCCTCCGGCGCGACCACGCGCGCGCTCGCCCACCGCATGATCAGCGCGCGCACCACCTCCGTCTCCATGTTCTGGTACAGCGCCAGCTCGTGCACGTCCGCGTAGTACTGCAGCCAGATCAAGAAGCTCCTCGCGCTCTTGTACTGCCGCGCCGCGACGACGATGGCCGACTTGCTGCTCACGGCCCGCACGTAGTCGACGACGGCGTCGTGGGCGAGCCCCTGCGCCGTGTTCCCTACTGCTTCCAAGGTCTGGGAGAGGAAAAGAGAGGTTAGTTTTTGGAAAAAAAGAAAAGGCGGGACAAAAAGGGGGAGGGGGGGAGGGGGGGAGGGGAGAGGAATTCTTATGAAGAATAAGAGTGTAGAAAAAAAAAAGGGAGAGAACTTACCTTCGCAATGTCATTGATAGACTCTTCGGTATGAATCCTTTCCCCGTTCGGGCCTGTGGGAGCGGCGGCAGCCTGGTTCATTTTTGTGGTTTTGGGAGTAGCAGTCTGGCTCTTTTTGGTGGTGCTGAGAGTAGTAGCCTGGGTCGGATTTCCGGCGAAAAGAGGAGGACCCAGGCTCTTTTTGGTGGTTTTGGGAGTAGCAGTCTGGCTCTTTTTGGTGGTGCTGAGACTAGCAGTCTGGCTCTTTGTGGTGGTGCTGGTAGTAGCAGTCTGGCTCTTTTTGGTGGTGCTCTTTTTGGTGGTGCTGGGGGGAGTAGCAGTCTGGTTCTTATTTGCGGTGCTGGGAGTAGCAGTCTGGCTCTTTTTGGTGGTGCTCTTTTTGGTGGTGCTAGGGGGAGTAGCAGTCTGGTTCTTATTTGCGGTGCTAGGAGTAGTAGCCTGGTTCTTTTGTGTGGTGCTGGGAGTAGGAGCCTGGTTCTGGGTACCGGCGGAGGCAGCAGCAGCATCAGGCTGGTTGATGGTGATGGAAGAAGGCCACTTGATCTGGCCGTCGCGAGGCCAGTTCTGGGTCCAGTCATAGGGGCCAGCTGGGGCCCTTGGATTGGCGTCTATCTTGCCGGTCTTGTCGTGGTCCATGAGGACGGCCTGCTGGTACTTGAGCATCACGTTGATGGCCTGGGTGCGGTCGTGGATGGAGTGCAGCTTGTCGTTGACCGTGTCGGTCGGGTGCAGCTGGGTCCCGCTGTGCAGAGCCACCAACTGGGCTTTGAGCACGTCGTACTCGGCCTGGTACTTCATGAGGTTCTCCTGCGTTCGCGCGATCTGGGACTGCGCCACGAAAGGGAGCATCTGGCCCCGCTCCTTCTTCAGCTCGATGACCGACTCGAGCAGCTCCTTGTTCGTCGCTTCCAGCTCATTGATCCTGTGCTGGTGTCTCTCCTTCTGCGGGAGCGACCAGATCGTGTTCTTCCATGTGTCAGCCGTGATGCTGCCCGGTGGTAACGGAGTCGCCCCTGCTTCGGCTAGTTTCTGGGACAAGTATGAGTGAGGCACGACATGGTCGGTTGTGGTTCGTAGCATAGCGGCTACCGTATCGATGTACGGGTCTATTTCTTCATCTTCGTCTATGTCTCCATTGGTCGGGGTTGCAGTAGGCTGGTTGACAGGAGGTGGGTTGACAGGAGGTGGGTTGACAGGAGGCTGGTTTCCAGTAGATTTGGTGGTAGGTGTCGAAAGGTCGCCGGGCGTTGCAGTCGGAGTTGGCATCATGCTCGGCCTAATCGGTTTTTTAACTGTGGGCGTTGTGTTCGTTTGGCCCGGTACGGTCAGTAGGTCCGATGTGTTCGTTTGGCCCGGTATGGTCAGTAGGTCCGATGTGTTCGCTGTGCCCGGTATGATCAATGGGGCCGGTGTATGCTTTTGGCCCGGTACGGTCAATAGGTCCGATGTGTTCGCTGTGCTCGGTATGGTCACTGGGCCTGGTACAGGTGGTTGTGAAGCGGGCACACCCACTGTCTTCTGTACCGCTTCCTTTTTGTCATCTAACTTTGCTCTCTTGTTTGCAATTGGGTCTTGCGTCGCTTCCTGGGTGGTATCTAGCTTTGTTCTCTTGTTTGCAGTTGTCTCTTTCGTCGTTTCCTGGATGGTGTCTAACCTTGTTCTCTTGTTTGCAATCCCGCCATGTCTGAAATCCTTACTACTAATCCTGTTTAGTCTGTTTTGGCTGGTAGGTGTTGTAGAAGCTTTCGCTCCAGATGCAGATGTAGTGGCATTCTTGCCAGTCGCATCGGCCTGGCCATCTGCGTCTTCTACTTGACTAAAGCGTGTTGCTATATTATTCAGTCTGTCCAGTCGGCTGCCTATTTTAACCGCACGCGTAATGCCGACTGGTCTGCTACCAACTGCCGGTACATTTCCCCTCTGGCGACGGCGGTTGACAAATTCTTGAAGTGCTCCCATCTTGAACGCTTTGTTCCAAGTCTTTGAGAGTACTAGGTGTAGATTCAGATATTGTTTTGTTTGATTGTTATCTGTGTCTGTTAAAACGGTACCGAGAAGATTCCAAGGTTATCTTAAGGTGACGATAGACAGTTTAGAGATATTGCTCTGACTCTTTCGGTTTCAAGCTGATGACTGAGAAGATGGTTAGTTATATTTTTCTGAGACTATACAATTATTTTGTCTAGATACTTTGTCTTGGAGTCAACTGGCGCACGTCGACAAAGTACATGTACCTTCACTGATCGTTGTACTGAGTTAAAGAAAGGAGTTGTCATTTTCTTTTTTTTTTCTCTCTCTCTTTCTTCTTTGGATGTCTCTAATTACATAGGTAGGCAATCAACTAAACAGAACATTATCTGTTTACCTCCTGAAGTAACATTCATACATACATACATACATACTACCTACCTAAACACCTACCTTTGCCATAGACCACATGTACCTAATTGTTCTTACTCTTGGTTACGTATTAGGTCAATACTGAATATGATACCTGACTGAGATGCCTACCTACATGCAGGTATTTTAATCAGCACATACACCAACGTTGGTAGGTAGCTTGCCCCTGATTGATATCAGACAAACGAATTGCTGATGTTGGAATTGCAATCCAACACAATCACCTTTATCACGGTGAATCAACTAATCATCTGGGTAAACTCAGAAGGCTTTAGCAGGGAAAAGAAAACAAGAAGTATCGAGAGTATGTACATAACTGATATCCAAAGTACCGCTATACCCATCCGATTGCTCAGCCCTACCTACATACAGGTAGCATAAGCCGCAACTAGACGCTTCCAAAAAAACGCCCAACTCCATAGATTGGTGTCGCGAAAAACTGCACATAAAGATTTATATATTATATTATGCATGCAGGACCTTTATATGAACCTCTATCTCCTACCCCCTGAGCCGAACTCCGGCACGGCGCCTAATTTGAGCCGCCAGGCCAAGACTTCCCCCCCTTTCTCCCCCCCCCCCAAAACATGCATACATGCGCACCTATATAGATATACTCACTCAAAAGCTTTCTTAAATTTACCCCGAAATCTACCAACAAAGGATATTGCTGCATGTAATAACCCCATCCTTCATCCCCTGCCTTTGGGGAAGAACACGAACACTAGATAACCAGGGGCTGGAAAGCCATATTGGGAATATATATACTGGCTATTGCTATATTAGGCTATTTACCCCCCCTTTTTTTTCTATTCTACCTACCTACCTACCTACATCTACCATATGCCATATAAATAAAATAAATATTGCCTGCCTCCCGGGCTAAATTCCGAAGTCGCCACTCTCGGTATAGTGCGAAAGCTCCCAGCAACGGTTCATTTGGAGCGCGTAAGCTTCCTTGAGCTCACTAAGCAACGTTGGCTAGACCCCCGCGAAACCCATTTATTTAAAGAGATGGGAGGATGAAGCGGGAGTGAGGGGGGCTTGCCCGTCCGTCGTATTTTTGGGGAGGGGGAAATCGTGGTAGTAATAAGCCAAGTGTCCCTTCTTTTTCCCTTCGAGGCGGTTAGCTGTTTGTCTTGTTTGCGTACCTATCTATGCATTGTATGTGTGTGTGAGTGAGTGTGTGTATGGTCTATTGCTCGGCCTTTCTTTGTTTCGAAAAAAAAAAGCAAGCTGTACTTATCTGTGCTTGATTTCCTTGACAACTCCACCAGCTTGCTTGGACGGTAGCCAATTGAAGAAAGGATGCGGTGCTCTGCGGCAGCTCTCTCGGTCTTGGCAGCAGCGACGTCTGTCGTTGCGCAACCCCCAAGCCCGGGGAAGGATGGAAGATACACCATATCCTCGTCGGAGATAACAGCGCAGGTTCGGCCACCGGTGTCCTGGGGAGGGAAGAGGAGAAGACTTGGGTTGATGCTTACCGCTTTCCTAGTTTATTCCGTACGGGGCCACGCTCACAAACCTCTTTGTCAAGGACAAGAACGGAGAAGATGTCGATGTTGTGCTCGGATACGACGACAGCAACTACTATCGTGCGTCCTACCCACACCACCTTTCATACTCATAAATTCTTAGAAGATACCTACCTACCAGTACCTAGACAGAAAGCTAATTTTGTCAACAAATAATAGCCAAGGACCCAGGACATCCCGTGTACAACAGCATCCCCGGTCGTTATGTTAACCGCATCGGGAAGGGAAAGTACACGATTGACAACACCACATATACCACCGAGCTAAACGACGGGACCAACACGCTTCATAGCGGTGCCAATAACTGGTCCTACCGCGTATGGAACGTGACTGATTCTACAGAGGACTCCATCACCTTCGCTATCCGGGACGCGTCCAACTCTTCTCTGGGGATGCTAGGCCTAGTCAAAGGTCAGGTGACGTATAGTGTCGAGGGCAGCACTTGGAGGATCAAGATGGAGGCGACATCGCCAGAGGCTAGAACTCGTAAGTGCCCCACCCATTCCCATGAAGCAAAATCGCCTAGCCTTAGCCTAGGTAGCATTTCGATGTAAAGCCCCTTGTTAACCTAGACAACGGCGAAGCTCTCATGTTAACGCACCACACGTACTTCAACCTGGACGCCTTCAAGAACCCCGACACAGTCAAGATCTGGAACCACACGCTGCACATGCCGTACTCCAAGCGTTACCTGATCGCCGACGACGGCGCTTTGCCGACAGGACAGATCGGCACTGCAGCACCGAACAGCATCAACGACTTCGCGAGCTCAGCGGGGCTGTTCCTCGGCCACGCGCAGAGCGACCCCAAGTTCTCCGGCAACTGCGGCGGCGGCGGCGCGTGCGAAGGGTACAACGGGTACTTCCTCATCGACGATGCGCCCGCGGATGCCGTGGTCGTCAGCCTCGCGAGCTCCTTCTCGGGAATCACGGCCGACCTGCGCACCGACCAGCACGGCGTCGTGCTCTACTCGTGCAACTGGATGGACGGGACCGCCGACCTGAAGAAGACGCAGGGGACCAAGGAGAACCGCAAGGTGGTCAGGAGCTCCTGCGTTGCTATCGAGGCCCAGGACTATGTCGATGGTATCAACCAGTAAGATCAGCCCCCTGCCCTATTTCGTTTTTTCTTTCCTTCTCCGCGGTCCCTTTTTAAAAAGATTTTTCTCCATTTTTGTTCTTTGCATTTCGAGAACCTCCAACCCCCCGTATCCCGCGTTCGTTTACTTGATTGCTTGTTTCAGTTTTATGCACCACCATGACGTGAGCGCTAATAAAACGTGAATAAAAGCCCAGAGTGGGGGCACGTCGAACAGCAGATTACCGGACCGGGCCAGACGTACTCATGGGAAAGTTCCTGGACATTTGGAACCCTTTGAGCAGATCTTGAATAGGAAGTTGGAATCTGTAAAGTTGAGGCTCAAAGTGAGGGGGAAGGTGGGAAACTGGCCTCATTGGTGGCGCCCGCGCAAGGGGGGCATACAGGTAAACCAAATGCCAGACTGTATATAGGTACAGGTACATACATTCATAACGTGGCATTCATGAAAATGATTTGCTAGAATGTAGTGTCGCATACCCAGGTTCCTGGCCGGGCGCTTCAAAACTTTCTGGCAACACAGCATTTCGGGCCATATAAGCGTTTGAACACCCATGCCTAAGTGATGCTCTCGAAATGCATACTGACATCAGGATAAGGCCACTCTGTAAGCCGGTGGCTCTCTGGGAAAAGAAACATCGTTTCTAATTGCAAAAGATACTGTGTGATTTTGTGTACACATGAGTCTTCTGTGCGACATTCTTTCTGGTGGTGTGTATTGTGTTGGCCTTTAGGGGGGCTGTTGTGGCTTTATGTTGTAACGATACGAATGGTCTAGACCATGCAGATCCATTAACAATGGCGCCAGACACCCTATTGACCATGTGCACTCCCACCCTTCTGCGGCCCAGAAGCGTGACATGAGCTTGACAACCCTCCCTAAGTGCGTGGGTGAGTGGGGTTGAAGGAGCAAGAAAATGGCCAGTTGTAAAATAGGTACTGTAGTATGTGAACCGAATCCCATAATGCATCCCAAATCCCATGGCTAGCGCGATCCGCCTTATGTTCTGCCTGAATTTCGCGGAATTTCGATGGTCTGATTCGATGTGAAGGATTCGTAGTGTGCGCCATCTAGCTGATTGGCTACCTAGGTATATAAAAAATTCATCATTCATCGAGAGTGGAGAAATACGAGCCCTCGTTGGATTTTTGGCTTTTGCGATAGCGGAGTAACTATCGAGATTTTTAAGAAATCCATCCTGTCTGGAAACTTTCCCCATGAAGCCGAATTTTAGGGGTCCCGTTCAAGGTTACCATGCATATCAACTCGCAGTCAGGGGTCCAGGGGCTGTGTACCTGTACCTTTTTTCTTTTTTTGCAGCACAATCGTCAATACCCTGCTGTTTGCTGATGACGTAGTTCCAATGAAGAAATATTTCCGTGAATGCTATACTTCGTAGTTATTGACACCATCAGAAATCTAGAACCTTTGATTTCACATTGTCCTTGTCTACTTTGTTAGACTAGGGGGTTATCCACGCATACACCTGAGGTTCTAGACTGGAATCGACCAATGTCTACCACTTACAATTCACCCATCCCCATTTGACAACCACTAGGTAGTTACGTCATTCGTTTGAAGATGGATTCTGATGCAACGTGACGTTTTCCGAGGGTCAGGTTTATCAGTATTGTTGATATTCGGTGAGTCTCAACTCTTCGGAGGCAACTCGTTGCTTCGTGGTGGGGGTTAAGAGTCTTGGATGCGAAGACGGCCAAGTCGACAAGTCAAGTGATGAGCTTCGTGAAGAGTTGTCATCATATCTGATAGAATATTCCTATTCCATCATGCTAGACATGGACTTATCGCGTCAACACCCTAACGGAAAAGAGACATGATCGTCTTGGCGATGTGATCACGGGGAACATATCCCTAGGCGCCTAGGGAGACATCCGACCGAGCTGTAAGGTTGTTCTAGTAGTTGGGTTCCAAAACTGCCCGATCGGCCTCTTTCATACGTAGCTGTTTGCTTCTAATGCTTCCACTTTATCAGGTAGAAGACTAGGAACGAGAAAAAGATCAGACCATTCTTGCTGAATCAGCCGTGAACTCCAGGCTCTCGTCTCTAAACGAGGAGGGGATCAGCATTAATGATGTGGGGGGGATTAGGGGGGGCGACACTAATAGAAGAACATTCAAGGGTCTATCAGCCTCATCATAGAAAAGGAAGGGGAAAAAGAAGCTAAATCCATCCATCCAGAAGTGTTGATTAGAGTGCTTCTCTTGGATTTAGTCTCGCCGGCGCTGAATTGAGTAGTAGGCCCCCGAAGACCGCCAATGACATCATTAATTCCCCGATAATATACGTCAGGGACATGCCGGGTTTTCCCTCCCCCGGTGAACATTGAATAGGGAGGCTTGCAACCCCTGGATTTCGGCTGTCTGGTTAGCCTAGCACCGTGGGGTGGAATAACTAGATGATTAATAGATTTGTAGGTAGGTAAAGACAACACAAGCCAAGCTAGAGTACGCGGTCAGGCTTGACACCTATTCAGGGTGAGCGAGATAGGATAGAGATTGGTCTTGTCGTGCCCAAGGACTTTTCTACCCCAGTTAGTACCTAGGTTAGGTAATTCACTGGGCAGTAGGTATATAAAGAGCAAGCGTGGCCCATGATACTATCTACCTTGATCCGCACACTTGATTATTTTGCTTGCCGATCAACAGCATAGTACCTGCTGCTTACCCAGCAGGTAGATATATATCCAGGTGAATCCGCCGTCGCTATTGCTTGTTCTCGTTCTCGTCGTTTCTGTCATCATCTATATTTTCATCATAGTTGCTGTTTTCTTTTCCAAGGTTTAAAATAAATAAAAATTCGTGGAGACCCCTTACATCACTTATCTTCTTATCTTATCTATCTTCCTATTCGTACTGTACCTCCTACGTCGGAGGCAAGCACTCCCCCACAAACTGCCTGCCCCGTCCTCTTAAGGCCTTGCGCAGGCAGGGTCCAGTACCTACCTGGCTCCCAGTAGCACCCATCCACCCTTAGCGGGTGCAGCCGAGCACTAAAGGAGCCCACCTTGAACCCTTAAACCAAACTGTTGGAACACCTAGGTTAGACAGTTACAGGCTGTTACCTACCTAGGTACCTACGCTACCGGCCTACCTAGTAGTGAATATCTCCAGCTTCAGGGCCATTATAAAAATCATGGCGACGAACAACCAAGCCGACGGTTCAACGGGCGCAGTTCAGTATCTAAAGTGAGTGTTAACGATCATTAATAAATTAAATCAATCACATCAATCCTACAAACCTTCACCCCCCTTCTATCTATCTATATTCTATCAACCAACGATACCTATTTATTCGTTTCCACCTTCTCTCTCTCCATAGCCACCACCAAGCACCTGAGATCGCCCAGCGACCCAATCTCGATGTCCCCGTCAACGTCGACTACAACATGCAACGGTTCCTGAACCCGCACCTCCACGCCGATGATCGAACCCTGAGACCTCCTCCACAATACTCACCCTCCCCCTCCTCCCCCACGCCGCTGACCGAGGACGAGTCACGCAGTCGCATGACTGCCATCCTGGGTCCCATCATGTTGAACTTGGCGCCTAAGCAGAATTGACTGCTGTCTGTTGTTGCAACGCCGATAGGTGCCCAGACTTGGGCTCCGGTAAAATTTTATATCATGGATCAATCAGTCTGTAAGTTGCATTTTATATCATTTATATCATACCTTTACCTGTACACATAATTCGCATCTACCTACTGACTTACTACAGCTTGGCTCATCTATCACCATCTCTTATCATAGCCGTTTGGTTGGACTTTTTTTTATCTTCTTGCATTGCATTGTATTTATATTATATTTTTATTGTAGGCGTTGGATCGCATCTATTGGCATCATCAAACAGGGATAACAAACATGTAGCGGGCGGGAATTGCATCAGCGGACATTAGTGGCATTAGTGGGCATTTACTGTAGGATAAGGTTAGATTGGGATTGGAATTATTCTGTACTATCCATTAGTTTCTGTACAATACTTATATATGGAGTTAACTATAAAGGCACTGTTTTTGGCTTTGTAGCCAAGGCATTTATTCCCAGGCTTATCCCAAAACAACATTCTTCTCCTCGTCTCCGATAGCATTACCTATGTCTCCTGCCAGATTAAGCTCTAGTCACAAGAGGAGAACCGCTACACAACTAGGCGAGGCAGCCCGTCGCCTTCTTCTTTCGGCTAGAGTCAACAACTAGAACGTACGGGAACAATACACAGCAGCCAACCAGGGAACACGTGCTATTGTGTCTAAAATGGGATGTTGTTTAGCTATCTAATAGACGAGTTTATATAGCTGCCTAGGTTAGTGACGTATGCAGGTGCGCAAGATACCACTTGCAACAGCCATGCATCACGTCCAAGGCATCTTTTATGCAAGAGCCTTATCAAAACCACTTACACCTCCACGATCCATACACTGACAACGACCCTACCTCAATAAACACAAACCCTTCCGCCCCCTATCACCACACAACATGACAAACGCCATCACCCTCCAACAAAAGACCCCGGAGGGCAAAACCCTCATCAGCGAGCCCGTCTTCAACATCTTCCAAGCCCACCTCCAACCGGCGAACAACCTCTCCGCCAGCCAAGCCGCGCTTTCCCTAGCAAATCTCGCGCCCAAGCCGAACGACGGCGAAAAGACTCTCAGCGACGGCTTCTTTTTCGAGCTGTGGAACAGCGTCATCGGCGTCGCGGAGCAGATCCCGCACGACCACCCCGCGCAGGACCAGCTGGTGAAAGTGATGCGGGAGCTAACACTGCTGCCCGACACTGGGCTTACCGTTTGGGACGTAAGTTTCCCCCCCCCTTTTCAATTCAATTCAATTCAATCAACCGCCCACCTCCTTTTCTAAACTAACCAACCCCCCAAAGTCCCCCCTCTGGACCTCCCTCCCCGTCCTCGGCGCCGCCATCCGCGAACGCCTCAACGGCCCCACCTACCCACCCCACCCCACCGCCGCACAGACGCGCGCCGTCGACGAGTCCTGGGTCCGCTTCCACGCCTTCGCCGCGCGGCTGATGGGCGCCGGCGTCGTGCACTCTGCGAGCCAGCCCGTGTGGATGCTGCGGGACGCGCTCGAGCAGCCGCCCCAGGAGGAGGAGGAGGAGGAGGTGGTGGCGGACAGAGACCTCGCCGCCGCCGCGATGTACATCGAGTACGCCGGCGCCGTGCTCGTCGAGGCGGTGGCCGCGAACCCGGAGCCGGCGCTTGGCGCGGAGCTGGCGCGGCTGTTGAGGGCGGGTCCGCTTTATGGCGGTGCGCCGGGGTTGAGTCGGGAGCGGTGGGGGTTCTGGGCGAAGAGGTTTAGGGAGGAGGGGGGGGAGGAGAAGGGGAGGAGTGAGGAGGGGAGGGCGGTTGCGGGGAGGGCGGCGAGGTTGATGGAGGTGTGGGGGGAGACGAGGTTGAAGGGGTAGGGTGTTGGACGATGATAGTGTGCCTCCCTAAGGAGGTTAGAAGCGGCTGGCATATGTATGTAAGTACGCCGATCTTGGTGAAGCCTAAGACCAATATTTGTTGCAGTGGTTCATAATTAATAAACACCAAAAATGTGCGAGCACCTGCACCTGGTGGGAGCAGCTAAGTACTGTGTATTATGTAGGTAGAAATGGCATTCTATCAACAGCCAGACCAGGCGCCTACCTTCTAGGCATCCAATCTTAAGCAGTGCGGTAGCGTTGAAATCCATTCTATCCATTGATCGAATTAGGTACCAGAAGAAGTGTAACAGAACCAGAACCCCCCCTTTCCTCCCATCCATACCTGTAAGAAATACTTCAAACACTATTTCCCACTCCCCCGGCATCTTCTTATTGCTACTGTACTCCCTCGGCATTCACCCATCCCCCCGTCGTGGCACAGCCTAGTTCGACCGCCGCCAAACCAACCACCTATCTACTCAAGCTCCGGGGTGTCAGGCGGCGTGCTGTAGGCGTACGTTTTCCTAGGCGTCGACAGCCCGCGCTCAACGTCCGGGAGCTGTTCCATCGGGAGGCCGAGACACCGGGGACGCAGGATCGGAAAGCTGTGCTGGCGGTAGCTGTACAGCATCAGGACCATTGTCATGAGCGATACGGCTAGGCTGATGGCCTCGAAGATGAGGGCCATGGCGATGATGATGGGGATGTGTAGATAATGAATAAGTGATATAGTGTATGTGTGTGTGTGTGTATGTGTATTTGTTGGTGATATCGATGTATCTAATGTATGTGTGAGTGGGGGAGACAGATAAGAGAGGAAGGGGTCTGATGCCTACTTCTCGATGTCCAAGTCCAGTAAGCCAAGACAACCTCGTCCACGGCGTTTCGTAAGAAAAGCGAGGAAGGTGAGTACGACTCTTGATACCCCTTGGAGGTAAGTGCCGTAAAGTGATGAGCAGGGCTGACGATAGTTCAGCGACTCGTGTGTAGATATTGTATATTGTACCCTGTGTTGGGTGTGGCGATCAGATGGGAACACTGCGAAGGGAAAGTAGAGTAGGAACTTGGAAGGTAATTTGAGTGGAAGCTGCCAACATGAAAGAACGAACTCGATTAAAAGGCATATCACATATGCAAATAGGAGGCGATGATGGGTAACCCAGGCAACAGTTGTCACTGGTTACCTAGAACAACTCTAAGCCTACCTAAACTCTATTCTCATATAGATGCTCCTGCCTTTGTATTCTGGACAGATATACTAATGTATTGTCCCAACGCTTTCACTTGGTATGCCACATAATGTTACCCCTGGCGAAGCCGGTTTGCCTATAGCTCTAAACTCAACTTCCACAGCTGGGAAGATAGCCCAGGTAACCAGTGAAGTCCAGAGTCTAATACATACTATGTAAGATGTGCTTCGATATTGTCAGATAATAGTTTGACACTATGTAGGTAAGAAGTATAGAAAGTTTACGCGATAGATCGATAGCTGGCCCCCTAGGCCATACATAAAGGTGTCCTTTCGCTTGATACAAAACCAGCACCACTCCCGTTCCGCTCACTATCATTATCATCAACAAACCACCAGCAACACAGCCAACACAGTAACTACCCACCTACCTGTGTTCCAAACATCACACCTCAAAAATGAGATTCTCCGACTCGACCCTAGCTGTCCTAGCTGCAGTCACAGGCATCGCAGTCCCAGCTACCGCCACACCCATCTCTCGGGCCCCTGCCGACATCAGACAGAACACTACTGATGTCCACGAAGCCCCCTCAAAGCAGCCATATGCATCTCAAACCCAAAATATCCCCTCAAACGCCACGCTACCCCAGAACACCACCACAGCCGCATCCGTCAACGTAGCAACACCACCCACAAGCCAGCCCTTCGAACCCGACGAAAAAGACCCTCTAGGGCTCAAGGATCCGCTAGGGTTGAAAGACCCGTTCGGCTTGAAGGACCCCCTGGGGCTGAACGATCCCTTCGGCACGGGCGACAGCCACTGTTTTTCTTACATGAAATCGTTAGCGAAGAGGGGGGTGAGGAAGGGGGGCTTGCGTGCTAGGCGTTTGGTACGGAAATTCAAAGATATACGCTACCTACCTAGAGGTACCGGTACCCTGAAGTCAAGCGAGGGCAACAAGAGTGACTAGATAGGTAGACTTCCAAGGTTGTATGTCCTACCTACCTACCTAGGTATCTATCCGCATACATACCCAGGCACGTTCAACATCTAGGGCCTAGAATTGGGAAATCGCCATTGGCCCTACAAATAGGTACCTAATTTTTCAAGACTTCTGGGTATTAATTCCCTAGGCCCAGGGCTCACTTGCAATTATCGACATCAAACCTGCCCCTTATCTCAGTATAGCACCATCAAGATAGCGAATCCATCACTCTTATTCTTTTGTGATTATCTTCAAGGATATTACAATAATCGCAATGTACTCTCGATGAGGAATGGTGTTTATAGAGCTCTCCGCCACTCGCTGTATTGTGTCATCGCCTCCCACTATGATCAGGTAAGCGCCTACCTAGATACCTATTTACCCAGTAGTTTCGTGCAACAGCTGCACCGTAGTTGAATGATAAGCAATACTTACTAGCCCAAGTTTTTATATGTCAAACCATCTGGTCAAGGTACTGATCCTCCGATTTTGAGGTGTTAGTTTCACCTAACCTCCCTTCCTCGCTATTTTCCTCTCTTGTGTACCTAGGTAGGTAGGTAGGTAGGTAGGTAGGTACGCGACTCAGTCATGGCATCACCTTAGCATCGTCTCTCTGTAAAGCAGCGATCCCCATATCATCATGTCTTCCCTTAGGAGATTTGTGAATGCAAATTTGTTCATCCATAGGTATCCATCCGACGGTGAAAGAAATTTGACCCATTTACAGCTTCAGTACAACACCTACCCACCCCCCAGCCTACCCAATGCATCAAAACTCAGCTGGGCAGATAATCTCCTCGGAAGTCACCCAGGGCAACCGGCAACACTACTACCACCACCACCATCACTGACACCCAGACTTGATATATACATCTGAGACGTAGTGCGTTTTTCAACCGACCCTACACTAGGTGATAGGAGATTAGAGAGAACCGCGATAGAAAGGTCATATGCCGAATGCGTCCCCAATGCAGCGGTACGAGACGCGAACTTGGCAGTGCGACCTTTTGAAAAGATGAAAGCGTGACGACGGCGATTGCAGGCAATAGCTGAATTGCTATCATTGGCAGCTCGAACTAAATATTATTATTGTTAATGTGACATGGAGGCTCGCTTCGCTCAAAATAACTATATCGTCTTCAAAATGGTATAAACGCAAACCAGACCATGAACGTGCAAAAGCCATACAATAGCTTCTTTTTTAAAGGTAGCCCCCCTAGAAAGATACTCCGTGGATCATAGCCGCAGTTAAGTAAGGTATAGCCAACCATGTCTAGGCAACGAAATATGCTGAGGTGAAGAGGAACTTAGCACCATAATTACCAGCAGAGGAGTAGGGCCAGAATGTCCAAGTCAATCAGGATACTTACAGGTTTATTAAGAAAACACCGAAACCAAATCTAGGTAGTGGGCCTCCTTGCGTGCTCTCGGAGATGACGGTTTCGCGTGCGGTGTAGGTTACGGGGGGGATGCGGATAAAGGTTATTATCAGCTCTGCGGCGAGGGCGCGCGTATATGTGAGCTCATTGGTGGTGCCGACGCGGACCACGAAAATCATTAGCGCCAAGATCGCCAGACCGAAGTCGATCTAAAAAAAACAAAAAGCCGCATCGTTAGAACGCCGACATGCGAAGAAGAGAAGGGAGACGAGGCCGTACGCTTGCAGGTATTAAGACTGTTGGTAAGTGCCGGAACATGGTCCAAGCTAAGACGGCAGCTAGCATGCCTAGGCCAAATTGTATGATGGCCATAATCAACCACGAGACAACCACGACAAGCCTCCTAACGCGACAAGGTGCATGCATCTGCTTGATCCTGCTATTAGAGGAGCCACTATGAACCGGCCAAGTACAAAAGTGACAGATGTAGCCGTAGTCGCCATTGGCCATCTCAACCAGTGGCCAGTGCTTGCGCTGATGCTCGCGGCTCAAGCGGTCTCGCCAACAGCGAAAGCAGATGGACCGCCACACGTGGCTTGGACGCGTCGTATCTACGATTAAGCGATCCAGTCCCGGCATACACAGGCACTCCGTGCAGCAGCTCTGCAGAAGGGGGTCGAGGCGGCCGTCGCTAGCAGTGAACTGCCTACGGACAACATCAGCCGTGATGACTTGGCGGTACAACGGAAAGGTCTGTCGCAGTGCGACCATGCTAGACAAGTCCAGGTGAGAGATGATGAGAAACTGGAGCTCGAGAGGCAAGGCGAGAGGCATGGCGAGAGGCGTAGAGTCCAGCCTTGCATCTCCTTGGCTTTCGCTTCCGCTTCTGCTTCCGCTTCCACTTCTGCTTCTGCTTCCGCTTCTCGTCGACGACGGCGCATGACGACGACTATGCTGTGAATCGAGATCAACCTTTGCCTCGTGCTCGTGCTCGTGCTCGTGCTCGTGCTCGTGCTTATCCTGGTGCTTAGCCTCGTCGTCGTTGTCGTCGCGGCGACGAGTTGTAAATGAGTTGTTGGTGAGCTTAATGGCGTGAGATGTGCTCATCATGCGCGCTGTAACAGCTTCGCTGGGACTAGAAGAAGAGCGTATTCAATCATGGAATGAACGAAGTACTCATCATCTTATTTCGGTAACTTTGACTTCTTTTTCTCTTCTCCTTTGAGAGACAGGGTGTAAAAGAGGTCGATCATCCAATGCGACCGTTTCTCGAATGCCAAGTATGATGGTTGAAGAATTTCCCTTGGACAGATCGGTTTTCCGGCACACAAGGCAACGCGCTAACCCGGCTGTCCGGCACAGGCCGAGACCGTGCACTAATCCGTGTAAGTCGACAGTACTAAACAGAGACAGATACAGTGACCAGGGTATGTATGTACAGGCAAATGTACATATGTACCTGCATGCAGTATATGTACTTCAATATTTGTACATATATGAAGGACTCAGAAGGAGCAAACTTTGATGAAACCCCGAACTCTATTATATGTATAGTAATGAATAACATGATAACATCGAAGTCTGCTACATGGATCATTGATGTTCACTGTTCAGGTCTACAGAAGTAACTCCGTCCTAGGTACCTAACCTAGGTACATATACTTAGACCTGGTAACAACATTGGAAAAAGCTAAAGATTTAATCCGGTTATAAGTGGGGCGCACATACACATGTACAAAAACATATGTACTTCAGATGCTCCTAACATCAATGATTAAGCGCACAGACGGAAAGGAAACCTTACAGGGCTGTCGTCACATCACATGGAGCTTCAAGGTTGAACTTGAACATGAACATGAACATGAACATGAACTCAAACTTAAACTTGATCTTAAACTTGAACATAAATTCAAACATGAACTTGAACTTGACATACCCAGGGTAGTATATCTAACCACCTACCTACCTAGGTATGTGATCCTTAGCGTAACATCTTCCCATTAACTACGTGTTTGCTCCAAGAGACATCCATCGGACGACATACATAGTAGGTAAAAAGAGAACGGGCAACAGAACAAAAGGGAGCAAAGACCGAGAAACAATCACTCAATATTGCCCATTTGGTTACATCTTCATGCAAGTCAACGCAAAGCCTGCCATTCCCCAATCCCCTCCAATCCCTACACCATCTTTTTGTCACAGATCCATTGGTTCATCGTACATATTGACTATGTTGCGACGTCTACTTTTTACCTAAGCGGTTCAAGCCTATCGGATCAGGTGGAGAAGAAGGACGGCTGCCCGGCACTCTTCGATCACTCTTCGCTCACTCACTCATTAACTAATGTTCTTGTCACCACTCTCGTCCCGTGCCGACTTGTGGCGGCTGCAGAGAGCCGAAACAATACTATCTAATAATCTATCGGATCAAGGACCCGATTATTTAACCCGAAAGCCACGATATTGCATACTACCTAAGGTTAGTACCCTAGGTAGGGCGACACTATGGAGATATCGAGACGCTAACTATGCGGCTACATAGTATGAAAGATTTCCAAGATTTCCCATTTCCAAGGTTTCTATGCAAGCCAAGAAGTTCAAGAACATTGAACCATCAATGATAGGTACTAGGTATACAAGTATACTTCAACGTCAACATTCAATGTTGATATCTATACACCCAAGTATACTCAAGGTTATGATAGAAACATGTCCTCATCCTCATTCTCATCCTCGGTATCATTCACTTCCTTATCATTCCACCCCTCATCAACTGTACACATAGCAATACGCTCCTCCTCCTGCCACCTTTTACCCAACTCATCCCACTCCTCATCAGTCAACACCTCAACATTTTGCAGAAATATTTTTATCCTTCTGCTTTGACTTTTGAGCGAACATACTGTGTAATGTGCAATTCCCAACCACTTATTCCCGAGATCAATGGCTTCTTCGGCCATCTCATCAGCGCACCAAAGGAAGTGTATAGCGTCGAGGTTCTTGCCTTTTGCTAAGAAGTGTTTATAACACTCTATGTAAAGGCGTACACATTTTTCTTCTCTGCAAACGGTCAGCTTTCACAAATGCATTATGTCGCAGAGTTTAGGGACTACTTACGCAAAGAATAACTCTGGGGCCCAGTGAAGTTTCTTGAGTGTCATCACACGTCTCTCAAAAAGGGTCACGTTATGAAGGGAGGTATCTTTTGGCTCTGGGTTCTTTCGTTCTGTCTGCGCGAGCCTGTTCTGTGACTTCTCGGCTTGTGCAATATACCGGTCAAATTTTATACTGTACCCGTCGCAAACGTTACATCTGCAATCGAACCCCCATCTCATCTTTAGGTCCCTCAATCGGTCGGCTCTGACGGGCAGGACTGGGATATAGTTGATGGTCAGCTCCTCACCCGTTTCGATAGGCCGGGAAGCCGTGGCACGGAAATAGCCTCTTGTAGTATCGCAATGATACCATAAGTTGGGGTCGCATGAGTGGTTGAATCTGCTCGCCTCAATGAAGACAGCGGACTGGGCTGGGACTTTGTGTCCCGATTCATCTCGTTTCGAAGGCTCGATTTCGAAAGAATTGGCGTTGTAGATCCTACACACGAGAATATATTTCCGGAGTGTTTCCTGGGAATGTGGATCGTCACCTGGAAGGATACTTGTTTTAAAGTATTCATGTAGTGCTTGTACCTCAGTAGGGTTTGGGGCGGAATGTAGTTTGAGATACTCAATTTGTACTTGCTCGTCTAGTGTTCCGAAGTTTTGGATGAGTTGTGAGGCACGGTCCTCAAGGTATTGAGTATCACTGCACCAGAGACTCCCTTTCTCCACGAGGATTTCGTCTCCGGTGTCCAAATCTCTAGTTGCAAAGACGCCCAAGCCCTTTCCTTCTGTTGGCACTATCGCGAATGGAGATCCCGTGTGAACAGGAGGATAATTTCCTATGTTGTCGCTGATTACCTGTTGGCTCCAGTTGTCATCTTGTTTATCATTAGCCATGGTGTTTTTATGAGCTGTACTGCAGTAAGCGTTGAAACTAGGTACTGTTCAACCTTTGAGGACTCCCCCTTGAGAACGAGGTAATGCGGAGGTACTACATGGCTGCTCGAAGATGGATTTAAGTCAACCAGAAAATAACAGTCCAATTGAGGGTCAGAAATGCAAAGGAGAGAAACAATAGACTAGTTCCTGGGATACAACCAATCTTGTCACCGGAGCTCTTTATGATGACAATAACAAAACATTTGACGACACCTAAGATGTAGGCATTGTTCAAGTCGTAGACAAAGACAAATATGGTTGGATCTAGGTCGAGATATTGGTCCTTTTAAGAAACCAAGACCCATGTAGATCAAGTCTATTGTTAACCGTCTTTGCTCAATCCGACTGTATATGTTCGAATCACTATTTGTGCCGGCTCGAATCCTAGGCTATCAACATCCAGATGTGGTGGCCCTTGCAACAATAGCATTTGATATAAAACTCGTCATCACCTTCTTACATCAAGGTAAAGGTTTTCGGGGCAGATCAGCATCGATCATAATGGCAGAAGCGACTGAGCCCACACACACAGAAGAGTCCGAGCCCGAGCCCACGCACACAGAAGAGGACTACCAGGGCTGGGTTACAAGAGTTGATGATATTGTAGCATCAATCCAAAATAAGTTTGGAAATTTTGGGGATAATGGCTTTGACAGCCTTGGGCATCATTTTCTCGCGGCGTATACAGACATGAGGGATGTGCTAGGCGATATTTCGAAAGTACTCCACGAGCCAAATAATGAAAGAGAACGCGTTCTCTTCAACCGAGCTGTTGCGCTCCTAAGCTCATTCAACGATTTTGTGGCGGGCGCCATAAGCTCGGCCGCCGATATCAGATTGGTATATTTTCAGTTGTTGGCCCGCGTGGCCGAATTTTCTCGACAACCCTTTATCTCGCTACATAGTGATATTGCACTCCACCTCCAAGATATGATCCTCCAAGTTGGTAAACACAAACCTCCCCTAAGCGAGGTATGGGATCCCCTTAAAAATACCGATCGAACTAATCGGCAAAGATTGCAGCCCATCTATAGGGATTTTCTAGACTATAGCAAAACCTTCAGAGACAAGTCACCGTTCCTTACAAACGATGTCGAAGAACAGCGACGGTTTATCCAACGATCGCAAGAGTCTGTCAAAGCGGCCCTGATGCAGCTTCGTATACCCGAGGCCGCACAGGGAATACGTTATCATTTATTTGACCCTCACTCTCGTCCCACATTCATAGACTACCCCCATGATTCGGACGAGTTCCGTTATGGGCTCGGTCAACGACCAGGGCTACTTGATCTCATAGAGAGGCTTGGTGGCCCGATAAGTGCCGCCGAGAGAGCTAAAATGGATGCTGCATATAATTCGCCAAATCCAGTAGCGCCATCACCAGTGCAACCACCGCCTCGACCATCAGCGGAAAAACCAGCGCGACCACCAGAGTCAGAGTCAGAGCAAGAGCGAGGGCCAGAGTCAGAGTCAGAGCCGGAGCAAGAGTCAGAGCAAGAGCAAGAGCAAGAGTCGGAGCAAGAGTCGGAGCAAGAGTCAGAGCAAGAGCAAGAGCAAGAGTCGGAGCTAGAGTCAGGGCAAGAGCAAGAGTCGGAGCAAGAGGAAGAGTCGGAGCCAGAGCAGGAGCAGGAGCAAGAGCAAGAACCAGAAGCCCCTCCAACGTACGATATGACAGACAGGCAAGCTTTGGCGGACATCGAGGACATCTGCGATGAAATGATAAACGGTGGTCAACCCCGGCCTGAGACTGTGGGACTTATTACCCCAACCACCCGGAACCGTCGCGACACGTTGAGAAGCTACAAAGATAGACTCAGCCGCGACCTTAGAGATGTCCGAAGAACTTTGTTCAATCCACAGAACACTCCAGCACACCTGACCCCCGAGCAGAATAGAAGACTGGGAAATGAACGACGTAGACTGCAGACTAGCATAAGAGCGGGGTTGGGTTCGGGCAGCAACAGCATCCTGAAGACGATCCGAATCAACGCCGTGCATCTCAAGCTGCTGACCGCGATGCTAGTCATGTCCACGGTACAGAGGGAGCCGCCGGTGCCGTACGCCGACCGGATGACGGTGATGAGGCAGCGCATCGAGGACTGGCACCTGTACGAGCAGGCCTGGCAGTCCGCCGACGATAAGGCCCGGAGCAGGACCGAGAGCCAACTCTGGCGGTCCATCAAGACCGCCCGCCACAACCGCCGCAACAACATGGCCTTTTTTCAAAGCATAATCGACGGCCTGGAAAACGCCATCCCGTACTATAGGCACCACCCGACGCACCGCCCGCCGCGCGATAACATGCTACTCGAGTACTACCCCCCCGTGCCACCCACCCCAACCCCGGGCCCTAAGATCATGAAGGACCCCCCTCCCCCTCCCCCTCCCCCTCCCCCTATAAAGAACCCCCCTCCCCCTGTGAAGGATCCCCCCCCCCCTCCCACAGGGAAGAAGCGGCCACCGCCCAAGACCACCACGCCCCCTCCCCCCAAACGAAGACGCCCTCCCCCCGACCCCGAACCCGACCCCGACTCCGACCCCTCCCCCACCCCCCCGCGGCCGCCCCCCTCGCCGCTCCCGCGCCTGCTATCCCTGTACATGTTCGAGGCGCGGCGGCCGTCGCAGTCGGGGCACCTGTCGGGGCACGGGGCGCGGGCGCAGGCGGCGCGGGACTTACTGTGGCACCGGGCGCAGGCGCTGCCGTCGGCGCGGCAGCAGCTGCGGGCGCTGGAGGAGGCGCAGCGCCGCGACGAGGCGGCCGACGCCGCGCGGGGCCAGGCGCTGCGCGCGGGGGGGCCGGCGCGCCACGAGGAGCTGCCGAGGCGCTCGGCGCTCGACAGGCTCGTGTACATGGTTATCCTGACGATGTGGCGGGTCAGCCAGGGGCAGGGGATTGTGCCGTAAAAAAAAAGGGGGGGAGGAATGGGCGGGCGGATGGATGTAGTTAGTAGTGGGAGTTTTGTTTGTTTGCTTGGCGAAATTTAGTTAGATAGATGGATAGATAGGTAGGGTAGCCTTGAATGTGTTTGTTTGCTAAATAAATAAATACCTAGGTTTTCATTCTTTATTTATGTAACTACGTGGACGGCTGTGAATAGGTGCTTATGGAGAGTGAAATTTGTAGTAAAAAGGGGTGTTGTAGACGTTTAACCTAGGTTAACCTAGTTATGTTATTAATGCCTGCAAATCCCCGTGACTGAACTGTATTTACCTACGCGGCTAAGTAAATCACTAGACACGGATAACTATGTACCTAACCTTGGAACACACCAACCATGCTACGTATGTAGTCCAAGTAAACAACAATGCTGATTAATATGATGTCAGTCCCTAACCCACCTGCCGAACATCGTGTACCTAGCTACGTAGTAGGGATGGTTTACAGCCAACCAATCGCCTCCTTCTCTGTGTTCCCCACATTCCGAAAATGGCAACTACCTAACCTAGGATAATGTTCTGCTTCTGTTGGTGCCACGAACCCGGAGATGATCCCTCTAGATCATGTAAGGAGGAAATTAATGCCATCTTGAGTAGGTACATTAGTCAATACCTGGGCGCTTAGGAGAGACAAGCCTGAACACACAAGATGCCACCTTACCTAAGGACTCTCATGTAGGTTCTTACCGTACCTCCTGAGGTAGGTGGGCAGGTACCTACTAGGTAGGTAGATAGGTAGTCATCCACGTAGACCATCACTTCACAGGCACACGCACGTAGTCAAACCCCCAGAGAGAAAAAAAAGATAAAATATGATTCATTACCTAATCCAAACCCCCTTAACCCTAAGCCCTCCAAACGTCCTATGCAAGGTAGGTAGCTGACTACCTAGACACCCAAGTCCTGCAAATCAAATCTATCGTAGTTCTGTCTTCCTAGCATGAACCTCATAATCATAATACGCCGTATTAACACCAACCCCAAAACTCCGTCGGCATATCTGTCGTCAAGTGCCGTCCTCAATAGATATACCCCTGCATAGGTAGGTAGGTATATAAGGGTATCAAAATCATCCAAGCCCATCGCACATCATAAGAAAAAAAAAAGCATGAAACCTAAGTCCTCCTCTTCCTCTAACCCTCTCTTTCTTTCTCTCTCTCTCTCTCAAAAAAAAGAAGAATCTTACAACTCCATCGGATCCTGCCTCCTAACTCCCCACTCCTCCAACAAGCTCGGGTCCTGCGGATCCCCTTCCACCACGGCCCCCGTAAAGATGGCCCTGCACGCCTCCAGCCTCGCCATGAACACCCCTCCATCTTCGGGGTCCGAGTTGACAAACATCTCATCGATGACGCTCAAGACACTCAGCCCGGCCGCGTCGCGCACATAGGGGTTCGCGCCCAGGCTCAGGAGCATCTTCAGCGCCACCACCTTGCCCTCGCGCGCGGCGACGTGCAGAGCCGTCTCCCCAGCGCGGTTGCGCAGCTCGAGCTGCGCGCCGTGCTTATACAGCATCTGGATGGCGTCCTCCATGTCCTGCCGGTCGGCCCGCGAGTCCTCCGGCCGGTGGCGGATGAACGCCATTAAGGGGGTCTGCCCCGACAGGTCGTAGTGGTTCACGTCGACGCGGGCGAGGAGAATGCCCCGGAGGTAGTCTATGCGCCGGTCGTTGCAGTTGGTAGTATTATTAATAGTAGTATTACTCTCGTCGTTATCGCTGAATTCATACCGGTCGTGCCCTTCCAGCTTCCGCTTCTTCCGTCGTTGGTTGCTGGGGCGGCCGGTATCTTGACCGTTTCGTCCCTCGCGCACGGCGGCGGCATCGAGCTTTACCTCCGCGAGACAATGTAGCGCGTTGCGGCCGTGGACGTCTTCGACACGCGGGTTGGGAAGCGTTGAGTTCACGCCCTCGACTTTCACGGCGTCGACGACGAGCCGCAGCATCATGGTCTGCGTTGCGATGCGCGCCTCCTCGCCGCTGCCGCTGCCGCTGCCGTGGGTTATGTCGAGCATGGTGAGCGAAGGAGGTTCTGCATTGATGGAACCCGTCGCTGCGTTCAGGGGACTGGACCGACGTGTCGCTTGCCGCATTCGGGACTCTAGGGGATTGACACCAAAGGCGTCCCGCCGCCTAAGCAAGGCCCAGTTGAACAGAGACGCCGGGATACAGCCTCGGGGGTTTCTCTTGTTCTGCAGCAGGTGGAAGAAGCTGCGCCCGTATACGTCCGTGGCTAGGTAGTCGAAGTTGGCGTCTTTGAGTTTGTTGACAAGTTCGTCTAGGGAAAGTGCTGAGTCCTCGTCAAACCAGGAGTCGTGGAGGACGTGAAGAAATGTCTGCCCAGCGGTGTTCCGGTTGCGTGTCGGTATAGTTGGATTCATGAGTGCCAGGGAAATGAGGTTGATGAAGAAAACTCGATTGTCGATTGTGGCTACCAAGTTAGTAGCAAGGTGATGGAACGCCGTGTTGCCGAAGGCATCTATTCGTTTGTATACATCATTAGAAGAGATGTGGTCCGTCGTATATTGAGAACCATCAAATGACCATGGGCTCTCAGCTAAAGTTGGATCACTGACGATGCGGCACCAACAAGTCCTCATCTCGTGCGATTCGGATTTAACATCACAATTTCTCTGCTGAGCAGTAAAGTCTGCTTTCAAAAAGTCACCAGGAACAATGTATTGCGCATCGAATGGAGGTTTGGTAGCTGGTCCACCAGGGTCGGAAAAGCCTGTGTGAGTAGGATTGGACTGTGATTCAGGAGCAAGCAGAGGAGAAGAGGAAGTTCCTTGTTGGGTATCGGGATCATTTGGAAAAGTATATTGCTTCAAAAGCTGCCAGACTCCCTTGGCTTGGTCATTAGAGACGGCATTTATGAATTTATTTCGAAAGCTACTAGTCATACTAGTTTCGGTGGAGTGAGTAAAGCCGGTATCAAAGCGAGATAGTCTACCACCGAGACTCCTTGGATGGGTGGAAGCAGACGTTCTATGTCCCCTTCGCCAACTCTTCTCGAGAGCCTTGATGCGACGTTTCTCGTCATCTTCGTCTTTCGGTCTAAGCCATCGAGCATCGTTGCCAAGAAGGGCGTTCTTGACTTTGTTGGCAGCATCCTAAGGCAGTATGTTAGTCCTCTGAACGTGAAATGAATGGGCCATCATTTTGAAAAAAGAAAAAGGTGCTGGTATAACATGATAATATGATAATATGGTAATACGCGCAGTTATGTGAATGAAAAGAGAATAAGGAGATTGGCCACAAGTTATGTGGTGTTCTTAAATCGTACCTTACTACGACAAAGTAAGTCAGCGACACAATTTTGTATAACAAGAATGAAGAAGTTAAACAAACCCAGGCTTCCAGACACCATCACCCAAAAGCTTGAGTATAGTATCCAATGGTAGCTTTGTGTAAAGGTATAGTCGCGCTAGTTTCCGTTTTCGAGTTTCTGTCCAGTCTTTAGGGCGACCACCTTTAACGGTAGAAGCGGTAGTGGTAGGTGAAGCTGCATCCATAGTGGCGGGTAAAGCGCGCGCTAAGAAATAGTTCGCTTAGGCTGCATAGGTAGTACCTATATATATGTGTGTGTGTACGGGTTCATGAGAATATGTGGAAGACAGCCCCTCTTGTAAGAGGCAACCACACTATTCAATAAGAACAATAGGAACAATAGGAACAATAGGAACAATAGGAAGCAATATCGGTGCATTTAGATGCATACTTAGTAGGCTTGCGGCTCTTGGGGCCAGGGGAGTTTTTATAAGTAGAATGGTAACTGGACGCATAGTTGTGGACGATGTACTTTATACAGCTTATACCACAGCATTGTTTTTCTGGACGATAGAACGGCCAAACAAGGGAGAGGTAAGTAGGAAAAAGTGAAGAATGGGGTGTATGAGAAAGAGAAATCTGGGGTAGGGTTAGTAAATTTCGTCTTGCAATAGCTTTAGCTTAGTCCAAGGGGGGTGTATTTTGTAAGAAAAAGTAGAGAAATTTGGGGTAGGGTTAGTAACTCTCATCTTTTTACAACAATTTTAGCTTAGTCCAAGGCAGTCAGTTAGGCAGTTCTATGACATAGGTAGCAAGAGAGAAGAGGAGAGAAGAAGAGGGCGAGAGACAGGGGAGGTATGGATGTAACTATGTACCTACTGTAATTGAGTTCAAAGTTCGACATACTACCTAGTAGTAGTCAACGGTTGTGAGGCCCCGAGGGAGGTAACAGGGGTTCATACGGGCTGTGACCGGATTGCTGAAGTTCAAAGTTATTGGCCATCCTTCCACGATTCTCAATATGCGTATGCGAAAAGCCTTCATTAGTACAAAAAGAATCCTGCTTGCTTACGTTTATGTTTATTTCATCATTTTTATAATTACCATTGTACATAGTAGATCCATAGTCCATCATTCATGAGGGTATTAGATCGCAAACCAGCACAGTGGCTGGCGAACTACAGAGAAATCGGACTGTATGTGTGGTACGGTCTAGCAAAATATTTCTTACTCCTAAGCCAAAAAAAAAAAAAAAAAAAAAAAAACCAACTGACATATACCAGCCAATCCTCAAGCCTTAACCATTTTGTTGGTAATTATTCTGTAACAACGAGTTGAGTTGGTTAAACATTATTGCATCGGATGCCGATTATGAAAAGAGAGAAAAACATTCGAAGAAGGGTAAAAAAGCAGTGATAATAAAGTGCACGATAATAGATAATAGGTAGGTACATTTCGTTCGCTTCTTTCAATGCAAAGCTCACCAACCTGGGTATATACTTCTTGTAGCTCGACACTTTGAACCTATGGATAGACGCCGGGTTGGCTGCCTCACAACAATCGCAACAACCTGGAAAGTGTAAAAAGTGTAAAAACTAAACGACTGCCACACCTGCACATATTGCATTTACTTTCATGGTTACTCGACTTTACACATATTACTAACACTATATTACTATACCCAGTGCATAATTCAGGTCATATTCACTATATTCAGGTACATATACTCACTAAGTATATACTGGCTATATACCTATGCAATATACCTAGTACCATATGTACCTATACAGTGTAGAGTCTACCTACCTTCACATAGACTACATACATATATGTACATACATACATACATACATACATACATACATACATACATACATACATACATAACTACATACATAACTACCTACACACACACAGCTCCAGTGTAGGCAAAGGAAAGCCGAGGAACGGCCAAGACAAGATCTTTATACAGCACAACTCATCGTCGCCCCCACGTATAGTTAGTAGGTGCCCAATAGGGTAGCGAATAGGGTGGTTTAATCGTGAAATTTGACGATGCCAATCACCACATTAGCATTTATTCTACATACCTACCTACTTACTGCACATCAACTAATATGCGATAGGCACAGAAATTTTCCACGGTTCGATACAAGCCGTATGGACATGTACTTGGCACCATGTCGTCAATCCGGCTCAGGGAAGACTAGGGTATCTAGTAGTGCAAAGTGATGAAATGGGCCGAAGGGTTAATACGATGTATTGATGATGGCTTACACTGTTAGAGCTCTGTACCAAAAAAAAAAAAAATCATCATGTTCTCGATGGCTTGACCCAACCGCTCAAAGTGCTGGTTTTTCTACTTTGGCTGTAACCTTACGATGTGCCCCCCACATTAAAGAAAATGTTCCAATTGCATGGACGCTCGAACAGCCTTCCTTGCAGGTTGCTTGCATGTTACTTGCAGACGCGCAGAATCCAGGAAATGGTGTACGGGCAAGAAAAACCCCACGATCCGAGTCTACATGTTCGTTGACTGATCGACCAGTCCCATGAAATGCCGGTCTAAGATCCTCGTCTGTGTGAAAGAGACATCGGGAACCAAACGTCCTGTTCCTGGGTATGTACGTCCTGTTCCTGGGTACGTAGTAGGGGACTGTTGGACTGCTCCTCAACTACCTAGGTATGGCATATGCCAGATCTGGATATCAGTTTAAGCACAAGCCACCAGCTCTCTCTGCTGCCTCTGCTCTGCCAGGGGAGGCATCTCTCAATGTCACCCCAACGTCCAACATCTACAACCAATTGCTTGATTGGCTTCTATTTCGTTCTAAGACTTAAACTGAAGCTTTTCTTGACTTATTTTTCAACTTATTTTCAACTTGCGTTTGTCCCGGAGCTCTTAGCCATCCGCCGTTCTCCCAACGCCGACCAAAACACACCCTGCCAGATATTACACATCCGTATCCGACGGCTTGTTGTACACTTCGGTAGACCTTAGTGTCTGACTCTACATATGTACTACGGTTTTTCTACTTCCACTTACTGACGTGGCCATGAAGCTTAGAACTAACAGTAGTTTTCTGTTTGATCATGTTTGTCACAAGGGGAGGCCTCGAGAAGTACAAATAGGCCCTTCCATCCTCTCTGTTTGATTTCTGAAAAGTTGCTCTTCCCATCATCATTCACGACTCCATTCCCACAGCATCGTGACCAACCTTTGCACCAAAATTTGGTGTCATATCATAAAAGCGCGCGAAACACATTTATCACTTCAAAATCAACGGCAAACTCTGCCAAAGACTACTTTGAACACTAGATAGTCAATAAACACACATACATTCTCGCTGTTACCAAGCTTCACAAACTTCGTTGCAATGCCTGCCTCTACTCCATCGTACTATGAAAAGCCAAGGTGATTATGTACCCATGTACCATTGCACCCTTGTACCCACCCTACCTACCTATACCCCACATCCCTATTCTTACCCCCACGCCATTACATACATACTAGTAGTACATAGTATGTAGCACAGCAACTCATTCAACTTACATACATACAACTGTATATGGATGTGCATTGCGCATCAATACTGCTATGTAGAACATGCTAACTCTTTCAAAAGCGCCTCCTACTATTTGCAGTTCCAAAAGGCTGCAGAGAAGTCGGACAAGCTCAGCGCTTATACCAAAGAGGCCGACCCTCTCATGGACAAGTTCTTCGTGACTGGAGAATCCAGCGGCAAGTCAGGGGAATCCATGAGAGCTAAACTAGCTGCATGGGACACCCGCTTCAGCGATGCCTCTAAGAGCGGATAATCGATCCTCAAAAAGAGCCATCGCATCGCGCCTATTTCGCTGGTGTCCCGAGAGGGAAACTGCGGCAAAATGGCGCCCATCTAACTCTCTTATCGATTTGGTTTTTGCCTTTTTGACTTTTTGATACTTGAGTTTTTTGGCTTTTTGGCTTGACAGCCTGTGGACGATGATGAACAACAACAAAAAAAAAACACAAAACACAAAAAAACACCACAAAACAAAAACACCAAAAAAACACACCAAAAAAAAACCACCAAAAAAAAAACCGACAGCAGGGATGAAGATTGGGAAATTGACTGAAGGATACTCAATGAGCAATCATTGAAGTGGTAGGATATCAAAATGGATTTAGACACTTGGAGTACTCAGGTACTATGTAGGACTTTGGTGAAATGGGTTTCATGTATTACTCTCTCATAGTTTTCGTTAATAGCAGCGAAATCAGAAAGCAAGAGCGCGCCTAGTTCAAGTCTTGGCTGCGATTTATACGGGGACCCCAGCTTTTCCATGTTCCACCTGCTAGTGACTACTAGACTCTAACGTATTAGACCTAGAACTGGACCAGACTCAGATCCGGACCACCTCAAAACAACAGCAATACCAAATCACTTCAAATAATTATTACGCCGCCAAACATTTACTAAATTTGATATAATTTAATAATATGATATATTATCTCAGTTTAAATATAAATATCATATTAAGAATTAGGTGCATCGGTTGCGCGGTTCGGAATTTGATAATATGTATGTATACATAGTAGGTTTTATGCAACTAAGCAGTATAAAAGTCGTATCTCGATGAATCGGCGTCGGATCTTTTTTTAAATTTTTATATTCGTATATTTCGATATGATAAACACGTTCGTAAAGTTTCGTTTCGTTTGAGGCAGGATTCGTGGCGTTATAAATTCTTTTAAGTGATTTGGTATTGTTGTTGTTTAGTGTTGTTTTGGGGAGGTTTTGGGAGGTTTTAGGTATCCTAGGTAACTAAAAAATTAAGGTGGTCCACATCTGAGTCTGGTCCGGTTCCGGGTCTAATACGTTAGAGTGCCCTTTTAATAAAAGTGCTTAAATCTTTAATGGCCCCCCCACATGAACGCTTGATCTCACGGCGCTCATTGGCTGGTTCTAATCGATTAGGCCGGAATAGGAAATAATTCAAGTTTTCGACCAGAAGAGGGCAGAGGAATAGAATTATGTTAGTTAACTATTGTACTTTGTACTAAGGTTGTTTCGCTTAAGATGCCTACATATGTAATACTTCGTACATAGTTAACTACAGAAAGATCGAGAATCAACCATCAGTTGGGTCGCGATAAATCGCAAACCGATCAGAATATTTGTTACTCAAATGGGTTGCGCATACATGCATTTAGTAGCCAAAAGGCGCTGGATTTATCCTTACATAGGTTAGTAGTTTGTGATAGCTAGTACCCATACAAACTATGATGCAGTGATGCGCTACTACTAGTAGTAGTACTAGTATGTAGTTACCAGATAGCGAAGTGCGTAGCTTACTCAAACAAGTACGTCGCGAATCGATTCAAGTTGAAATATATGTCACTGATGGAATGGAATGTGCAGCTGCTAAATATCGCTTTTTGATCGATTAGATCTACCTAGGGTAACTTGTCACCCTTCCTTTCCCAAGGTTTACATCAATGATATCCATGTAGTTATCTGGTGATGCAGGTTTCCTACGTGCCAGGTACACAATGCCTGATGCCTCCTCCTGCAGGTCCCTGCACCTTCAAATGTTTTATGTAGCACATGCAGACATCCAAGAAAACCATGTTAAGATATGGGTACTTAAGCATATCCACTTGAAAGGCTCAATTGTTTCAATCACTCATGTGGTCGATACTCAGCCTCAACACTAGTAACTAGTTCCCGAGTCCACAAATGCTGCCAGCCGTTTAAGGCTGGCCATGAACCCAAGTTCGGAGAAGGAGGAGAAAAGAAAACATAAGAAAAAAAAAAAGGGTGGCGCCCAGGTTTACCCCCTTTTGTTCTAGGTAGCAGCGTAGATTGACTGCCTAGTATCTATGTATCCAACTCTGCGATCCTGCAAAGAGCGAAAAGAGTTCGGTCAATTTCGAAACACATACCTACTACTAGGCACATAACAACAAATTCAACAATACATGCACCCTACACCTTGAGAGTGCCTGGGTACGAAACTACGTACCTGGTTTTGCAGACACCCTGCAAGGTGGAAGCCCTCCCTGTTGCTTTTGCACTGCTTGGGTATCTACCAGGTGCCTACCTCCCTGCTCCGTACATGATGTGTGCCCGATGATGAACAGCCTCTATTGAGACCCCAAAGCCGGCCCACCCATCATCAGCCAAGAACCGAGAGAGGGCAAAGAGAGGGGTGAGAAGCGCCGACTCGGCCTTTGCAAAAAAAAATGAAAGTCATCTGGGCTTTTCGGGGGAAACTAACTGCCCACTCACCACCCAGTTGTTTCACGTCGCTAAGCCTCTGTCCAAAAACTTGAAGCGGCTTGAAAAAAAAAAAAAAAGAGTAAAAATCACTTAGGGTGTAGGGTGGTCAATAGGTAATAGGTATGTCGGAAAGCTGCGTTAGAGTGCTAGCTACTAGCAATGTAGGTACGTAAGAACGGCTGCTAAACATTAGGGAGTAGTTTCGGAGCTTTCGTGATTGAAGCGACCTGATCTAACATCATCTTGCGAAAGCTGTCTGCGATGGGCTGGCTACTAACTATCTGTGCATACATGCACACCTACATCCGACGATCAAGGCTGCATCTTACTATGTATAGATAGGTAGGTACACAGGGAGCTGTAGTATCCATCTGATGATCTGAACTATCTGCATGTACATGTTGCACTGCATAGTGTGACCAGTGGCCACAGCTTAAGTCCCGAGAATCAAACATCATCCACTTATCGCCGTCTCGGATTTTAGAGTGCGGCGGAAGATTGTCCTTGTGTCGCCTCCCGGGCCGGGACGGCCACACGCATGCTAAGCTTTTATTTCGCGGTTAGGCTAGGTGCATGTTTAGATCCGGCGGGAGGGTTCTTGGGTGAGCCCGGCTAGGTACATATGTATATGGCATGTGATATGATATCGCCTTTGAGAGCACGTTCGGTTCATAGGGAGATAGACATTAAGGGAGCACTGGATGTCATAGGACGTTATACGAATCCATGGCATCTAATTCACCTCTGAGCAGGGTGTGAACAGAGCAAGCAACAGGAGAAGCACCATGCCTTGCTTAAGCTTATATTTCCTTCCGCCTCTAAGTTCCTAGTGACTTTTCTTATGATCGCCGAGTTAAACCTTGAGGCGAGATGGTTACCTAGGTGAACAAGCGTGTATACGCCAAAGTCTAAATCTAATTGTAAGTTATACGTAGTCAAAGTCAAGCCTTCAGTGTTGTTCACACTCGTGTTTACCTCGTCTGCCATAACTACATATCGTACAATACAATACAATATACACTCCATCAAGACACATCCATTCTATTACATCAAAACAATACAATATAGTTACATCTATCCTGTTACATCGACAGTCTCACCCACCATGAAGCCCTCCACCCTCATCCAGCGCCTAGTCGCCCCTCTCAGCGCCACCCGGACCCTCACCAGCGCCACGCCTCCCCAAGGCCGATTCGCGATCCTTACAACGGAGAAAGACAACACCCAAAACAACAACAACAACAACAGCAACGACATCATCACCAACCCGCCCTTCACCCTCTCCGACGCCACCCTGCACACCGACACCTTCCCGCCCCCGGCCTCCTGGCCCAACAGCTGGAAGATCCCCGTCTCGCACTCGGCCTGCACCTCGTGGGCGCTGCCGGCGGCGCGCATCCGATCCGCCATCGGCGACATCATCACCTGGGGCGACACGCCCACGCCGGCCTTCCCGCACCCCGTGCCCAAGCTGATCGAGCCGCGCACCTGGCACCTGGCCACCGTCGCCAACGCGACCGCCTACGTGTGCAACTGCAAGTGGGAGCACTACGACCCCGTCCCCGCCGACGAGATGTGGGAGTTCTACTACCGCCTCGTCGCCATGTGCGGCCACGGCCAGAGCGGCTGGCTGTTCTCCAAGAAGTGGGACAAGGGCTTCGCCGTCGCCGCCACCGACTGGGTCGAGGGCATGAAGCCCCAGCTGAGGATTTGCCCGCCTTATTGTTGTGGTACGTTCTTTTTTATTGTTTGTCTGTATTTTCTTTGATGCTGAGAAAGGGAGGGAGAAAAAAAAAAAGGGGGGGGGGGGGGGGGGGGGTGGACGTGTGTGCTTATGGAACGGTTACATACAGAGAGGCTAACATTTCGTGATACTCTAGGTTAGGTTGAGGAATTTCATACCTCCAATTACCTTCAGATTAGGCGAAGACTCTGGAAAGCGAGGGTCGACATGAGATTTCCTTCCGATTGGAAAACCCGCCATCACAGCTGAGTTCCAAGATAGCCAACTACCTACCGATATCAAAGAATAGGGAGAAGGGAGAAGGGAGGGTATCTACGACGAGTGTATAAAGGGAAGAGGGGTTTAAACGAAATACAGTGTATGATTCACATAATAGACGCCCCAGTAGCGTAGGATGGATAAAGTAGCTTTGGAAAGAATTGGATTCTCATATCTATAGAGCATGGTTATTAGAGTGGTATAGCAAGCAAGCAATCTTGGGAACAGTCCCTCCTCCCAAGCCCCAGTCCTAGCCATGCAAAATGCCGCCTATGGTACAGTTACACTCCCAGCCAGAAAGGACATTGCTGTCTCATGAATATCGTATCGTGGTCACATCACGCATTAACAGAAAGAAGAAGTTACACATTCTCAACAAAAAGATCCCAAGATAAGACTTGGCTTTTTTGTGCTTGAAGAACAACAATCATCTTACTAGGATGGACCATCGACCACAATGCCCGTCTCCTGGAGCAGAAGCTCACTCAACGTCGAACCGTCTCGAAGGTAGACCCATTCTCCCTTGCCAGTGTCTTGCTTCTGACCTTGGCTTTCGCTGATGACATAATCGTATCGCTTCGGGCCGGTCACGGGAGACGCCAACCAGATCTGCTTGTTGGGCGGCTGCTTGTTGAGGACATAGGTGCCGACGTTGGGGATCTTAACGGTCATAACGCCAGCCTACAAGGAGAGAGCAAATCAGTTAGCCTCACATTTCGGTGTATCCCATTTCGAACCGATTTGGGGCATCTCATCTCGGGATGGATAACTTACACTGAACTCAACATCAATGTCGCCATTCTCGTCTTGCAATTCCTCGTACTTCTCCAAAACCGCCTCAAGGTATTCATTGGCTAGTTCATGATACTGGTTGTCGGTGAGAGGTGCGGCTTTCTTCGCCGTTGCCGGTGGAGGAGAAGGCTTCGCGAGGCGCAAAGTGGTAGAGAACGGACGCGAAGGAATAAATTGGCGGGGGAGGGTATGAGCTCGGACGGAGATGACAAGGCGGCCGGTGTTGAAGGCGGCCGCGCGACGCGTCATAATCGCGACGCTTCCGGCGGCCAGCCGGCCAATTTTCGTAAAACTTGCGCGTGACATGGTCATCTTTGATGTTGGTATTCGAAGACTGTACTGTTGGTCTCCAAGGCGTGTTGGATGTTCAGTGTCTGAGTAATCTCATGAGTCTAATGATATCTAATTGTTGGAATGTCCACCGAAGATATATAAAGTCATCACGCAGCGGTGGTGGTGAATGGTATATCGATGACAATGATTGAAATGTAGAAGATGACAAAAGGTCGCAATTATGACGGGAACATGCCAATCATGTAGGCACACAGGCGTTAACGTTCACGATAAAGAAGGTGAGAAGAACGATTGAACGCCGTTTCCTAGAATATTCAATGTCATCTAGAAGAAGGATCACTCCATTTCGGTCGATAATGGAAAGTGAGCCTCGTATTGACGAGTGGTTCTTGATTCACGACAAATGGGAAAGGATGAAAAAAAGAATAATTGACAATTAACCAACAGCTTTTGGAACGGCGTTCCCCGCCTTTAGCTCCCCTCCATGAGGTACCTACTTAGTACTAGGTTAGGTACTTAGGTAAATACTTCTTGGACCTACCCATAGCTACATATGCGAACCCCTGCAGCCACTGAGCTACTAGGTACCTAGGTTACATAGTAATTGCTCTTCAGATGGCCCGAGCTCCTTATGAGCTCATGATCCTTTCTGTCCCTCTCTACAAGCCCTGGACTCCTAGTCTTTAGTCCTAGGTTAGACCTTTCATCCACGGGAACTTTCTTGAGTTTTGTGAGAGGACCTAACCACTACTATGTACCTAGCAGGTGCCAAAAAGATATATCTAGTAATTAATACCTTAATAAGGGCTTATGGTCGCGCAACCTGTCCAACATGTCTTAGAAATTGTGTGTCGTCGGAGGATTTATATAGAAGGATTCGTGGGGGTTCCTTGGTCCTTACTAATGGAAGCACACACACAGGCTGTAGACGACAAGCTCGAGAAGAGAAAAGATTTGGCCGGAGCCCGGGACGAAAAGGACAGGCAAAATGTCCACACCTACTAAAGTAGCTACATAGTACCGTATATTTTCGGCATTATGGTCCTCTTGTTAGCTCCACTCATTAATGCGCTTTACTTAATTAGGGTGATTTACCCCAAGGTTTATTCAACTACACCTCATTTCGGAGGGATTCTTATCCGATTCCAGCAATATTAGCACGCAATGTCACGTGTCGGCACGTGAAACCTGCTCTCCAATATTTACGTTTATCTGTTATTTCTTGATAGATATATGAATATTTGAAGCTTCTTAATTAATGCATAACACTTTAAACCTATCCTTATTGAAAAAACATAGAAATAAGATAGGTAAAATTAGGATCACGTGGATTTTGATAACACTAGTACCAGAGCCTCAGCACTGAACTAACCAAATTGGGCAAGGTGCACAAATAAGTGGAGCTGACAAGAGGACCATAATGCCGAAAATATACGGTACTATCGTAGCAGCTTCTCGTTTAAGTGTCACCCACCCACGAAGACCCACCACTAGGTACGGTAGCAATCATGTAAGTAATATGTTTTGCGACTGCTGTACCGTTGGACCGGCAAGCATCGGCGATGAGCTGCATATAGAGGGTTAATATAGAGGGTTAATATCGCTACCGACATCGTTAACCCCAAAACCCTATTCTCCTTCGTGGTCATGGATGGGGGCTGTTCTTATTCTGGCATGACGACACTAGGGAGTCTAGGTATAGAGAGAGTCTTACCCCGCTTCGCAATGACTACAATGAATATAAATATCCCACGAGATACATCTCTTTCTGCTATGAGGCCTTTTTCTCCTTTCTCCTTTCCTCTCTATACTTCTCACTTTACCGTGATAAACCCATAAAACTTATTGCATTTGCAAATAATCGTACGCATCGTATTCAAGAATAGACCTTGATCACTCCTTACATGAGGAATTATATACTAACTATTATTATTAACTTGAACAGGACCGATACTCGGTACGCGTCCAAGATGGCACTCCCGCCATTGGAGGACATGACCTAGGATGGGTTATCCAGCAGGACTTCAAATGACTGCACTTGATCAGAACCCTCATCATAGGTAAAAAATCTGGGATGAGCCATGAGCCGGTGTTCGAGTCTCTGCGTCCCGTTTTGGAAGTACATCCAACCTTACCTTACACATTTAGAAAGTGACATTTCTAAATGCTGCGTTTGGAGATGTATGGAAGAAGGGAGTCAACGCGGAGCTTGTTCTGAGATTATACGGCCGAAAACTTGATCTGGATAATACCAGCGAAAGGATCATGCTCTCGATGACCCCCTAACCCCCCTTTAGCAACCACTAACACATAGTAGAAAACATACTTGATAATTCTATTCAAAATGGCACCATCCGCAACCTTCGTCGAGCCTACTACCCTCCCTCACAAGGATGGCGTTCCTGCTGGCAATGGAAAGGTCCAGGCCAAGGGAGATGTTCAGGTTGCCAACGGCAAATGGGAGAGCTTTACTTTTGACCCCATTAGGGAGTCCCAGGTCGCCCGTGCCATGTATAGCCGATACTTCAAGGACCTCGACACCTATGCCGAGTCCGACATCGTCATCGTTGGCGCGGGCTCCTGCGGTCTGAGCACTGCTTACACCCTTGCCAAGGCCCGTCCCGATTTGAAGATTGCCATCATTGAGGCTAGCGTCTCTCCTGGTACGCTCCAATGTCATATCACATATAACTAGAAGACTGACGAACTTAGGTGGTGGTGCTTGGCTCGGTGGCCAACTTTTCAGCGCTATGGTGATGCGCAAGCCTGCTGACAAGTTCTTGGCCGACCTTGGTGTGCCCTTTGAGGACGAAGGGTCCTACGTGGTTGTCAAGCACGCTGCGCTCTTCACATCGACCCTGCTGTCGAAGGTCTTGGCTTTCCCCAACGTCAAGCTCTTCAACGCTACTTCTGTCGAGGATCTCATCACTCGCCGTGATGAGTCCGGCAACATCCGAATTGCTGGTGTTGTGACCAACTGGACTCTTGTCGCCATGCACCACGACGACCAGTCTTGCATGGACCCCAGTACCATCAATGCACCAGTCATCATCAGCACCACTGGCCACGACGGTCCTTTTGGCGCCTTCAGCGTCAAGCGTCTTGTCAGCATGCAGGCGATCGAGAAACTTGGCGGCATGCGTGGATTAGACATGAACACTGCCGAGGACGCCATCGTGAAGGGTACCCGAGAGATCGTGCCGGGCTTGATCGTAGGCGGCATGGAACTTAGTGAAGTTGATGGAGCCAACCGTATGGGACCAACCTTCGGGTAAGTACCTCCTAGAGATCTTCACACGTATAGTCAAGGGATTTAGATGCTAACTAGGATGAAGTGCGATGGCCTTGTCTGGTGTGAAGGCTGCCGAGGAAGCTTTGGCGGTTTTCGACCAGCGCCAGAAAGAGAATGCCATTTAGAAATGAAGTCTAACCTGGGAATAGTAGATGGTGAATGGTTCGTTGATCAGTCGTTTTTTTGATTTATCATCTTGAGGTTATGATGTTTGCTTGTTGGAATTGGGATGAGCATACAATCCGCCAGAGAACACATTCATTGAAATGCAATCCAGTGCGTTTGGCCTTGGCCTTCATATGCAGTATAGTTCAACATTGTAACTATCGTCTTCATTCATTACGTACCTAGGTACTTAGTGTGTTAATGGTGACGTCTTATTTATGAGATTTTCTCATTGGATCGCATTCCATTCATCGGAATAACTCCGGAATAATGACATTGATCCATTAGACGCCTAACTAGTCAGCCCCACCAGAAAGTTTCTATTTAAAAAACTTCAATTCATTCTTTCTTTCCTTCTTTTCCCTCATCATTCCTCAAGCAAAACATGAATGTCTAGAGAATGATGTGTAGCAATGCACATTCTGCTTATTCGCCATGGCGAATCCGTCGATAATGTAGCTGGTCTCTAGTATGTAAGCCTTTTTACCTTTTATTTCCCTATATTTAAATGCTAACTAACCATTGCCAAGTGCAGGCTCCCGCGATTCACCTTTGACCAATCATGGAGTCCTCCAGACAAAAAGATTAGGTGCATACCTCGCGAAGCGTCATACTGTTATTGGCCCAGTCAAGCACATATTTACGTCGAACCTTCAAAGGGCTTACCAGACAGCCGAGGCCGTCGCCGAAGCTCAAGGTTCCTTGAAGGGTGATTCCTCGGCATCCCAAGTTTCTTTGGAAGTATGTCGGTTGCCTGAGCTACGCGAGAAAGACTACGGGTCATCAGAGGGCAAGAAATATGGCGTCAAAGTTGATGGCAAAGTTGACAAGCCAGATCCGTCAGACTTGGAAACTCATGATTCCATGAGGATCAGAGTTGACCATTTTCTGGACTTACATTTGATTCCAGTCATTGATAAACATGTATCTGATAACGCGGCCGTTGCAGTAGTGGCACATGGTATTATTCTCGGTGTCCTATTTAAAGCATTGCTTGAACGGTTCCCTTCGAGGTCTACCATTGCCACAGAATCCGTTGCTTGGAGCAATACTGGCGTTTTTCAAGCCAAACTGGAACTACGGGAATCCGTGCCACTCACAGACCCACCAGTGTCTAAAGACGGCGTTATTCCTCATATTGATCGAGCCCTAGGTCTTAAAGTCGAGCTGATCAATAATATTGAACATCTCGAAGGTCTGAAGAAGACTAGAGGTGGCATTGGCAGTGCGAAGTTTGATTCGCGACAGCGTACTATGGACTCGTTTTTTACCCCTACTTCTAAGAAGCGGAAGGTTGAGGAGACGAGGAATCCATAGCTTTTGACAAGTTTCAAACTACAATCTCAATGCTACTCGGATTTTTCTAAAAATCCGTAGCTATGGTACGTTTCCAATTATTTCCTTGTTCCAACCCTTTTTTTATATGATGAGAGAGCATATCTCACAGACCTGTTCCGAATTAAATGTGGACAAAAATTATGTCCAACCGCTATCTGATAATTATCCAACTCAAATTCTGTTGCCTACCCTTTTTAGGAACCGCTGCTAATTCAACATGTTCCATTTAGGTGTCCATCCATGCGTTCTTAGAAATGTCGATTCTATATCAGGCTCCTCTTCTACCCGATGTATCACTAGCACTGATGCTATGATCGTAACCATCTCTGGTTTCATTTGACTTGGCAATTTACCTACTCAAGCAGTTACTAGCGTTCATCTGCCTCCGAAGGTAGCTCATTCGGGAACCAGCCGTATTCTGATAGATCTACCATAAGCTCTCCGAGCGCACCCGTCGTGACAGTAACACCTTCAGCTTGTAGCACAGCTGCTTGGTTTCGAGCACCTGATGGTTGTGATCTGCAATTTGGTCAGCATTTACACCATTTCATACTAAGATGGCTATAGTGTACCGTGGCGATATGATGCCTTTGGAATTGATAACTCGCTGCCAGGGTACATTATCATGGTTGTAGTGTGCATCTGCATCCTGCGGGATATGTTTGAGACAAATTCCCACTTGGCGTGGCCGCTGGGCTACAATTTAGTTATTAGTTAATAACCCTTCATCTGATTTACTACCTCTTCGCGGTAGGTAGTACAGATTTTGAATAAAAATATCGATCCAAACATACGGGTTCCAATCAACTTTGCAATGTGACCGTAACTGGTGACTTTCCCGTAGGGAATTTCCTGAACAGCGGCATACACGCTAATATAGAAGATCGTGGCTTCATCTGACCTTGTCATCTTTTAGGTGACGCGGGGGGATAGATATGTGGTTAGATGGACGGATGGATCAGAATTTATGTAACGAGATCTGGAATCCTGGATGTACGGATATGTAAGGCGCCAACGAGGAATTGGTAATGGTATTCCGGTTTTAGAAGGCTGGAAGGCAAGGTGATGAAGCAAGCAAGCAAGCAAGCAAGCAAGCAAGCATGAGATGAATCAACACAAAGGCGGCGGCGTGTATGGCGTGCACGTGTTGCACGTGCTATGGCCCAGTTTCCTTACAGTGTTAGCACGGTGTAAGGTGAAGTTCTTCTAACTGGAAGCTATAAATATATCCAATACCCGTTTGAAATCGGGATCTGAAGCCTCATTTCAGATATATGTAGTATTTACCCGACCTTCACCATTCACTAAAACACGTGCAAAAAAGGACTTGATGTCTCATTCGGGGCAATGATAGTTCTGCTTCAGCTGAGGCTGGTCTGATCTATAGCAATTTCAACAAGTACCTAAGTAGGTAGGTAGCCTTGAGTGGTATAGGAAGGTATTTATGAGATGCGATTTTCTTCAAAGGTCCATCAAGACGCTGTTTCTGGCATAATTTGATAAAAATAGGTACTCTTCCATGGTAATCGTTAATCTCCAACCTAATCTACCTACCTAAGTAGGTAGACAAAGACGATATTTATAAGAGATCCAATTCCTTTCGAAGACTCGGCCGCCAACACCGAGACTGTCGATGATCTCCCCATCGCTCCTCAAGGATCCAGTTCACGATGCTAATAGATCCTTCCCCACCAAAAACTACAATCATTGCTAGAATCGTAGTCGATTGTACCTTTGCACGTCTAATATAGAAAAAACGGCGTAGCATTCAGTGCGGCACATGGCTTGGGCTCATCCATCGCTATACCGATTTTCGAAAAGGCGAGAGGCTATCTATCTAGGTTAGATACCTACCTATAGATATGATTTACTCGTGTAAGTGCTTAAAAAGTGGTTTGTATATATAAAGGTAAGGAGACACCCACCTGGACAAATGTAAAAATAAGTGCATCTTCAGAGCATCTCTCGGGATATCCATACCAAATATCAAAACCACCAGAAAAAGAAAAAAAAAAGCCCTCTTCACTTGGCTCTCGACACGCCGTTATTCTTACCTTATATACCTACCTAACCACCTTCCATCACCCAATAAAACCACGATCGACACCATGCAGTTCACCACCTTCGCCGTCGTCCTCGCCGGCCTCTTCGCCGGCCCGGGTCTCGCCCTGCCGGCCGACACCACGCCCGCGCCCACGCCCGCACCCCCGCCGTCCGACGGCAAAGGCCTGCCCTCGCACCGAAACGGGACGGCCGCGCCCCAGCTCCTCTACGTCGCGCAGGTGGGGCGGTGCGAGTGCAGCCACAGGCTGCACAACGCCGCGCGGCTGCCGTGGGCCCAGCCGGATCTGCCGAAGGCGGAGCAGACGGTCGCGAAGGACCTGTCGCTGACGTGCGTCGGCACGAGCTTCGGCCAGTTCTTCAGGAAGAAGCAGCCCGCTTGCAAGACCAGGGAAGACGTCATGATGTGCGTCGAGGGCGACATGTCCCTGTGCGACTGCGTCCAGGAGGCGGCGAAGAAGTGGGAGCAGCCGAGGGAGAAGGACTCGTTGCTTTACACGGATATCAAGTGCGAGCTGGGGGGGAAGACGGCGCGGGTTATGCTGGGGAAGGTTGCGAGATAGGTTGGACGGGGATGCTTTTTTTTCTTTTTCGTGTATCATAGATAACTATTAGGTACCTTGCCTATGTAAGTCAAGGAGGCAGATAATCGATACGATGTAGGTGATACATTGAGCGTCATCTGTATACATGCCTTATTCATGCGTCAATCGGTCCTGGCCGACGGTACGCCGTGCTTCAATGCTGGTTGTACACCGACACAGGACTGGAGCGATCACGTTCGTACAAGTACACCAATGATGACCACAGCAGTGGTGGCACCATTATGCGCAGGTCCGATATGTAGTCAGCATCTCCCAAACAATTATGTAACTACACATGTGCAGCGCTAACTATACTCTCTACCGCCGTCAGACCTGAAATTCAGGGACATGCCGCGGTGAAAGGCTGAGCAAGGTTGTTTTCTTACCCGATCTGGCCAAGAATCTTGAACAAAGATGACGGCTGGAATCGAAAAATCACAGGCCAGTGGTGGCCGAGCCGAGCCAACAGGGCATTTGGGGGGGCCGAATCGGTAGAGATCGTCAACACTAAGGCCCGCCACGAAGGCGCAGTAGCCAGGTATTTATGGCACCCAAGCGAAGCGCATTATTGTAGCAAATAGCATAAGGCAGCAGCAGTTGTTGTTGTTGTTGGAAGGTTTCACAAGCACGGGAGCGGTGATATATATAATTAGCAAATAAGAAAAAGTCATAATAGTCTTGCTCATTCTCATTCTACTTGATTTCTCTCAATTATACTTACTTAAGTGAGCCCACACCTCAACATCTACATCCTCTTCAACACATCTAATCATACATAATTAAGTATCCACCCCCCCCCAAAAAAACCCCCATCTCACCATGTCGACGAGCAGCAGCAGCTTCCAGGAAACCAGCGACACCTTCAACCGCACGACGACCGCCATCACGACCGGCTGGATCGTCGGCATCGTCGTGATCGCGCTGTCGTCTATAGCCGCCTTATTCCTCCTAGTCTTTTTCCTTCGGCGACGCAACAGTAGAAGACAGCAGCAGCAGAAGGAGATGGCGAACGCGACTCCGGCGTACGGGAATCCGCAGTACGGCTGGCAAGCCCCCGGAGCAGGGTTCGCGCAACAGCAGCAGCCGTACGAAGCGCCGAACACGCCAGCGAAGAATTATCCGCGGTACGAGGCTGACTCCGTTGCGCGGAATGAAGCCGACGGGAATCCGAGGAATGAGGCCGACTCGAACCCAAGGAGCGAGCTTTCGGCGGTCTAGGGATGGGATAGGGGGGGGGTAGCGCATAATGGGCAGTGTCAACAAAAGTCTCGGCGAAAAAGGGAGCGGAGAAGAGGACAGGAGGGGGGTTCTTCAATTCGATATCCAGCCCGATTTCCTGTCGCGAATACCTCTTAGCGATCGTGGGCGCGATTCTGGATGGCGTAACTCGGCATCCTGTGCGACTTTCGCTTTTGAGCCCGAAGCGCGACTGCTGCCATGGCATCTACCTAGGTACTTATCTGACTCCTTGCGGATCAAAGCAAATTTCTCTGCGAGATGCAGCTCCTCTTCGATGGCCAAGCAGCTAGCTTGCGGCTATATCCTCGCCGTTCCCCGTCCTATTTACTGTCAGCGTGGTACGTGGTGGCTTGTCATCAGCGTCGGCATCTTCGGAGATATCACCATCTCGAGATCAACGTGCACGCCCCCTGGCCAGATCTACTACCTAGTATGCGACAGGTCCCGTCACATAGCTTCCAACTACAGCTCGTAGAGTCCGGTGCTGCGACAGAAAAGCGGGCCTAGGCCCCATCGGCGAGAACTAGTCAGTGGGATTGCCTTCCCGTCTTTTTGTTTCGTCTGGCTCGACGTAAGTGGAACACTGCGGCATAAACCGCAAAACCGAGACGCAGGACTTTCGGCGCGAGCGAGATATGGGCGGCGGCGGCGTCCCTTTCGACCTCACTCGGTTGTCGACACCGCGCCTCGCTGAGATAACGGCACTGCGATGAGCACACACACACACTTCGCTCTATCTTGCCTTGGCAGCGAGGCTGTAGGGATATTGCGGTGTCTTTGATGGCAATAAGTTGGAGGAGAAGAGCATAACCACACCGTTAGCCGCGGAATAGTCGAGGGCTGGGTGGAATATGACGAGGAACCATGTCGTTGAAACAAGACGGTGGTGGAAGGGTCCTCTTATACCCCGTCTTCGCGGAAAGTGAGGTTGAATAGATGGTGTATCGCCGATCCGCGAGGACGCAGGATCATTAGTGTTTCGATGGATGAGTAGGGATGGGATTAGATTCCTTGCCCTAACATGAGCCCGCTTCATGTCGTAAACGGGGAGTCGGGATGAGAGATTATGTACCTGAGTTAGCTCTTTACAGCAGGGAAAGGGGCGCGACTTGAAGAATGAAGAAATGACTACCTACATAGGTACCTAGTTAGCTTCATAAACCAAGCACTTCATGAATCCTTCAATAATTGATGTATGCATAGGTATTAGTCTACCTATCTACCTAAAGCCCCCAAGTTCTAATACTCACCCTATAAATATGTGACCGTTTTCTTACTTCAATCAATGCCACTATCGAGTTCTCGTACATATCCACAACGGCCTCGAATCATTCAACACTCAATCAACCTGACGAGCCCCTCAACAATCACGTGCAAAAACTTACCAGACCATTCGGGAGATCGTATAAAAACTCAAGGCATAATTACCAAAATCCACCCGCCACCAATACGGAAGGTTGAAAAAAAATATTTCACTGACGATCCATTGCTGATAAACGACCATCATGACAACCCAACGCAAACACTGCCCTTCTCCCGATCATTTCTAGGTTGAGATAGAGAGGAGAATGATGCACTGCTACAATGCAATGTGCGGATGGCATCAGCAAAGCCCCCCACAACCCGGAGATATCCGCCTATTGGAGAGTCCCCTAGTGTTGAAATCTTCAAGTAGAATCATTAATAAGCTAGATAAATAAACGATCTTGCTTTTCCTAGTATCGATCGTCCTATGCTGATGCTTAACTTTTTGCTACCTAGAAGACAGATGCCTTGCCACGTGGGGAAAGCCCATATTAACCTCAATACGCAGTCTGATTAATACCCCCACGACCTTACAGATCTACACAAATTACAATCGACAACTGAGCCCCTCTCCCCTCTCCCTCCATGAACTACCAGAGAGTAAGTAATAGTTAACTAAACGCCTGCCTTCTCGAAGCGGTGGCTGAACCAGTCCGCCAAGGAACTAATGCATCGGGGGAGACCTGGGTTAGTTAGTTAGGCACAGCCCATCGAGGCACCTACTTTCCATAGGGCTTAAATTTATTTGGCTGCCTGCACAGGCATCCCCGTTTCAATAGTAATGGCAATCAGAATCGGCGGGGAGGTCCACTGCAAGGCGCAATCGCAGATTTAAAAAAAAATACATAGGTTGTTGTTTTTTGTTATGGGTGGGGGGGGGGGGAGGGCTGGTTTTGATATAAGGGATGGTGCCGTCAACACACGTCTGGTTGTGCACATTTATCTATTATCTACATATATACCTATCTGACATACCTAATACACACAATTTGAACATACTATTTGTATACCTATCCACCTGACCTATCCTAACCCAATACCTACCTACCCAACCCAACAACAAGTCCCGTCGAATATAATGAACACACCCCACCTCCTCACCCTCCTCCCCCGCATCCCCATCCCCATCCCCAAAGGCGGCGGACGGGGCGGAGGAAGCAGAGGCGGCTACCGAGGCGGCGGCGGCGGTGGCGGCGGTAGTGGTAGCAGCGGCTTGCCATGGTGGGCCATACTCCTGATAACCTGCGGCGTGCTATGGATTTGCGGGTTCATTTACCTATTCTGCCGCTTCGTATCGCAGTGTAAGTCCCTACTCCACTCCCTCTCTCTTTACCCCTTTCCTACCTATCTCCCCCCCCCACCACCTCCCCTTACACACACACACAAGCAACTTACAAACACCCACCCCCAAACCCTAACTTATTAACACACCAAAACCCAGCCGCCGAACAACGCGCCCGCCAAACCCGCGGCGCCCGCCCCAGCCTCTGGAAATCCCACCTCGGGGACCCGGCATGGAGAGCATTCAAGTACATGACCTTGATCCAGGCGGTGACGTGGACGTGTCGGAAGCTGGGGGGTGTTGCGCGAGCGCAGAAGATAGCTGTGGGAGAGAAGAACGCAGTGAAAAAGACGGGAAAGGCGGAAGGGGGGGAGGAAAAGATGAAGACGAAAAAAATGGGCGGGTCTTTTTACCAAAAGCTTGGGGATGAGGAACAGGGCTTCGGTGCCGGTGCCGGTGTTGTCGGGACGGATGACGAAGCCGGGTCACATATGAAGACGACAGCCAAACCTGCCGGTAGTTAGGAAAAAGGCAGCAGTGGTAGTAGGGGGCAAGCGATGATGATATGAAATGACTGTTTGTACATGATTTTTTTTATATCCTTTAGAAGCGGCCGGAGTTGCTAGGGAGGATAAAATACCACCTACCTTGATACCGACCTGGTACATAGGTATAAGATAAGCGCACTTGAAGATAGTAGAACCATCAATGATACCCAATATTTTCTTCTCTCAAAGGCAGCTTCGCAAGGGTAACTTCGCAAATGCAACAAATGAACAGATAGGTATTGTGTCGACAACAGTTACATACAGAACTATACATTAATCATTGGCCCTTTCAACCTGCTAGGCCTCGGCGAATAATTTCCACTCTCCACTCTCCCATCTCCTCTCTCCTCTCTCCTCTCTCCTCTCCTCTTCCCTCCCTCAAGCCTCACAACTCGACTCAAGTTCATTTTGTCAAACTTCCCAAATAAGTTCCACAACCAAACCGCGCCTATACAATGAGGTATCTCGTATCAAAACAATGAATCAACCATCCTGCGTTCTCAATGCATTCTGTTGCATTACAATCCTAGCTAGCTCTAGGATTGGTTAGCTAGATGATTTGCGGCCTGTTACATACATTAGCGCTTTAGTCTGATATTGGGGAAGAACGAAGGCGGCTTACCCGCTCGAGATTGTAATCATACTTCTCTAGGGCGTTGACCGCCTGCGTTCGAGAGTACCCCATACCAGTTAGATTCTTGACGATTGGGTCGTCATGCTTTCCCTCGTCACTCAATGCCCTTTCCAGGGTATTGGGCCTGCTCGAAATCGGGCTGTGGCCAGGACTTTTGTTGTCATCTACGCCGTTCTTAGTGACCGTGTCGTTGGGAGAATCTAAGCCGGCAAAAAGTGCTTCCCAATCTTGATTATTGGGCGCTGCAGGAGCCTGGCTTGAGAAGGATGCGTTGTTTGTGTTATTCGTGGTTGGAGCACCACTAGCAGTAGCGTTCGAGGTAGTAGAAACATTGCCAAAATCATAGCTGCTGTCAATTCCAAATGCATTTGAAGCATTAGTCGACTCGCTCTTAGGCTGACTCGGGGGTGGGCTGCTGTCAAAGACCGGGTTGAAATCATCAAGGTTAGACCTCGACATGGTGGCGAACTCATCATCTGCTGAACCCTCCTTGGCATCTTCGAGGTCCGCAAATTCGTCGTCTAGGTCATCGAAAGCACCTTTCGGCGCAATAGGAGCCGAGTTCGTTATTTTAGTCGGTGTGGGGACGAAAGAGCTCGATGATTTTGATGGGGAGGCCTTCGGTGGCTCGGGGAATGCGGATAAATCACTTGCATTGACGTTAGTATAGTTATGGAGGCAATCTTATTAGAAGGCATACTTTGCCGGCTGAGAGGTATGCGATGCCGAGGCCACACTCTCTGTGGCGGGACCCTCGACCGCAGAAGCACTCGCCTTCGAAGCCGCTGGAGAAGCTGGGGCTTGATGAGCCTCCTTGGGCTCAGACTTCTTCTTGTCGGTAGGTGATGCAGGTGCGAAGTCATCATCAAATCGATTTCCCTCGCTCGCCGAGTCCGAATCGTCATCTCGTTCCAGCTCAGAGATGGGTGGGAACTCTGAATCAAAGGTTGAGAATGCGTGAGAATTGTCTTTGGTCGACTTGTCTTGAGGCTTACTTGAAGAGTTGGTCATGCTTGCAAAAGCAGAGTCAAAGTCCACCTTCACATTGCCGGATTCCTTGAGGTTTCCAAATAGGTCACTGTCTCTGTTCCCGGCGAACGGTGTGGTTGGCGCAGGGGCAGTCGGAGTGTCGTCAGGAAACGAGCCGGGAATAGATCCATCACCATGAAGCATCGTTTTGTCTTCGCTCTGTGCGGACGGCCACTTCTGATTAACATCAGAGCCAGATGCCACACTATGGCCCGTGGAAGCTGGCTCCATCGGGGCTGCCGAAGGGGCTGTAGCGCTGTCACCACCCCGACTAACCGGGGGCGAAACCTGGCGCGAAGGTGATAACGTGTCGGATATCTCGCTAAACGGCGGGAAACTCGGACTATGCTGTCGTGAGTCGTTTGATGCTGTGGGGTCCAAAGTGGTCTGTCGGCTCACTGTCGGTGTAGAGCTACTTGGAGTAGCAAACGAGCCGATACTGGCCGTTGACGCGCCAGTGTCTTGAGGCTTGAACGAAGTCATCGGGGCTGGTGAGGCACTATCGCTCCCGAAATCGCCAAAGATGTCATTGAACGACTTATCGCCACCATATGACTTGACAGGAGGCGACGTAAAAGTACCCATTATGTCTGTACTCCCTGTTCGCCTGAAGAATGGATTGTTGGCGCTATTGGTCGACGGTGCTGGGCTTGCTACTTGAGCTGACGTAGCGACTGGTGAGTTGGAGTTTATTTTGCGAGACAGGTCTTCGTTGCTCTTGGCTAGATCTTCCACCTCGCCCCTTAGCTTGTCACGTTCACCTTCGACAGTAGAAAGTTGCTTTTTATTGATAGCAACCATCCCCTTTTGCTGTCGAGCTTCTAACTTGAGCTTTTCAATTTGGGGCTTTAGCTGAGCAATCTCGGTATTGACAGAGCTGATACGCTGTTTGAGGCTCGCATTCTCTTGCTGATCGGCCTGGAGCGCATGCGAGATCTGGTGATGCTGGGTTTGTAGATCTTTGTAGACGCCGTCTATCGAAATCAGCTCGTTCGTGACTTTCTTTGTATCTTCACGTATGCTCCTGAGCTGTTCTTCTAGAGTACGAACATCCTGAGCCTCCTTCTCGTACAAAGCACGTAGCTGAGATAGGCGTTGTTCAAAATTCTTCTTTTGCTCGCTTGCCTGGTTGATATCGTTCTGCACGGATGTGCGATGTCCTTGAACCTGCTGCATCTGCTTGGAAAGAGAGCCAACTTGGTTGGACAGGTTAGCCAGCTCAGTCGTCTCATTTGTCAGCTTTTTGCTAATTTCCGGGTCATTGTCGCCGAGAAGATCGTCCATCGCAGAAGGAGCTAGAGGACCAGGCCCTCTTGGAGCTTGAGACGAGGTTCCAGAACCTCCGGTATCATGGGACGTTAGAGTTTTACCAAAGGAGGACGACGGGATAAAAGGCTTGAACGTGTTAGCGGTGGGGGAAGCCCGCAGTGGCGAGGCTGGTGGACCGCTGGCAAAGGGATCTCTTGTCGCAGAACCTCCTGTTGAGACTGGAATTTGCGCTGGAGCTGGGGTGGGGGAGGCATCGAGGCCAAATAGGTCGTCGAGAGCAGACTTTGGCTGAGGTGGCGGCGGCGGAGGAGAAGCAGCTGGGACATCAAATGGCGACGGGCCGACCGGAGGGCGAGGGTGGCTTCGCAACGACGGCGGGATAAGGTTCGGCGGAAGGGTCGTAGGCAGCGGGAAATCTCGCCTGCTCCGCTGTTGACGAATGAGGTACATAGCGACCGCAAATGTGTCCCTAGTTAGCCGACCTTCTGAGTTGATGTCTGCTAAATCCCATATCTGAGCTAAAGCATCTTCTGGCAAGCCAGATTGACTTAGGAATGGAACAGCTTCCTCTCCGGTAATGAAACCCTTGTTTGTCTTATCCAGGCTTGTATAGAACTCGTCAAATTTTACTTTCTCGGCGGGCATGACCAGCCAGTCAGTTCCTGTCGGCGGAGGTGGTATGCCAGTAGCCTGGGGACCCAAGGGAGGTCTTCCAAGCGGACTATTCGTTCGAACCTGTGCCGGGCCGCTCAATTGTCGTGGTATAGCAGGAATTGGGGGGCCAGTGGCTGTGGGGCTCTGTCTCGATGCTGAGCCGCGTCGTGTAGCGGCTTCGTATAGTCCCGCAGGTAGAATATTCGGGAGGCCTCTCAGGGCGCCAGACTTCATTGAGGTTAAGAGATGCATTGCGATGACGAACTCGGTGATCACAAGGGCTCCTCGTTGCTCTGTATCAGCAAGTTGCCAAATGCGCCCCAAGACTTCGTTAGGCAGCCCCGACTTCTCGAATATGCTCTTGGCCTGGTCGCCCGCCAAAATGCCGCCATGCTGAAGGTTCTGCCTCTCGAATAATACGGCATATTGGGTAACTTTTTCCGGCGTCAAGGGCGGTATTCGAATAGGAATGTTGCCAGTTCCCTGCGACTGTAGCGGCGGGTGGGCCGGTGGTGGTGGTGGTACAGTGGTGGTGATATTAATGCCGTCGAACCGCGGCAAGGGACCCTGTTGGGCGGCCAGTTCAGGGGTCGGTTCGCGTCCTGCTTGTGCATGACCGATAAGTCGTAAGACTACGGTGAAGCCACCTGGAGTCAAGAAGCCGCGGTTCTCTTTATCTGCTATTTGCCAGATCTGTCGTCGTTAGGAAGCAGTCAGCATCTCTTTTTAGGATATATAATCTATCGATCATCATCATATGAGGCGTTATCAAAACCTACCTCACCAAGAACGCGCGAGTCCAATCGGGTCTTCTCAAAGAATTTAACGGCGATCTCTCCTGTCACGACGCCTACATTGTCGGTGTCTGCTTGTCGGAAGAGTTGGCCGTATGCTCGCTTCTCCTCAGGCGTCAGGTTAAGCGCCGGCGCAGCTGCAGCGATATTTGTTAGCTGATGGGTTCCATGGTGATAAAAAATGGAGAGGTAAAGAATATAGATGAATATAGATGAATAATAGCCAGTGATGCTATCCAAATAGAAGTATCATATCTTACCAGCTTCAACGCTAGATTCGGCAGACATTATTGCGCAGCCGAGCTCACCGGGGTTCTCGAGTTAAGACAGAGCTCGGCGGCTGATAAGTGTGAGGGTGTTTCGGGTAGAGAGAAATTATTTATTAAGAAAGTCAATTGACAATAGGGTCACTATGTAGTCAAGACGTATATGGGATGGTTCGCTGTTTTCTGAGGCTCGCAGCTACTTTAGAGCTTCAGCTACAAAACACCGGTTAGATTGTGTTTTGGCAATGTAAATGGCGAAAGTTCAGAAAATCACAAGGTGGGAGGATGTTTTGATGAACATTGAATGTTTTGGCGTCTCCAACTCCAACTTTCGCTTTTCGCAGGACTGAGGAGGCTGGAGTACCTCTGTACTACCTAATACTTGCATACATACATACCCTAGGCCCTGGGCAGTCTGTGCCTACAAATGAGGGTACCTAAACTGACGGACGTCTACGTAAACGGGGCCACTTTTCACGCACAGTAGCTCCTCTGAGCTCCGGGCTCCCGGGTTTGGCAGCACCGTCCCAACTGCCTGCCTGGTTGTGGCTTCATGTTGTAAGCCTGTCGCTTATTCCTGACACTCTTGACACTTTTTTTTATACCTAACTTACCCTATTCCTTGCATGTCAAACCTTAGGTTTAAATCGATATGTCACGGTATCTTCATCCTTTAATTCCATTTGACTTTGCATGATGCCGTTTATCTTTTTTAAACTCATGTGTACCCCCAACTCAACCATCTGTCTACCCCATATGTACAGTAAGTAGTATGTATGTATTGTACCTATGCAAAATAACCCGAGCAATCACCGTTGCTTTTCTAAATTAAAAAGAAAAAAAAAAGAAACCAAAAAGAACTCCCGATTCTAGAACACACAAGAAGGCGAAATAAATCCTTAGGCTCTCGTCAAATCTACATTCATTCATCCATTCACAACATACTAGGTAGTAGATAGGCCTACATTCACACTGGTAACCTACCTATAATTACCTATAATACCTTGGCCTACATATGAGTCAAGTTCCAACCAGTTAACCGAAAGGTCTGTCTGGGGTCTTGTCACGAGTGCTTGCAGCAGCACCCACATTTGGAATCGCCATTTTTTTACGGGACAGGTAGATATGCATGCCGCTGCGAGCTGCAATCCAGAATAATCCCACAATTGGTTGACCTCTGCCTCGACCGCGCATAGCGTGAAAGGCCGCCCACGAGTAGAGTGGGATTTGCCCATTCCCTAATTCAATCATTGGTCTAAAAAGTCTGTCACACTGCATAGGTAGTATATATATGATCAAGCGACACGAAAACGAAGTTGCAAGCAAGAAATTAGGAAAGATCACACAAGTTACAAGTTCTGTCTCTATCTCTCTATCAGAATAGAGAAGAGGAAAACGGAATATACTAGGAAGAATACCCGAGCAAGAAACTCGTGCTATTAAAAGTCTTTAGGACAGGATGTACAAAGTGTATAAAACTGGTCTTGCTACTAGGCTCTGTCACTGACGACGAATAAAAAGCCTCCCTTTGCTGCCTCTCCACTGGTATCAAACGATCAAATTCCAGATTCCTGTGCTACTCCAGCGCAACTGACGCGTCCGATACCCCCTTAGTAAAAAAGACAGGGTGCTATCGCGGCACGCCTGAATTGGATGCGACAGTGGGAGTGATATTAAATGCCTCTGGCCGTGACACGTAGCATAGGGCAATATTCTCCAGCCTAGTACTCAGCCTCGACATCTCCCTCAGCCTCTAGGGAATCAGTGGCGACTTCCTCGTAGTCACGCTCCAACGCAGCCAAATCCTCACGAGCCTCTGAAAACTCGCCTTCCTCCATACCCTCACCAACGTACCAGTGGACGAAGGCGCGCTTGGAGTACATGAGGTCAAACTTGTTGGACAGAGCAGACCAGGCCTCGGCGATAGCCGTTGTGTTGGAGAGCATGCAGACGGCGCGGTTGACCTTGGCCAAATCACCGTTGGGGACAAACTCGGGCGGCTGGAAGCAGATACCAATCTTGAATCCGGTTGGGCACCAGTCGACGAATTGGATAGTTCGCTTCGTCTTGAGCGCAGCAACGGCCGCGTGTGCGTCCTTAGGAACGACATCTCCTCTGTACAACAAGCAGGTAGCCATATACTTGCCATGGCGGGGATCACACTTGACCATCTGGTTGTACGGCTCGAAGCAGGACATGGTCATCTCGTGAACCGAGTTGGCCTCGTGGGCAGCCTTAGCGGCCGAGATGACGGGTGAGTAAGCAACCAGAGGGAAGTGGATACGAGGATACGGCACCAAGTTGGTCTGGAACTCGTTCAGATCAACGTTGAGAGAACCATCGAATCGAAGAGAAGCGGTAATAGAAGAAACGACTAGGTCATGTTAGCTAATTATATTCAAAGTAAAGTAATGAAGGGTCTTCCTAAGATTTTTCCATACCTTGAGCAATCAGTCGGTTCAGGTTCTCGTAGTTGGGGCGCTCCAAGCCAAGGTTTCGGCGGCAGATGTCGTAGATGGCCTCGTTGTCGACCATGAAAGAGCAGTCAGAGTGCTCGAGGGTAGTGTGTGTGGTAAGAATAGAGTTGTAGGGCTCGACGACCGAGGTAGCAGTTTGGGGAGCAGGGTAGACGCAGAATTCTAGCTTGCTCTTCTTCCCATAGTCGACGGACAGACGCTCCATCAACAAGGCACCGAAACCAGAACCGGTACCACCACCGAAGGAGTGGAAGACCAGGAAACCCTGGAGACCAGCGCAGCTATCGGCGACGCGGCGAACTCTGTCCAAGACCTGATCGATGAGCTCCTTGCCCACGGTGTAGTGTCCACGGGCGTAGTTGTTCGACGCATCCTCCTTGCCGCTGATCATCTGCTCGGGGTGGAAAAGGCTGCGGTAGGTACCGGTGCGAACCTCGTCGATGACGTTGGGCTCGAGATCGCAGTAAATAGTGCGAGGAACATACTTGCCCTGACCTATTGTATGGGAGAGATTAGATTACCACTCATAAGTACAGCTTAATTTTTTTTTCCAATGAATTTATGCATACCAGTCTCTGAAAAGAAGGTGCTGAATCCGTGATCGGGATCCGCGGCCTTGCGCTCTTCGGTCAAGAAACCATCGGGCTACACAATTGATATATTAGTGAGGATCTTGACGAGATTCATTTCAGTTGAAACTTACCTGGATACCATGCTCAAGGCAGTACAACTATACGAGCGAAAAAAAAAAAATATTAGCAACTTCCAAATTCAGTGCGTTCTCGCAACGGGGTTATCGAGGTTTGTGTGGCTCATCCATGCATGCGGTGCCTCTTTCTATGTAATATTCGGTATTATCGTGAAGTAACATACCTCCCAGCAAGAGTTGGCGATTTGGCAACCCGCCTGACCGACTATGAACAGATAAATTAGTTAGCATGCATTCATTATTCGCGTTTGAATATTTGGTGGATGGGTTGAAAATATGAGACATGGATTATGCGGTGAAGGAAAACGCGTGCCCTAGAATGGGGGGTTTTTTGACGGAAACATACCGTTGATGCTAATGATCTCGCGCATCTTGAAGGAAGATACAATGCAAAATCTGTAGTAAACTGGAAGTGAACGACTAGAAACGGGAGCAGGCAGATGAAAAAGCAGCCCCTATTGAAGGAAGAGTGTGGGTGATGAGAATGTTAGGAGTTGAAATCGAGTCGAAAGGAGAACTTGTCTGTTGATGCTTTTTGGGACGGGTCGCTTTTACTAAAAATCAAAGTGGGGGGCGGATTAAAAATTCACCCCTGGTTGGGCAAGGAGGTTCCACGGTCCAGAAGCGTTTTTTGTTGACATCCATGGATGAGATTTCCCATTGATGATTGGACCTAATTAGATCTAATTGGACTCGGAAGAAGGCACACAGACCACGTCAATTGTCAAAATGCAGGGGGGAGCCCAGCCTAAGCTGGTAAGGTCCAGGAAACCTCCAAGGATATGCAATCTGTACTGTACTAACTGTAGTTCGCCGGTGCCAACTGCCTGCCAATCAAGCTTATGTATGTAGCTGCCATGTGCCTACCAGTTGTACATACATACATATACTTCAACGTTGTACAATACGCAATATGTTCCGCCATTGCCCAATGCCAGCACAGAGAGAAGAAAAATCTACATAGGTATGTAATAAATGATCTAGGTTAGGTTAGTTAGGTTAGTTAGATGTGCAGTTGCATGTAACTTGAATAGGCATATGCAAATGGGTTCACTGTCCATTATTGATAATTAAAAGTTATGATTAATTAATTCAATAATCAGAAGAAGCTAAAACACCTAATCTTGTTGCTCGTAATATTACCATTAATTACTACATAAAATTCGAACCATCCATCATAGTATCATACTATGTACTTTCTCCCACCCCATAATCTCATAATACATACCTAGTAATACCAATCATGTCTATAATTTTATCCCATCTCACTCTAATACTATTCTGGCTAATCTCTATCGTCCATGCCAACACCGAGAAGACTATATTCCTTGGTCCACCAGCCGTAAACATCCCCTCCGCACATCCGACCCTCGACGACTTACATGTCGATGTTCTCACACCTACAAATTCGGCCATACGGACACATCTAAACGCCCAGTTCCCCAATGTCACTTGGCCGCACGGGAAAGCTACTTGGCTTATCCTGGATGACCTCGTCCAAGGCCAGCGTTATGAAGTGAGAGTCTGCTGGGCCGCAACCGTGAGTGAAGATGGCGAAACCTTATAGTATTCCACTATTCTATAAATCTAGCAAGGCTGACCAGTTTTTAAGCAACCTACTGCGTTTAAAATTAATACTTACGACCTGGAGACTGTGTTTGAGACCCCCGAACTGATATCAGAATTGTCGGGATACTCTTGGTCCCGCCAGTCCCCTGAAATTGAAGATGGGTCTCGATCTAAGCCTGCTAAGAGTATCCAAGCTGCGAGCTCCGAGAGACAAGCGTCAGTCCTGTTTCTCCAGATTTTAACTGCGGCGGATTACTACACAATGGATAAAGCCTTGATGAAGCATGTTCCACCTGTTTACGTGGACATTATCCTTGACCCATTTGTTCTCAATGTGCTGCCACGCTCACTTTTGCCCACGGTAGGCTACATAGTGGTGGTATCTATCATGTCCTGGTTCGTGGCACGATCCATCGGAACATGGATTCGTGTTATAGCAGCAGAACCATCCAGCGAAAAGAAGATGCAGTAAAATGGTAGAGGGCTTTGACTGATGCCTCTTATAATTGCCTTCTAAATCCAAACGAGAGCATCATCCGATCCCGGTTATCATAATTCATAGTCTGCATTCGTCAAGCTATTCCACGTCACCACAAGCAAACCCGTAATCGCGACATTATCTCCATTTCATTCGTGGATCAACTCATGTTTTAAACTGCTTGCAAGTCAATGTCAAAATCGATCCTATGTATGAATCGGCCATAATGCAGCAAACGAGAGAAAAATAAACCCCACGGTCTATAATATGCCTAAAAATTCATCGAACCCCAATTGCAGTCGACATCTTTGTCTTATTACCAATTGCCGGGGTACCCTCCCGCCTGGCCGTGATGAGGATGCGTCCCCGTAGGGATTGGCGGTCCAGCATTGGCATAGGATGGTTGTCCTGTGTACCCGTGAGGACCTGACGGTGGTGGTGGTGGCATGCTGTACGATTGGCTATTATACGTGGGGGGAGGCGGTGGGTATTGTTGATGGCCATTGTATTGAGGCTGGTTTGGTGGGGGTGACGCGTATTGTGGTTGTTGCGCTGAGATGTCATGTTAGCGAAGTACTACTAATGGCTTGATATAGGCTACATACAATAACCATGTCCTTGAGGAGCTGGGCTATGTCCATAGCTATGATGCTGTGCTGAAGGTTGTACCCCGCCGTAAGGAGGGCTATGGTGCTGTTGGCCGGGAGGTGAGCTGGTGTAGGTGGTGCTCTGATGAACTCCTGTCTGGCCAGGAGGTGGTGGGAATGAGGGCACTCCATGTTGGCTAGGTGGAGGTGGGTATTGTGGTGTGCCATGCTGAGCAGGAGGGTTGTATGAAGGTGTGCTTTGTTTATGGGGAGCCGGGGAGCTGTAGGACGGCGTTGAAGCGTTCGGCGGTTGGTAAGATGTTGGCGGAGCTTGACCACTGTATCCAGCTGCTTGGCCTGAATTCGAATAACCGTAATTTTGACCCTTCAAAACATGTTAGGGAGGGGATCTTCATAAGACTGTGGTTGGAAAGCAGCGTACTGATTGATTTCCATGTCCACCAAACATACTCGCAACACCTCCCATCATAGAGCCGGCGAGGCCTCCGGAGTGCCCTCCGGAGTGCTGAGGTGGGTGGGATTGTCCTCCGCTTCCATGGTAGCTCTGAGACTGCTGAGGTTTTTGGCCTGAGGAGAACAAGTTCGAGGCCAGTTGGCCTACGAGATTGCTAGGAGTGCCTCCGCCGTGGCCACCAGATGAGCCTCCGTGATTATTACTATGGCTTCCTCCAAGACCACCTATCAACTGACCAGCAAGACCTCCTAGACCGCCAGAGCCCGAGTTGTGACCACCGCCACTGTGAGGCTTTCCGTGGCCGCCGGAGAGTTGGTTCAGCAATGCATTGGACGCAAAACTCTGCGATAACGAGAGGATATTAGCATTTTCGCCCTGAAATAAGAAAACCATCATCGATCATGCAAACTTACACCAAATCCTCTTTCTCCCGAGGGTCCATCAAGTCCTCTAGTAGCCTCGGTGGTCAAGATTGGTTCCATGCGGCCATCGGGATGTTTTACGGTTTGTGTGCCGTCGGGATGCGTGATGAGTTCTTGCTGACCAGGAATTCCATATGGATGCTCGGTGGTTTGGGCAGGCGTATTTCCCGGCGCAGCTTGGGTTGGTGTCTCCCATTGTGAAATGCCAGTCGAGAGTTGGACATAATAGTATTTCTTGCTCGTGCCATCCCATTGCGCTATCCATCCTGGCGGGAGTTGTGGTGGTTCGTAGGTAGGGCCTTCGTTAGGAGAGGCGGGGCCAGCCATGGCGACTGATGGGAGGGGTATTATCCTGCTCCTCTATGGCCAAGTACCAGGTAGGTAGGCAGGTAGGTAAATAGGTTAAAGAGGGTGTGCGAACAAGGTAGACAAGATAGACAAGACGGCGAAAATGACCGACTTGAGTAAAGAGAAATTTGTGGGGAGGGGAAGGGAAAGGGCAAGTCCTCACGAGACAACAAGATATGTTGGAAGAAAGAGAAAGGTGGCAGAGAAATATTTAAAGGAAGAATGTAGATGTATGTATGTATCGAAGGCGGTATGACTTGCTTTGGTGGTCGAATTGGGAAAAGGTGAAAGGAAGGGCTGTCGAAGGTGGTAGATTGGGAAAGCGTAGGACCCTGCAAAGCCACCCTAAATAAAGTGTCAGTCAGATTTTTTGTAGGGGGTTATAATAGTTGTGAGATGCTGTAGCCCGTCCTTAGGGGTTTTTATTTTTATTTTTTATTCAGCTGAATAAAGCTGCCTGCCTACAAATAATGTAAGGTACTACTAGTAGTAGGTAGGTATTTAGGTATTTAAAGTGTCGTGTCGGCCCAGTGGTGTTTTGGAGGGGCGAATCACCGTCATACCTTGCAAATTCATACTATGTAACTTACCAGATTGGTACCTAACTTGATACCACCCGGGCATCTGGCCGCGTAAGAACGACACTGGATTTGACATAACTACTACTAACCTAGTAGTATACGAATGCTAAGCCACATGGTGGCGGAGCTTTCCTCGCACATGGCATATGCCACATGCAAGTAGTCAGGCTTCAATGGTTCAACTTAGGTTACTTCAAGTTAACCTAGTACGCTTAAAGTTAGGAGGCATTAGTTAAATGATATCTGAATTTTTATCTGAATTTTACTCAATATTTGTATCATAAGATATGGAAATGATTAGAAATTCAATCACTTCAATGTTCAGACGTCGGTTTCTTACAACTCAGGGTCATTAGTCAGGACCTATTATCTTGATATCATAGGTACTACTAGTAGTATCTACCTAGTGCCTAGTAGGTGCCTAGTGGGTATCAACGGTCCACGCCATGATGGTTAGTCAATCTGCTACACCTACACAGACTTCATATTCGTTGCAAAGGTGTTGTACGTAGCATCGGGTAATTGAGCATATCTATTCGTCTACAATACCCAAAATGCAGACTTTTCTATCATTTCAACAGCTACATGCACGGCACAGGAGACTGCATCACTCCGGGTGAAATTGCTAGTTCTCAAGCTCGGGGTTGTGCGAGGCACCCATCCTACCGGTTAGATTATCACAACTGATATAATCAATGCGAATCAAGCTTTCCAAAGTCACTGTTCTGCAACCAAGCGTTCCGCCCAAGAAAATGGAGGTGATAGGTAATAAACGTGTAGATCAAGCTGGGATTATATCAAGTTCCCAATACAGATCTGACGGCGGCTCAATGTTGATGATAAAATAACAGAGACAAAGGAGTATTAACACGCTCCCACTCCCACCCGAGACGAAAAAACAGATCGCTAACGTTCCCTGACAAGAAGAGTCCTTTTCGGTCTTCTGTTCTATGTTTTCAACGCGAGTGTATAGGTAACCAAGGGGAAGCGTCTTACAAGCATCTTTCATCGTGGTACTTTGTTAGCACTTTGTTAGAATGCACGTCCCTAATAATCTTCAGATAATCGACCAAGACGATTCTATCACGGTTCACGCCACCGACAGAATCATATTTCAGTGTGATGTACTCATCGGTGCAAATAATATTCTCGGCACAATCCGATAACCCATACAAGACGAGAGTGGTCCCTTTTTCTTTCTCTCCCAAACAGCGATGCCTAGGTAGGGTTCTATCGCCTTCTTGATATTCACCCAGGCTCAGGTAAGATCGAGGAAGAAACTTGTAAGCATCGAAGATGCCTGCGAGTATGGATGGGCTGATCGTACTTGTTATTTAATGCTCAGCATGGCGTCGCATTTCAAATGCGAATGAGAATAAGTCTTGGGGTTGGCCAGCCCATCCCAAACAGGGCTATCAATGAGCCCAGACAGCATCTCAATTCATCAACTGCTTACGCAGATGGTATGACGACGCTGATAAAACGCATAGCTATTATGCGATCAATTTAAGCATATTAGAGCTTTATATACGGCGGCATAGTATTTAGGAACATCTCAAAGGCCACGCACCAGTTTTATTTGTGTCACGAACGATACTACTCATCCGGCATGTCACGGGCCACGCTGGGCATTCTGCGCGTCATCTACCAATTGAGCCACGCAGACAAGAATTCCAAGTCAAGGAACATTGGAGCATTACAGATGATAAACGATTCGCTGCACGCCATTAACTACACGGCAACGCTATGACAAAGTTCTGGTGGTGGCATGTCTATCGAGAACAACCTCAGTCTGTCCACCCAACTTGAACTCATTAAGATGACTATAAGAACTTCCATAACTTCCAAGTTCAAGCATGTGTTGTCAAATACGACCCCTTACATCGCCGAGTCGAGTCGGGTTGAGCCAGGTTCGCTAGCGTCGACAAAGCCGGGGGCAGAAGATACGAATTTAGGTTGTTTGCATCAAGACGAAAGCTCATCGTTGATACCAATGTAGAGAAGCATTAGGATGAAGGCTTCATGAAGGAAGCCTTGACAACGGTGGAGGTCGGTAGAGAAGGTAGAGAAGGTAGAGAATGTCACGTTATGCCAATAATGCCAATAATGAGGCGGAAAGTATTGACTCAAATGCAGGTGATTCGAATTAACTGCATTAAACCTCGCAATGTGATACTCCAGAGTTATATTAACCACATTCAATGCATGTGTTCACGGTATTATTGATGACTCTAGATTGTACATTTCTGATTGGTGCAAAGGTTAATGCTTCAATCATCACTGCAACGATTCAAGTTGATTGCACATTTGATGTTACATTGCACTAAAGCCATAGGTAAGCCACAATCGCCACAGATTAGCAATGTTCAACCTTGAGGGCCAACATGGAAGTTCAAGGTTCAGGGTTCAAGGTTTAAGGTACCTACCAAACCACTCCACGTTACATATCATATCTTATTAACCAGATGTCTATTCCTCCCTTAACTTACTATGTACACTTGTAAACACGCAAATCTCTAAAACTCACTACTAAAGAACAAGTCTCAGTCCAAGACATCGGATAGACAACTTTGAAGAGAATCAATTACTTCTTCGACAAAAATTCGTAATAATCCATTCGTCGTCAAATGGGGTTCCCGGACCTTCCTCTTGAAAGGGCAGAAGGGGGTATAAGTAACCCAGCGCGTTTCGCACAACTCCGTCAACTCGTAGCTGGCGGCTCTCTCACCAGCGAAGAACACCGATATCTAAAAATACTTCTTTCTAAAACCAACATTGACATAATTAGCGAGCTTCCAATTGAGATTGTCGGACAAATTACCGATTTCCTGGATCTGCACCAATACGTTGCCTGTCTTGCAGTATCCAGACGATGGCGTGACAAGTTTCTTTCTACTCCTGTCATAAGAGCTGTGGTTAATAGATTCTGTCCTTCCTTAAGACCAGTTTCTGGAGATACTCAGGACAGTCCAGAGGACTCCCTCAGGGTTCTTCACAAAGTAGGACGAGTACGATGGGCCTGTGTTCAATCGAGCTTTGCGAAGCCCTTCTCTTGGGAGCATGAATCATTCTTCAAGCTCGACCCAGTCTATCATGGCAGCAATGCGGACACGTCAACTGCGTATGCGCAATTTGGTCGCCATCATGATGACCCCGAACCAAATAGCCTAGCGTACTGGGATGCTTTATACTCGAATGGCAAGATAGCGTGGCTTGCTAAACGCCGTATCGTGGTTGTTGATAGTCTTTGGTCACGAACTCGGAAGGTTTTCAATGTACCAACGGGCCCGCTCGTCGGCCCAGCACTCCAACTCCTGGCACTTGGAAATCGGCTCATCGTTGGTTCCATGGATCGTCTCTTGTACGTAATCCCGTATCTGGACAATCTTTAGATTAACTCTAACCTAGCCTCAGAGTCGCATGGGATCATATTACAAACAATTACCTGCAGAAAAAGTTACCAGGGTCTATCAATCATGCTGTAACCGAAGGATCTAGGGTCGCCATTATTCTCTTCAGTGGAGATGTTTTTCTCTGGGAATTCGGCGGTAAACTTTCGGCCCTTCCAACTTCCCCTTTACGAGACCACCATGGCTTGGATATTGGGTCTCAAAGATCATGGATCTCGAATCTCCGCGTTATTTTCCATCCAAATTCTAGGGGAACCCTATTTATCGCCTCTGCCTATACCCATTATACCGATACCAAGGCCGTCCTTAAGCGAGTTGTTTATGAGTTCAAAGGTATCAATCATATAAATACCTATGAATTTGAAATATCACCGAAGAGCTACAACAGAAAAGGCCCCGCTGATGTCAAAGTCGAAATCCGCAAATTGTTACCCTACCGTCGTGATATCATCGGGTTCTGTCAACATCATGAACGCCTTGACCCGAGGTTCATGACCCTTTATGAAACTTTTGTAGAATTCGATATATATGATCGAAAATTCACCGCAAGAGAGGGCGAGGAGTTTGATTATCATGAATTCGGTTGGCCTACGATGCTGGAAGAAGCCGACTTAGACTTTCTTGTCCGGTTCTACAGCAATGGATTTTCAGCTCACAGCTATCAGCCCGAGTTTGACTTTAAGATCGGCGAATAGCCTTTCAACGCGGAGCAACACGGAGCAACACGGAGCAACACCGCAAGCGTCTTGAGGAATAATAATTCACTACTTATAATACAGACCACTAAATATTCCATCTAACAGGATAGTTCTACAACTAGGTCAACGATATTCGCCTGAGACTAATAAGGAGTCCTTTGCAATGTCTTTCTTGACGATCACTCAGGATGGATTTTATGTGCTCCGTATTCGTATTATATTAATTTCGCGCAACGCGGATTTTTGCGTTCTTTTTTTCTTCTTCTTTTGCGTCCCCTCGACAATATAGTCTAGAACCTTCTTACTTTTCAGGTTAGAGGCTGCTCGCGGCTCGGCAACGACTTTAGCAAGAGGCGGGGGAACATCGCATGAAGGGAGAGCTAGGTGACAGTGTTCCTCTAACCGCCGAGATACATACCTACGTTACACAACAAGATAGAGTCTACCCAATAGCGCAAACGACTCTTTGACCCTAGCATTGAAGCTTACTATTTACATACATAGGTACCTAGTGTACTAACCTAGAGGCATTCCACCTAGGTCAAGATATGCCGAAGGATGATTAGCGTATATGCCACGTGTGGGACCGGATCTTTTGAAAATGATAGGAAAGTATTGATCACAATCCGACGGGTCCCACAGCACACGGAGTCAAAGTCACCGGAGTCGCTGGAGTCGCTCCAAATCCCACATGTCCATTCAAATCATGTTGAACATGATTATATATGGTCGGGTTTTGTGTGCTGATGAATAGTACTCTGAGATTCTAGAGCACCCCTTATGAGATACATAAATAAGGGACACCGGCCTCGAGGAGGCACAAGTACGGTGGATAAGTACGATGGCGTGAGCAAACGAGTAGACCGATGCGTGGATAATAATTTCAGAGACGTTGAAATTTTTTTGCAATTGTGCCGCTCGATTGCCGCTGGATTGGCATATAACGAACTATCGAAGCTGTGCCGCCGGGCCACCTACCTAACCTTATACATAGTAACAACCGCTAAAATTATCGTGACCGAAGCAGATACTGAAAACAGATGGGTGATAACACCATCACACCTTCGAGGCTACTTAAATGGCTATCTGAATGCCTACCTGGGTAGTTTGGTTGGAAATGGGGAATAGGGGATCCATCTATCTGAGCTGAGATGAACTGGGCTGGACTGGGATGGCATCGCCGTTTATTACTCGGATGAACAACAATACGTTGCAGGGTTCTTGTCCATCAATCAAGTACGGCCATATGACCGAAAATGGCAATAGAGGGATCAATATGATGATGGCGGTACTAATAGTTGGAAGATGGGGTAGGTAGTCTTCGGAGGACATGGAGAAGATGGGGAACATGGAGGTTTAAAAAGAACAACGTTGAAAACAAAAACAAGGACTGGCTACGTAGTACGTACTAGGTAAATAAAAAGAACATTTGAAGAAGGTAGTACCTTTACCCCGCAAAATAACTAATGCTACAAGAATTCAAAGTTTCGATCCCGTCACCTGTCACTGGCGGTTGCTTGGCTGGGGTAGCACGATGCCGTCATTGGAGTGCAAATATCCCCAACTTTGCGGCCCGTTAATCAACTCTATATTTTACACATGCAAAGCAAAGCAGGTATTACTTGCATGATACGCTAGCATGTACTTTTGCAATAATAGTGAAGTACTGGCCAGGTACTAGTAAGGTTGCATAGTATTACATAGTACTACATATAGTATCAACATATTTCCATACGCCTCTCAAGTACATATATATCTACAAATATGTACTGCTGACCTCGGCATCAGCTAGTGATACCTCCAAGGCTAACTTTACTTCCGGCCACTCACATCCTCTCACTATTACCACATCCTTTCACGTCCTCTCGTGTCCTCTCACATCCTCTACCACCATATACCACCACATACCACCCTCTACATCTCCAATATACAAGTCGAATCCTTGGCTCATCGACCCAAATATCTAATAGACGCTCGGCAAGCGTCAGGAACAGCAAATATTCCAGTAGATCTCACATACTAAGCCAGACCGTTTCGATGATTTAGTTACTGGAATTGGCACTAGAATCCTACGATGTCTATATATCCTTGTATAAGCTTATTATTTGATCAGTTATTTTAGACATGAGAAAAAACCCAGGTTAGTTAGCAATACGGCGAAGCCATTTTAACGTCCCTCTCGAGTCGCTAGGCTATAAAATTTTCTAGAAGACGAACGACGGGGTTTCGATAATAGTTACATGTAGCTAGGCACAATAGTTACAGTCGGGTACCTTGGAGTAAACTACCTAGGTAGACTACGAAGTTTTGGGTAATCTGTGCGGATCGATGTGCGGACTTTGTTCACTTTGCATCGAGACGCATGCATTCCTGTGCCCCCCCAATCCTCCTCCCCTTCCCCTAAGGCCAAGTTTAGTCAAGTAACTAAGTAGAGACCATGTGGACAGAAGAACGACATGAATACCTACCCAGCTAAGGTGTACATACCTACTATAGCAACTTGTGCTGACTTAGCTCATCCCTTGACGCCCCCCTCGACAGATTATAGCATGCCATCTAAGCGAAGCGAGCAAAGTATTTATAGGATCTCTGTATCCTCTCGAATACGATGGCCGGTGATACATGTATTCGACTAATTAAGCTGGTGGTGCCCGGTGTAAGGAGACAGCTCATCTCATATATTTCCGACGTGTCTCTGATATATATACCTACCTACCCAGTACCTACTTAGGTAACCTTATATATACCTATATATACACACTCGTATACCTCCCTAGTATATAGGTATCTCTCCAGGATTATATTTACTCCCTCTACCCACTGCGCCGTGTATCAAAGCCACCCATCATAATGTTGTATAATATCCTCGCCCCCCTGGCATCGACGGCAGCCATATTTGCCAGCCTCACCCATGCCCTTCCCGCTCCCACCCAAACCGAAGATAAACGGGTACCAACCACCACCGTCGTCACAGCCCAAGGCACCGTCATCGGTGCCGTCGGCGTCGTCGAGAACTTCGCCGGCATCCCCTTCGCGCAGGCACCCGTCGGGAACCTGCGCTTACGGCCGCCGCAGCGCCTCAACACCTCCTATGGCACACTAGACGCCACCGGTCTGGGCCCGGCCTGCCCGCAGATGTTCTTCTCGACGGGCGGCGACCTGTTCACGTCGGCCATCGGCAGCCTGACCAACCTCCCCCTCCTGCAGGTCGCCACGGACCAGACGGAGGACTGCCTGACGATGCGCGTCCAGCGGCCCGTCGGCACCAAGCCCGACGCGAAGCTCCCCGTGCTCTTTTGGATATTCGGCGGCGGCTTCGAGCTCGGCTCCCCCCAGATGTACGACGGCGCGCCCCTGCTCTCCGAGGCCGTGCCCCAGGGAAAACCTTTTATCCTCGTATCCGTGAACTACCGGGTCGGCGCCTTCGGTTTCATGGGCGGCAAAGAGGTGCTCGCGGACGGCGCGGCCAACCTGGGGCTCCTCGACCAGCGCATGGGGCTCGAGTGGGTGCAGGACAACATCGCGGACTTCGGCGGGGACCCGGAGAAGGTGACGATTTGGGGGGAGTCGGCGGGCGCGATGTCGGTGTTCGACCAGATGGCCCTCTACGACGGCGACAATACGTACAAGGGGAAGAAGCTCTTCCGCGCCGCCATCATGAACAGCGGCAGCCTCGTCCCCACCGACCCCGTCGACTGCCCCCGCAGCCAGGACATATATGACACCGTCGTCCGCGAGGCGGGTTGCACTCACGCTAGCGATACGCTGCAGTGCCTGCGCGAGACCCCCTACGACAAGTTCCTGCACGCCGCCAACAGCGTGCCCGGCATCCTAAGCTACACCTCCATGGCGCTCTCCTACCTGCCCCGCCCCGACGGCGTCGCCCTGCGCCAGTCCCCCGAGATCCTCGCGCGCGACGGCAAATACGCCGCCGTGCCCATGATCATCGGGAACCAGGAGGACGAGGGGACGATGTTCAGCCTCTTCCAAGCGAACGTGACGACGACCGCCGAGCTCGTCGACTACCTCTGGACCAACTTCTTCCCGGCGCTCGACCGCTCCGTCGTCGCGGGCCTCGTCGCCACCTACGACCCGTCCCCCGCCGCCGGCAGCCCCTACAACACCGGCCTGCTCAACGCCGTGTACCCGCAGTTCAAGCGGCTGGCCGCGATCCTGGGCGACATGTCGTTCGTCATGACGCGGCGCATCTTCCTCTCGCACGCCCTGTCCCTGCACCCGGACATCCCCGCATGGTCGTACCTCTCGTCCTTCGACTACGGCACGCCCGTCCTCGGCACCGTGCACGCCTCCGACGTGCTGCAGGTCTACTTCTCCCTCGTGCCGAACCCGCTCACGAACTACATGAAGAGCTACTACATCGACTTCGTCGTCGACATGGATCCGAATGCGGGGCTCGACTCGGCGATGCGGGCGTGGCCGAGGTATGAGGGTCAGGGCGGGGAGATGATGCAGTTCTGGGCGGGGGGCAGGACGAATTTGTTGAGCGATGATTTTCGGAATGCGAGTTATGCGTATTTGAAGGCGCATGCTGAGGTGCTGCATTTGTAAGGGGGGGGGGGGGGTTCATGGCTTTGATTGATTGATGTACAAATGTACCTATGTATCTATGTACGCGTGTGTATTTATGTGTGTATGTGTGTATGTGTTGGATGGATGTAAGTAAGTATGAGATGAGTGCGAGGGCTGGATTCGGGGGGTCGGCTTATTGTAAGGTGCACCCACCTACCTACCTACCTACCTACTTAGGGGCTCGGCGTTGACCGGAAGGAATCTTGCATTTCTGTCCGTCCGTCCGTCCGTCTGTCCCTGTGTGGCTTCATGAATATATGGTTATGAGGTTCACCAACCTACCTACTGGGTGTTAGGTACTAGGTTAGGTAATTCATGGTTGGAAAGGGGCTTGAGGGGGAAGGCTTTAAGGGGGAATGAAAATTAATGTAATATAATAACTATGTACTTGCCATGCGGCATTATGCAGATATTGGTCTATATAGGAAATCTCATGAGTCTAACGAGTACATAGCAAAGGGGTTTGTAACTACTTCATATATGTATACATATCTATTGATACCTATGACTACTTGTCTACTCTTGCTTGAATACTACCTATCTAAAGTAGATATATAGGGGTACCTAGGTAGGTATGTACTGCATGTATAATTCTAAGTAATAACAATCCCACCCAAAAGCACGCTCGAGCTCGAAAGACATACATACACACATACAAACATGCCACATAACACATAGATCCCTAAATCCAACCTCAACCTCAGCTTGCCGTCCAAGATAGACAGCAAGTAAGTAACCCTCCCTCCTCTCCTATCATATAGGTAGGTAGGTAGGTAGGTACTAAAAATCGAAGTTCAAAGCCAAAATCAAAACGCTCACTTCCTCACACCGCATCCTCTTCAATCTTCAACCCCCGCTGGCCCTAATTCTCAGTTTATTCATTCAAAGTTCATCATTCATTCATTCCTTCATTCAAACCACAGACTCCACCTCCTTCGGCCTCGGCCCCCTCGCAAACGAAATATGTCTAAACCGCACCGCCCTATCATCGCCCTCTCCCTCCACTTCGCCCTCACGCTCCGAGTCCGTCATATGCTTCTCTCTTTCCCTTTCCCTTTCCCTCTCCCTTTCTCTCAAAATGCCGCTACCGCTGTTCGAGGTAGTATGCGGGCTCCAAGTCGGCCTCGGCGTCAACAACGTCGGGACACCGCCCTCGGGGCCCGTGACAGGCGTGCGGCTGCGGGCCTTCGCAAAGTGCGCGTCTCCAGGCCTAACCGGGGCAGGAGAAGGAGAATGCGAATGCGAATGCGAACGGTGATTCTGGCTGTGCTGCTTCCCCAGAATCGTACTATTCGTCGAACTCCCGGCACCGCTAACACTGATCAGCCCGCTGAAAAAGTCCTGCGCGAAGGTGGTCTCGAGGTCGCGGGGACGGCCGTCGGTGGTCCAGTAGCGCTCGTTGCTGAGGTCGGTGCTGAGGTGGCGGCGGAAGTAGCGGTCCTGGTTGACCCACCAGGCGCGCCACCCCGCGACGATGACGAGGGTTAAGGGAATGGTGAAGGCCCAGTAGATCCAGAAAGAGGGCATGACGACGGGGTGCGGCCACCCGCGCGCGGCGTCCTGCGATGCTGCTGGGTCCCCCGCCGTCCCCGTCTCCCAGTTGAACATGGACACGCCGAATAGCGTGCCGATGTACTCACCGGGCAGGAAGATGGCGGTGATGACGGCGAGGGCCTTCATGGAGGAGCTATCGCGCGTAGAGGCAACGGCCATGCGCGCGTTCAGGTTGTTGTCCTCTTGCGCCATCTTGGAGTAGATGATGTCGATCTGCGCACGGCACCGCAGCTCCGACATGCGCCGGTCCGTCTCTAGCGACGTGCACAGCCGCCACGTGCAGTCCAGGTACTGCCGGATTTCGTGCCAGTGCACCGACAGCTCGTCCTCCCCTTCTTCACCCTCTTGCTCCGGGATCTGCTGCCCCTTTGCTATCGCGTTAGCCCGCAGCTCCTTCATCCGAACGTCTAGCTCATCGCCTGCTTGGATGATCAGTTTTAAAGCGCGCTCCATCCACCGTAGCGTATCAAGAAGTCGGATGGCCCCCTTAAGCACGTCGTGCGCCTCTTTCATCAGGTGGATCGTCTGCGGTGGAACGTAGTCCGGGTCATAGAAGCTGCTAGTAGTCTCAGGACTCGGTGTCCTGGCCGCCCGGGCCTGGGCCTGGGCGTTCGCGAAGTCGTGGCTGTGCTGCCGCCCGCTCCCGACTTTGCTCTCGACCATGTCCTTAAGGCCGGAAGACAAACGCTTCAGGGGCTGCAGAGGCCGATGCTTTGCTGCCGTCTGGAGGTTGTTCCGTCGCCAGGCTTCGGCGTTGGCCTGTCCGGTGGTGCCCGTGACGGCGTCAACGTGGGCTTCAAGCTCTAGCACCTCGCCATTGTTGGCCTGCACTGCCTCCTCGGTGCGGAACAGCTGCACCTGTAGCAGCACAACCGGGAGCACGAGCGGGTGGGACCAGCGTGCCCGGCACGAGTCGAGGCGGCGCTCGTACTCATCCAGCGCATCTTCGGCATGCCACCGCGTGTCGAAGGACCGCCTTACCAGGGCCGTCGCTGTGCGGGTCTTCAATTTGTATGCCATGGAAAGGAAATCGTACGGCGGTTGTGGACTAGAAGAAAAACTTAGAATCAAGTCTCGATGCGTGTTAGTATCGTTTAATATTGGAACATGTGAAAGCAGATGGATGGAGTATAAGTGGGTAGAACAATGCATGATCCCCCCTTCCATACTTTTGCCCCCTAAGGTGGGCTAGACAGTACGTCACGATCTTGTGGGAACTTACAGAAAGTCTCCCTCCTCGTGTCCCAGAACGAGGACTCGAGAGTTACACGCTGCAGAGTGGGTAGGGTGCCCGAATGTAAGCCCAGAGACTCGTAGTCTTCTACCGTAAGGTGGATGCCATCAGGGGACTTCGCGCCTGGACCTTCCAATTCGATATTGCGAGGGCGTCGGTGGGCAATGCTGTTTATGGTTCTTTTTAGCCTTTAATTTCATCGCGCTATCGGCCTCTAAGCAGCGCCTTCGCTAGGGTGACTTGGAGCTGGAGGATACCAATGAAATGATGTAGATTTACTTACACTTGTCTCATCCTACCCTGAAGCAGATGTTTCCCTCTTGGGTTAGGTGTAAAATTTCCCTATGCAAGACATCGAATTAATATCTGCTAAATCATCATCTTGTTCTCTAGGTAGGTACCTAGGCAGATAGAAATTCATGAGGTTTCCTATCCCATAACTTGGATACAGCACGACCCATCCGTTCCCCAAAACATGATGCGTAAATTTTAATTTTAGTCAGATACAAGATTTCCTCTTACCTCGTCATCCAGACCGTGGCCATTTCTAATCGCGTCTCGAAACATCTGTAACCCCTCCTCGCCTTCTGACATAATGCTCGGTGACCGAGGCTCGCCGTCCGGCTCCGTAGGATCAAAGACGGCATACTCGTGGTACGAAACCCGGCTCTCACCGCCCTTTATAATTAACGCCTCGCGGACTAGATCGCGGAGGTCGAAATTAAAGAGGTTGAGCTCGTCAAGCTTATACGATTGCTTCTTCCCTGGTTTCTGCGTAACGGACGAGAAGGCGCCGGCGCCAGGAACTAAGCTGCCGCGGCGGGTACTCGCGGCCGTCCGACGACTGGAGTTGCGGTCCGGAGGGGGGCCGGCCACGGCGAGGGATTGGTGCCGGGCTTCGCTAAGCGCAGCGTCTAGCTCGTCGAGATTATAGTCCATATTTATCATCGCTCTCCGCAGTCGCGTACGTATAATAACATCAATGAATTCATGCCCTTCTTTGTAATACTTAAGTTTATACTACCCTCGAGTTAAAGATAAAAATAACAACAACAATAAAAACACGCCAAGAAATTCTGGCCAAAGAAGATAATGATGAACAGGAACAGAAAGGAAACGAATCGGTGGATCGAACGAATTAAGACATCGTAAATTTGCCAGCCGCAACTACGGGGTAAGGCGTACTCGGAAAGCACCCTTGAAAATAAATATCCCCTAGATACAGCATCTAATGCTACTTTACTATCTGCAAGCAGCTTAACTTGTTTCCCAGGGAATCTTGGCAGAATATCTATGTCTTTGACTGGACTGGGGGCCAAGTATGTACGATATCAGTCTCACCGCCAAGATATCGGGGGCTGTGTGTCAATATCCCAAGCGAGCCAGCGGTCACGATGTGGAGTAGGCGGTTCCGTTTTTTTCTTGCTTCATGACCCTCTCCCTTGGCAAATCGAATTGGCTAATTGGACGATCTTGTGCAGAAACTGAGAAATGATACGGTCTAGATCGAAAATGGGAAAACTTACCCACGCATCATCTGAATATGATACTGCGTCACATGGCAAAAATCAAACAAATGGCAAATGAGAGAACAGCGGTAACGATGTAAGCTATGCGTCAGCATGCCCAGGCAAGTACCTAGGTAGGAAAGGGGATAAACATAAATGGGAATGATATCATGTTATAGATTGCAGCATAAGGGCTGGATATTGAGTAATGGGGAATGGGTAGAGAAACGAACTCATTCCGTTCAGCTCTCTGCTGAGACGGCAGGAATATCCACCTGGTAGCCTTTAAACTTCCTTGCAGGGACATTTCTATCGAACAGAATATCCAACTCTTCATAGGTCCTGCCCATCGTCTCGGGGATCCGGAAATAGCTCCAGAGCAGGCAGAGGACACCCAGGCCGCCAAAGAAGTATCCTAGCTTTCCCTGCATATTCGCCTCCGTGGGGTTGATCATGTACGGAATCGCAACGGTCATAGCGATCCCAACAACTGCCTGCGCGGCCGTGGCCACCGCGATCGTCTTGGACCGAACGCGCGTCGCAGAACACTCGCCGAGGATCACAAAGGTGATGGGTCCGATGGATAAGTCGTACACGCCGTTCCAGACCAGCATGAGCGAGCTCTCGGCCCAAGCGACACCCGACGGCCGACCCGGGATGGTGTCCAAAATGCCGATGATAAACATGAGAACGATCAGGACGGATAAGCCGATGTTGAATATACGTCTTCGCCCGAACCGGGCGATCAGGAACCACGAGATAACGGTACAAACCCAACCTACCCCTACAGAGTATGACTTATGTTAGCACTCGCAGTGCCGGGTGCGGATGTTTTGATGGAAACGAACCTAAGAAGCCAATACCCATATTAAATGCGGCTTGAGTTGGCAATCCCGCCTGTTCGAAGAAATAAGTTCCGTAATTGATCAGGTAGATGCCACTGAGAACTTGTGTAGTATATACGCCGGTGGAGATCTCAGTCCGGCGTAGGTTGACGCCTTTTATAGTATCTAGATACGTGCTACCTGCCTCCATTTCCAGCTCAAGCCTATCTGTCTCGGCGATGACAGCTAATGTCGCATCCACATCCACCTTCTCGGAGCATAACCGTCGTAAGGCATCCTTCGCATCTTCATTCCTACCTTTACGTACCAACCACCACGGCGACTCGGGGATATAGAATATACCGGGGATGATAATCACGACCCAGAACCACTGCAGGGCGAAGGGGATGCTATAGGCCCAGTGGTTTCCGAGCGAGGCCGTCCCGGCAGTGACGCCGTTCCCCAACAGCTGTCCGGTGACGAAGCATAAGTTGGTATAGGAAGTCAGGTATCCACGGAGTGCCATGGGGCAAACCTCGGATGCATACGTTGGTCCAATGACGACGAAGCATCCGAGCACTAGTCCACCTAGCAGCTCGCCCACGAGTAGGACCTGCAGCGAGCGGGCAAAGAATTGAATAAATACCAGGCATGCCGTCAAGAGGATACAGCCGAAGAATGCCCACTTTCGGCCGAAGAGTTCCATGGGGTAGGCGGAGAACAGTGCGCCGACGACTTGACCTAAGGGATTTCCCAGCGATAAGCCTGTCTGCCATGCGGCTGGGATGACATACTAATAAGGACGTTAGCTCTTTTGATTTCTCTCCTTTTTGATTCATCCTTTGCTCTTTCTCATGCACCTACTAGGTAACCTAGTAGGTGCTATGTTGGGTAGGTGTAGGTAAGTAGTAGGCAGGTAGGTATATAAATAATACACACATCACCGTCCAACTCAACCCCAAAATCCTTTTGAAATTGTGGCATAGCGTACATGTTCCCAATGATCTGGGGGTCGAAGGCCAACATGATAACACCCATGGACACGAAGGCCGACCAGCCAACGGCCTTTGGGTATAGTTTTACGGCTTGCCAGAAGCTCAAGGCATGTTCTTGTTGAATGGCATCGGTTAGTGTGACATCAGCATCGCCGGTCTTGGACGTTGTCGCCATTGCCGTCATTGATGGTGTGGTTGTTGCGGTATCGATGTTAATTATGCCAGATGCATCTGCAAATGTGGTAGTAGCAGTGATGGTGGTAGCAGTGGTGGTGGTGGGATTGGTGAGAATGCCATTGGAGATATTGGCGAATGTTCCATACTGGTAGGATCGGTTATCTATCACTTTACCCATGTTACTACTAGCATGTTGGATACATGTATTGTACAGTATTGTACTATGTAGATAGATCGATTCAATCTGTGATTTCCAAGTTCGTTATCTGGAACAGACAAACGAGACAAAAAGGAAGAAATCTTACAGGCTGTTCCGGTAGAATGTCTCGCCCCATAGGTCAACGAAAAGGAGGGGGATCAGGGGCAAGGGGGGTTAGTCGGGCTTGCAGGGTTGCTTATCGTTGCACGAGAAGTTGGGGTAGGTACAGTATAATACTATCATATTGATGAGCGTTTGTTGTTTATTAACTTTCCTCAGGAAAAGTCTAACATCCCTACATCTACATCTCTATCATTGATGTACCTACATTAGTGTCCGTCAAATTTAGCTTTCATTCAATGTTTCGAGGAGAAAGTGGACGATATCAGCCAATACAAATGAGAACATTAAAGTCGGACGAGAGTGGTATTTAGTCTCCCTGATTTCCAAGGTTTCAATCTGAACCTGCTATAATCTGAACCTGCTATAATCTTCTCTTACTTTATTCATTCAAAAGAGAGCCCCCGTTAAAATCATTGATTTCGAACATGCCTCAACTTCTCAAAGGATACCTAGTACCTACCTACCTAGTAGGTAGTCAGTAATTAAAAATCAATACACCTCGAAATATACGCCATATATGACGATATACGCTGCCAATTGCACGACATCCAAGTAAACAATCCGGTTGGCTGTCAAAGTAAAAGAAAACAGCATAAAAACGCGATGGAACAGGAAGGTCTCGTTATCTCCATCCTTGGGAGAGCGGGGAACATCAATCGGATCTTTCTTTTACAGCCGATCGTAGACTATCGCATACTATAAAGGTAAGAGAACGACTTGCCCGGTGAGTGGTTACAGTTTTCCATCATTCACGGCTATACCGTAAAAATGAAAAGCATCACCCCTAGCATTATATTAGCCCTGGCTTCCCTCGCGTCAACGGAGCCGGTTATCAGGCGTCAGGATTCGCCCTACGTCGGCCCTGAGAATGGCACGCTTGTGATCGTTGGTGGGAATGCGCAAGACGATGCCATTTACCAGCGCATCATAGATCTAGCTGGCGGCCCCGATGCCCCTATTGTTACCATCCCGACCGCTGACGGGGCTGACACTTACGATGACGATGCGGCAGCGGCAGGTACCTTTAGGAGGCTCGGTGCCAAAAACGTCACCGTGCTGCATACGTACGACCCGAAAGAAGCCGACACGGAGGAGTTCGTAGCCCCGCTACGAACGGCCAAGGGCGTATTTTTTGGTGGAGGTAGACAGTGGCGCCTAGTAGACGCGTACGCCGGAACGCTGACGGAGAGCCTATTTCACGATGTGCTCGACCGCGGCGGTGTCGTGAGCGGGAGTTCGGCGGGGGCATCGATCCAGGGGAGTTTTCTAGCACGTGGTGATACAGCCAACAACCAGATCCTAGTGGGCGATCATCAAGTAGGCTTCGGCTTCCTGAAAAATGCCGCCATCGACCAGCACGTGCTCGTGCGCAACCGCCAGTTCGACATGTTCGACATTCTCAAGGTTCGCCCGGAGCTGCTGGGCATAGCTATTGACGAGAACACGGCACTCATCGTGTCGAAGAACGACGCTGAGGTCTATCGCGGCACGTATGTAATTATATACGATGGGAGCTTCTGGTCGAGGGAGGGGAGTGAACTGAAACACCTCCCGGATAGCTCGTCCATCTTCTATTTCCTGAAGGATGGTGACAAGTACGATCTAGGGAAAAGGCAGGTCGTGATGTGAGTCGGTAGGCACTCTAGTCCTTACCTACGAAGTTTGCCGACATGTCGAGGCATGGTTGAGCTAGTACCGACTTAATATTAGGTATATATGGCAACTAATGATCGTCATTTTGTTGATTGGGAATATATACCATCGCCTTCCTTCGATGATCTAGTGCTGATGTAAATCCGAGGGATTCGATCTATGTCAAGTTCGGGGTAGGCGGGTAGCAATAGCAATAGCAGGATTGGCATAGGCATAGCTCGACATTGGCTACTAGGTGGGCAGTGCTTAGCACGCTGTGCGTTGAATTCTCATTGCAGCGATGAGTCGGTTCAAAATGAAGCAAAATGGCTAGTCGCTCTGAGTTGGGATACCAAGAGCGGCGTCGTATGAGTGGATAAAAATTACGTGCCGCGAGAAAAGTACCGTATTTCCCAATCAGGTAATATGAAGCTTACCACAGCCATCATCGCTTACGACTTATCCTTTTTTTCCTTCTTCCGAATTGCTTTTTGTCTTATTCCCGACCAACCGATTCAAGCGCACAAATAGTTTGATATGCGCTACCATGACCATTCTGGAGTTTCAGGTGCTGACCTTTTGTTTAGTGGCCGATTGGCAATATGACACACGACAAGTACCTACATACCCTATGCACGGGTCGAATGTAACTCGTGAGGGACGTGGGTAGTAAGTAGTCTTGGTCACGAAACATGTGATAAGGCAGATAGATGATCGAATCAGGATTTTTATCAAGGACTCGAAATCCCTGAATAAGATATTCTATCCACCCAATCGTCCATTCGTTGCTATATATTGCATCCTACCTAAAAGCATGTAGTCACGGTGGAGAACTGCCGTTGACGGCGGTTCAGCCCGGATGGTATGATGTTCTTCTTACCCGCATAGGTATAGGTGGTAAGCGTGTATATAATAGGCCTCAACAACCTTAGTATTAAAGAATGAAACACTCCCCCATAGGTACTCACCAGTCAGCTCCCTAAGTACCTACCTATATGACTACCTGGTATCCGAATAATCCCTCGACACATTTCCCTCTACGGTGCTAATCTACTAAGAAAGACCGATGGCAATGCTCACAGAAGTCGCGATGGAATCGACAGCGGCATCAGCATCCGTCGCCGCCGCGGAAACGCCGCAATTCCACCTCTTCACCCTCCTCCCGCCCGAGATCCGCAACATAATCTGGTCCCTCGCCCTGCCCCCGGACATCCCAGAAGTGTACCTGCGACCACAACACCCGATGCCGCGCCTGCCCACAGCCATAACCCCAAGCTCCGACCCCCCCACCGTCGACACCGACTACCCCGTCCTCATGCACGTATGCCGCGAATCGCGCTCCCTCTCGCGCTTCCTGCGCCCAACCCGCCAGCAGTGTCCCTCCTATACTACTACTACTCTACACCACAGCCGCGAGATCGCCCACCGCCCCTTCCGCCCGGACATCGACGTCATGCAGATCAACTACGTCGGCGTCGGCCCTTTGCTGTGGATGCCTGACTTCTGGCGCGGGACCGGGCTATCGGCAAAGCTGGTGCACGTGGCGGTCGAGGCGAGCTCGATGACGAGCTACGTGCGCTCGCAGCTCGCGGACGCGTTCCGGTATCTGGAGAGCGTCGAGGTGCTGCATTTGATTTTCCGCGCTTCCTCGTCGCTGCAGGTCGGCTGGGGAGTTGGAGAAGGGCAAACGGCGCAGATGGTGAAGATGGCGGCGGCGGCGCCGCGCAGGGGGAGGTGCAAGTTGGCTCCGCTCACGGAGCCGCAGGAGGAGCTGCAGAGGCAGCATGTCGCGTTCATGCGCAAGGATCTCCAGGAGGCGGTTAGGGCGAGGGTGAGGTCGTGGGGGGAGGGGGTTAGAGTCTCGGTGTGGGATTATGAGAAGAAGTGTCTGAGGCTGAAGATTGTGCCGCAGATGCTGATGGAGTTTCGGGGGGAGGGGGGGTGGACGCCTTGTGCGTGATTGTTTGGGCCATGGGATGTAAGTGAAAGGGGGGGGAGGGTTGAATCAACGAGCTGATTAGGTATGCTCTCGATTTAAGGTGATTCCATAACCTACACCCCTCACAGCTAAAGACATGGTGCCTATGAGAACTCTACTGGAAACGACTATAAAGGTAACAATTTAGAAAAAAAAATCTAAAGAAAAAAATTAATAAAGTTGTTTGATACCATGGGAGTATCAATGAGAAAGGGGGCAATGTAGGTCCCCATGATACAGCAACTTGTTCTTCTCTGACATCCTCCCTCCAAGACCATCATCCACCACTCACATGAAGACCAACCTTACAAACCACCTACCACCACCTCGATTAAAGCTCACAGTCTTCAAAGTTACCTAAGGCTTTGGCCAGCGACCCCTGCCACGCCCGCTTCGGGTCAGCCTCTGCAACTCGATCGACGCGCCGTTCTCGCTGTCGGCTACTATGCGGTTCCCGTTCCCGTTCCCGTTCCCAGCTCCGTTGGCTGGTGGCCCATCCAAGCGGCGGGCCAATCGTGTGCGCGACAGCATAATGGGTAGGATGTTGGCAGCCATGATGCCCAGATTCTGCTCGACTCTTTTTTGTTGAAAAGAGAAAAAAAGTGTTAGTCTACTGGTTCCCTAGGTATCCGTCCAAGTCGTGTATTATGAAGGGGGGGGGGGGGGGGGGGGGGGACGTACACTACTAGCAGCGTAACGCAAATCCGAAGACCTGCATTATATTCCAGTCGTAGGAAAGAGAGGACGATTGCCCTGATGACAGCGATACCCGCGATCCTGTTGTGTTTGATTAAACATGTCAGCGGGGAACGAACGAACGAGTAATACCACGTTACTACCTATTTACCTACTAGGTAGTATAGGTACAGCACCTAGGAGGTAAGGTAAGGTAGGTAGGTAGGTTAGTTACCCGGGGGGAAGAAAGTGAAATAAACACATACAGACTCATGAAGATCGCAAGCCCATAGAACGGCGGTCGCTCCCGGGCAGAAATCCCCAGCGTCCTGATCAGCATGAGGGGGAACGCCGTGATGGCCATCGGCGTGAGGACGTCGCAACCTGATACGCACACACACACATTCGGTAGTTAGCAGAAAAGTTCCAAGCACATGTTCTTTCTCAGCCCAGTATATGAAAAAAAAAAAAAAAAAGAAAAACCAACGGCCGACAACCGCAGCTCACTCACCCTGCTGTATCACGTCCAAAACCGGTCTGATGCCCACATCCCAGCACTCCCTCGCCGTCCACCCCGCAGCAAAGCTCGTCGTCCCCAGCAACAGAAACGAGCCCTCCGTGATGGCGCCCTCGGGGCAGGTCGTCAGCGCCGCGAAGCTGTACGTCGACGCGACGACCAGCAGGAACCCGATCTGCGCGAGCAGGTACATCTGGAAGCGGCGGAAGCGGCGGGGCCGCGTGACGAGGTGCCACATGGAGAGGCAGACGGAGACCTTGGCGAGGATGGCGCCCGCGGTGTAGAAGCCGAGCGCGAGGAAGTCGAAGCACAGCGACACCTCGTACTGCTGCGCGGCGTACGCGAGCTCGCCGATCGCGAAGATGGTGCCGGCCATGGCGAGGATCTGGGTTGTATGGTGAGCTTTTTCTTCTTTTTTTAAGGGGAGGGGGAGGGGGTGGGGGGGCTTTTTTGGAGTGTGTCTGAGGGGTAAGGAAGCTGCTGAAAGCCGGCGCTTCAACGGCATCTGTTATTTCATATTGTGTTGTGGTGTTGCCTAGGTCCCTCCCTAGGTAGGCACTTACCACCGAGAACCCGACATTCATATCATCCCAGACCATCATCGACGAGTCCCTGCGAAGCGACTGCACGTGGTACCGGACAACGCACGCCACCGCGGCGGCGACCGTCGTCCCCACCGCGGCCGTGACAAGGATGATGGCCATTTCGCTCGTTGGCGTCCCCATCAAGACGGAGAAAATGTCCCGCTTAACAATACCGTCCATCGTCGTGGTTCGAGGCTTTGCCTTAGACACCTACGTTGGTAGATAGGTATTTTGTCTGGAAGAGTTGGAGCACGAGGTAGACCTCCTCTATAAATAGACGAGAGCGTGGCGAGGGTGGACGGCAGCGGGAGGAAAGTTCCCACGCACAAGATTACTCTGTCCCGCTATATAGAGCACACGCGCCTTACCGCAACCAAGCGTCGATCTAGAGGCTGAGGGAAGCACGCCGCCATGGCCAAAAAAAAACATGTGTGAACGGGCTGTCGATAGAGCGTGATCAGACACCCACGTGAGAAGCAAATGTACCTGATTAAGTTACAGATTATGCGCTAGCACGCGCGCGGTCAAAGAGGCGAAAGAGAACAGATGTAGTTAACGTTATATAAGCCGTGTCTAGGTAACTCAAATCAGTGTGCGATGTCCTTCGTCAGCATGTATACTCACCTACGTGCCTAGGTTAGTACATACTCTTAAACGCCATCTCTAAGCCAACTTATTGTAGAATCGCGCAGACTACCTAGGTACCTAATGGCTAGTAGGAAAAGACGAAGAAAATGATGCTCAATGAAAGATTCGGCGAAAAAGCTTCGCAACCACCACCTCACCCCCTTTTTCTCTTCTCCCTATTAAACACTATTCACTTCACTTCGAGCCACAAAATAAAACCCCAAAAAGACCAACATCATATCGTGTAACCCTAATCTGACATAAACACATAAAGCAGTTTATGCTTATATGAATCAGCCCATGGTAGAGTTTTGAAGATGGCATGCGAACATTACTAGACTACTAAATTCAATACGTAGCACCCACCGTCCTACCCCCTGAACTGTATGAACTGTGGCTACCCAAAGAGGGGGGGGGGGGGGATGGACACCACCAGTTACGATAAGCACGACATTCTGAATGAATCTATAATCCCAAAGCAAAAGCAAAAGCCCATAGCTAAATCAAGCTCTGATTACGCTGACTACCACCCTAGTTAGGTAGCTACCTAGAGTTAAAGATGAATAATATTGATTCCATCATTTTCACATTTTACCATCCTTAGCAATCTCATTAATAGAAGCCCATCCCAACCTCAGCCTCAAACTATTGCCTTTAGGACTTAGATGAAGCCGAGGTATGCATATTTATACCTTCTTGAGTAGGTAGGTAGCCGATATACCTTAGGTGGGTATATCATGGGTATATCGCCTACCTGCCTACCCACCTCCCTAAGCCTCCATCCCCCTAAAACCTCGCCTCAACCTTCTTCTCCGTATCCTGCAGCGCCCACGCAGACGTCTTCTCACGACTCAACACGCTCTTGCACTGTTCAGCTGTGAACCCCTTCGCCTCTACGGCGGGATTGTATCCTAACCCGTTCTCCTTCGCAACCGTAGCTGAGTCTACTTTGGGAGCTTCTTCGCCGCGGTTGGGGCGGGCATAGACGGTGACGACGGCGGCGCCGCCGAGGCCGAGGTTTTGCTGCAGCGCGTAGCGGGTGTGGGGGGCGGCGCGGTTGTTGGCCCAGCCACGGAGGTGCCAGACGAGCTCTGCGCACTGCGCGAGGCCAGTTGCGCCAAGGGGGTGGCCCTTGGAGATGAGGCCGCCTGACGGGTTAACCACCACTCTCCCCTTCTTCTCATCGCCGTAGGTGATGTCGCCGCGCCGCACCATCTCGTGCGCCTTGCCTGGCGGGCACAAGCCCAGGGCGTCGATCGTCACCATCTCGTTCGCTGAGAAGCAGTCGTGCAGCTCCACCACCTGTACGTCATCCGGCGACACCCGGGCTTCCTTCAGAGCGACTTCTGCGGCGCGCTTGGTCATATCGTACCCGATGAGGTCGATGGCGCTGCGGGAGAAGAGGTTTGGTGAGTCCGTCGCCATGCACTGGCCTGCGATGAGGATGGCCTGGCCCTTAAGGTGCGGCCTGGCGTCGAGGAAGTCCTGCGATACCAGAACGGCGGCGGCTCCGCCATCGGAGGTGGGGCAGCACTGCAGCTTGGTGAGGGGCTCGTGGATCATGGGCGACTTCATGACCTGCTCCAGGGTGTAGACGTCCTGAAACTGTGAATAAGGGTTGTGGACGGAGTGCTTGTGGTTGATTCTGGCAATCTCGGCAAAATCCTCGAGCGTGGCGCCGTATCTACGATATGTGGTTAGTCCATTCTCATTTGTCATGTAAGACATGTAATAAGGTAGGTACTAGGCAGGTATGTAAGAGAATGAATATGAGCCTACTTCTCCATATATTCCTTCCCAGCATTGCCAAACATCTGAGCAGCAGCCGGGGCTTTAGTATGGCCTCGAGTTTCCCCCATCAACTTAGCCGAAGTGCCAACGGGGTTCTCCCTATCGTTGAAGAAAGTCTGGAGGCTGCCCCGCATCATCTTCTCAAAACCGACGACGAGGATGCAGTCGGCCCCTCCATAGGCGATAGTGTTCCGGGCCGAGTGCAGACCGGTGGACCCGGTCGAGCAATTATTGTTTACATTCATGATGGGAATCTGGGTCATGCCGAACTGGTAGAAGACACGTTGGCCACACGTGGAGTCTCCGTAGCAGTAACATGCGATACCTTGCTCGACATCATCGTAGTTGATCTTTGCGTCAAGCATGGCCTTGACACCAGCTTCGAAGCCAAGCTCGGTGTAGTCAACCTTACCACGAGGCTTGATGAACTTGGTCATCCCCACGCCTAAGACGTACACGGGCTGCTTTTGTTTGGCAGGCATTTTGTAGATGGGCTTTGAACTGATTTTACAACTGTACGGGTAGAAAGAATGTGTGTATTATTAGGTACTACCTAGGGTTAGGTAGTGTATGTATGTGTATGTGTGTGTACGTGTGTGTATGTGTGTGTATGTGTGTGTATTATATACGAATACCATCTAATTAAATAAATATAATTAGTTAAATATTATCGGCCGTAACATCGAAAGTAAAAAGCTTAACCTACTATTAATTGACGGAAGTCGTTGTCTAATATGTTAGGTCCACGGGTACGTCCTGCCCCGGACCACCATGCAGGACGGCGGAGACGCGGGGATCTGACAGCGAGCCGAGGCATTACTCTACGTGGTATAGTGTGTCGTAGGTACCCTTCATCCCTTCCGTAATTACGCAGTTTGAACAACGAATTTATAACGAATTTATACAAAGTATGCATGCATGCATACGACATAATTATTCAATGTTATGAACACCTCCAGCTACATCAATGATCCCTCCAGCTACCTAGGTTAGTAGATAGGTACCTCGATGTAGGGGAGGCATCTTAACTGTTATGTACTTATTACCTATTAGAATCCTAGGCTTAGAGGCTCACGGCACTAGATAGCCTTCCTTCTACAGCCTTCCGTTGAGCAGCATGTCTCTCATCTTCCTCGAATTATATAGGCCTACACATTAATTGACATCATTCATCTCCTACCTTCAAGCGTAAATATGTACATCGCCTGAAAAGTATCATTCGTGATGCTTCATCCACACCTCTACTCGCTTCCCCTTGCTGTTCTTCGACTATTTCGCTATCAACCATAGTATTGGTGCTGGTGCTCTATTCGGATGACATTGGGCAGATTGTCATCCTGGGTCTGACCATAGACGACATCTTCGAAATACGCATCTTCTTTCTCGCCTATATGGCGAATCCACCAGTTTGACTTTGCAAGCAGTGTGTAAGTTCCCGAGCACCTAGGCAAGTAGGTAGCATGTGGGGAGGTATGCATCTTTTTCTTCATCACTGTTGCCCAGAATACAATATCGGGCCCCAAAATTCCGTCTCCCAGAGTGCAGTAAACTCATCAGATGTCTGAATAATTAGAAACACTTCATCATTAATGGGTAAGAGGCAGACACGTACAGTATTAGGGGCATCCGACGGCGCCGTAAAAGGCTGCATATGGTTCATAAACCCTGAACCTGTTGCTGGAGAAGACGGCATAACCTGTTTGAAGAACTATCAATATTGCACCACACGCATAATACTCGAGAACCCCCCTTACCGGTATTGATGTCATATTATCCTGGTTTACGTGTATCGCTTGCAGACTTGCTTCGAGAATTGCCTGTAGGCCGCCTTTGATCGCGTCCCGTTTTTGCTCTGGTGTCCCGCCCTGTGATGTATAAAACACCACGGTGAGTGAGACCAAGTCTCTCAAGTCTGTCCCAATGTCCCATATTCGTTTGAGCAGAGTATCCAATACTTTCTTTACCGAGCTCCTCAGTCGTGGTAGAGATAGTAGAACTGAACTCTCAGATGCAGCTATACACGAATCCCCGACCAAGAGGGGTTCTGATTTGATATTTGCATCCGAGTTCGGCGAAACCAGCAAATCGGTGCCGTCGGCTGCTTGCTTCATATAATAACAGACGCTGAAAGCAGCTTGGAGAATCTCTCGCTTGAGCACCACCTGATGCATGTGCCAAACGTGAGAGTAGTCGGGGAGGGAGGGATCCAACTCATCCAGATAGGAAAGAAGGATCACCGAAGACCTCAGATATCCCGTCACTATCTGCTGGGGAACATCTGAATGGCTTAATGCGAAGGGTCGGTACAATGCTAGGAGAGGCCGACGGCAATGCATGTCCAGAACAACTCGTATTACCCATTTCCGCCGAGCTTCTATATCCTCTCTCATTGAATGTGACAACGGAACAATATAACGGACATCCTCAAATACCCGTTCCAATTCACTGCCAAGTTCCAAAACAGGTTGATAATCTTGCAGACTTTCAATGCGATTGATCAGGTCGACGACCCTAAAGCGCATAGACAAAGTGCTGGCAGCAAAAACTTGAACGCGCGAATCAGTATGTTGGTCAATTGGCTTGGAAGGAGGAAGCTGTTCCATATTGGGATGGATATCTTCGTCATTGAGGTTCCTAGGTGGCAGGCAGGTAAAATCGCCATCTCGAATGCAACAGGGAAGGTTGCATTGCATAGACATGTGGACATCAAGTTCCAGGATCGTATACCACAACCTTCTCCTCTGCTCAGCCCAGAAAGGCGGTATCTTTCGCGCAAATTCGGACGGATCTCGGTGTAGGCCCATCGTCATGGCCATTCGTACAATGAGTCCAAGATGTGTCCAGGATTCCTGATTTTGCGGGCTAATCATCCTCCGAGCCATCAATTGGAGAATTTCAGCTTGGAGCGTGCTGAATTCGACAAGCTGTTTCCCTCGGAGGCTATCTAGCCAGGTTCTCACGAGAGAACTGGCTGTTGGGATGTGAATCCCTTCTCGATCGTGAAATTGCCCTTTACCGGCTTTCAAGTATCGGTATCCAACACACAATATAGAGAGAAGTTGGGGTAGAAATGCGTCGCATTGCGTGATGCCCTCCCAATATTGATTATACTGGTGCATGAATGATGGAGAGTGCAACACGCGATAGATATTTTCAGATCCACTCAGGTAGACGCTGACAAGACTATCACAAACCGCTCTGCTTGGTAAGACATCGGCCATTCGCTTCTGAATTGGCGTCATTGAGTCCACGTATACCGTAATTGGCGCCGTGACCTTGCGGTGCTCATCTTGAAGAGCCCTGTAAACTTTCTGGAGATTCAAGAATAAGTCTCTTATATCACTGGTTTTGTTCCTGCTAAACATAAAATCTCTAGCTTCGTCAAACTATGATGGGGTTAGTCAAAATGGTTGGTGTCATAAAACGAGGTAATTATCACGAGATACAACTCACGAGGTTAACAAGGACGCGGGTACTACTCTGGCCAAAAAATCGCGTTCGCAGACTGTTCCCTTTCACCGTCAAACCTCGGATGGTGAGAGAAGAGGCGGCGGGACGTTGCGTTGGAGTACTACTAGATCCTGCGGTAGACAAGGTTCTCGAAAGTAGGTGGCCTTCTAGCCTCTCCAGTCTACGTGCATGATCCTCAATCACAGCCGCGTAGTCCGAATTGCGTTGGCGAGACTCCTGACTTGTCCCGGCACGGTTCCGTTTGGTCGTCCTTTCGGGTGTTTCAGCATCCGAACCGTCGCTCAAGCTCGCGGCATCACCTTCGGCAGCATAACGACATGCCCGCTGCGTCTTGTGACATTGAGAACACGGCGAAGCTCGATCGCATCTCAGTTTCCTCTTCCGACACTCTAAACAGCTCTTCACCGGGCGTGGACGTTTCACGCTTCGGGATGACGCTACAAAACTATAGACGGGGCTATTGGCGCTGCTGTTGACGGACGCCGGGGATTTTGCGTTGTCCATTAGTTTCGTAGGTGAAGTTAATGCTTAGCGGATTGTATGAGCAAAACGGAACATTAATGGGAACGGGACGGGACGGGATAGGACAGGACAGGACAGCAGGCCAATCGATTCATGGAGATGAACGAGGCCTATCGGGCCGTCGGTCACCTTCAATGTTGGTCAATATGTCTCTAGGTCTACCTACCTAGGTAATGTTAGGTACTAAGGTAAGTAATAGGTATAGGTATAGGTATAGATAGGTATGTATGTATGTATCTATGTATGTATGTAGATGGTATGTAGTATTCCACAAACGGACCCCTTTACTTATTTACTATGGTAATCTCCAAATAAATGGCCGAAAGACACGCTATTGGATCCAAAGTAAAAGTGTTATAGGAATAGTGCAGGGTTAGGGAATATAGAGGAATAAGGATTATGATTATTCGAAATATGGAATATGGAATACGGAATGCCTATACTATGGAGGTAAGTAGCGATAAAACGTCAGTTAAGGAGGACCCAAGCCCATTAGTGTAGAGCTGACCTTTTCCAGCGGCCCAGCTAATACCCAGGTACCAGGTCATGTCGGTGATGCAACTCGGAATTGTCAGCCTGTACGGAGACATGTCGTCAGGGATTTTCTTTCTCATACGTATGAACGAAAAGGTGCCCAGGTGAACTCGGATTATTTTTATGGTGCCAATGGTGGCAGAGGTGGCCGAGGTGTCAGGTTACGAGCAACTACAGAGAATAGTACGAGACTCTAGTCACTCTACTACGAGTTGCACAGGATGCACAGGATGTACAGGATGTACAGGATGTTTCCTTAACCCAGGTAGGACAAGCACAACATAAAGTTCTGCTATAGGTCTAGAACTGTAGCACATGTGGGAGGAGTCTGGGAGAGAAAATGTATGTACCGGTATCAGATGTACGTACTGCTGGAGTCTGCTAGTCGTACTACATAAGCTAAGGCCATCATATCAGTGCGCTAAAAGAATTTAGTTTTGAGGAATTATTGCGAGCACGACACGTGATTGGCTATTTTAGTATGCCTTAATATGTACCAATGGATCCCTGCGATGCGCTAAGAGACGCTTTCTTTAAGGGGATCAGGGAGTTGAACTCTCAATGCTGTTACTAGTAACTTACTACAGTACTAGCTAGTAGTAGACTTTTCTTGTTAGGCTTGTTAGACAGAGTAGGCGAGGGACTTCTAAAGACGCTAAAAAGGAAATCGCTTCAAGGGCTTAAAAAAAAACATGAGCCATGAAGCCATAAGCCATGATCAAGTGGAGCTTTTACTTTTACTAGGGGTGGTTCAATGTTGCATGGATGCATGGATACAATAATGTGGTACTATACCACTCGTGTAACATATACCTAATTATGGCACAGCATTTATATATATATAATATGTATTTACTACATATCAAGGTAGGTAGACTATATTTGAAGTTCTCGGCCGATTCGGTGAAGATATAAAGGCTTCAAAGCTCGTAACAATAATGCAAGTAAAACATCCGGAGTTGCCAAGGCTCATCATCATTTCCGAGACTATGGGTCATATGCCGTTTGATGAACAAAAATGTCCATAAATGACCATGATGCCCATAACCCCTGTTACTTACGCTCCTTACGTTTCATGTTTCCCTGGGACAACAAAATTAATTGAAGTTACAACTTACAATATACTACATAGTACATACTTTGACAAAGCCGTCCCCGGATCCGTTGACTAACCTTGGCCAACCTTGACCAACCTTGACCAACCTTCATCATCACAACCAGTATTTCTTCCGGTCATCTGGACGATCTCCATCCACTCTTGCTAGAATACCCACTTGTCCACTTATCCGTTCCACGTGTTGCCTAGGATGAGCACGACTCCATGAGTCCATGGAATCCATGTGCTACCCTATGTAAGGACCAGTAGGGTATGTACCTACCTAGATAGGTATTCTTTGAGAAGAAGGGCGAAGGATTTGAGATTGCCAGCATGGACCCTGGGGAAAGAAAGCTACTATGGCATCTAAACTGGAGTACGATTACGGATGATGCCGTACGAACTGGTATACCACTTGGAGAAACACGAAGCAGAACAATATTACAAGATTGCATACAACTCAACATATTGACCAATGACTAGTAGGTAGGTTGAGGTTACGAATCGAGTCAACGCACTGAACGCAGGGACCGTCAAGTCACTCTAACGGTTCTAACCACCTACCTGGTAAGCTACCATTGCTTGGTTGAACTTGCCTCATTATTGAATCGCTAAATAAGAACTAAACAAGCGCCGACTTCTCAAAGAAAATGGTTGCTAATACTAAAATGATCAGACCATACTACTTCATCTACCCTATGTACGTGCCATTTAATAATACTAATCTCGTGTGATTAGACCATCACATAGACCATCACATCAATATCGAAAATCCTACTACTGTAAGGGTACATAACTTTAGCTAACTATCATTGACAGAGCCGCCTTTGCCGAAATCCCCAAGCGTACCAATTACCTACTAATTCATCACCTCCCTAGATAGTTAGCACCTAGGTATCTACCTATACCTACCTAGGTGGTCGGCACAGCTGCAGGGGCCACGGTTGCGGCCGCTATTGCTTTCACCCTCGCCGCTACCGTGTAACCATAGACGCCAGTGGCCGTGGCCGTGATCGGGCTCGGTTTCGTCTGACTAATAGGAAGTGCTCCGCTGTACAGGGCAGGCTACGTCACGTCAGCTCTGATGCGATATCACATACGACTCGGGAAATATATGTGTTTCAACTATGACTTACACCAGGGATCACGTAGGCCGTCGGATGCGAAAACAGATCGAACTTGATCCCGGGATCATCGGCCTTGTAGAACTCGGTTGCGGGTATACCAGCAGGGCTCGCCGTACCTTTGCTGTCGATGGCTAGATTGAAACAGAACGGGTATGACTGCGCGCCATTTGGATTACCCGCGGCGTGGAGTGCAATGATCTCATGCCGAAGCACGTAATTCCCCGGAGCGATGTCCTCGGGCACCCTAACCAGCCAGCTATTGTTGTTGTTGGTGAGGATGTTAGCCGCCCACAGGTCGCTAGCCTTATCAACCCAGCCGGCCTCGCCAATCTTGAAGAACCTGAATTTGGTTTTGTCCGAGGTTTCCTTGATCATCGTTAGTTTCTTCTACAATATTATTTTACGAAATTCACTCCTATATACGAGAGAATCGGACGTACGCAAGGTCCATCGCATTTGGCCAGGTAGTCGAGAACGGGTCCCTTGTGCGACGCCGGCCACGGCGTCCACTGTACCTCGATCATATCACCTCCTTTCACCGGAGCAGCCGCGCCGGCCGGCTTGGCGCCTAGATGGCAAACCATATCCGGCGTGTTGAACTGATTAGGAGCTATGAAAGTATTTCTATACAGTTCAAAGAATCAGCTTAATCCAGGCCCTATGGCTACAGTGGACGAAAAACAGCGACATACTGCAAGTCATCTGGAACGGACCAGCCAACCACCGTTGGAGGTGGACTTTTCCACTGATAGCTCGGATTGTAGCCATCGTAACTAATTGAGAATCTCAGCTATGCGATCTAATTAGAAGCGCGTGTCTAGACTTACAAAGTACTGTCTATCACTACCGCGCTGGCGATACCGTGGGCTTGTACACCGACAGCTGAGAAGAATACGGGGATAATGACACAAGACAACATACTGGGGAAGGCCATTGTGACAAGGGATCGTCACTGCGCGCTGGTGATCTACATTCAGCAATGCCAGAAAGAGCGCAAGCACATAACTCGATCCCCCCAGTGACTTATAAATACCTGGGGACCTTGGGGCTAGCTAAACACCGCAGCACATCTTGGCAAAGCTTCTAAGGTTAGATAACTCATATGGTGGAGTGTTCTTCATAACCCGGAACCCAACCACATGAACATATCTCTACCTCCGTCGCCCGATTTTGATCCTACAAGCTACGCCATGATGCAGTATTGAAGCAGCCCTACCCAATCAAGGCCCCCATACTTATACGAGCTGTCCGATTCTCCGCAATGCAGGTCTGCCCCTTACCCACAGCATGGTTCCCCAGTTCCGGGGCTCATCTGGCCGAAGTGGCATTCCACACTAACCCTATGGGGTCGATGTGCGGGAGGGTACGCTTCGAGAAGGATAGTCACTGGATGCTGTTCAGGTTAAACTATCCGTCATGCCGGCGGCTATATTCGATGAGCAACAAGATAGGCTAAGTTCCCGAGATTGAGGCACCCTCACCTACCCAGTAAGTACCTAGCTAGGTGTCCAGATGCTCTTCCTGCTCGATATCATCTCGAATTGGGAAAATACGAAACACCATGGTATATGTCTAGAGTGAATACTTCCAAGGCTACTATTAGGTAGGTACCTACAGCTATACACAGGTCAGTACCAAGGTCGGTATCAAGTCTCATGTATTCTAGAGAGTTCATTTATGATCAAGTAGCCAAGCAAGCATGTTATACAATGGCCCCGTCAAGTACATATCTAGACAATAATCATAAGTATCCATACGTTGTTATTACTTTAGCTTCAAGATGGCATATAGTATATCTAGCCCAGGCTACTTCGTGCATCATCGCTAATAGGAATTCACCCGAGCTACTCAAATCAACTTTCTTTTTTCTACCTACTTATACTTGGCCTGAGTAAGTAGCCGAAGACACTGGTGATACTAACCTTAAACAACAACTGCTATCGAGGTTTGAGGTTGAATGTGTGGTTCATAGGTATTTACCTAACCCAGGTACCTTGAGACAGCACCCCCTCCCCCCCCTCTTCCTCAGATAGCATATGAAAGAATACTTGTAACTACAATACTGTTGTATTCCCACGCCTCCAGTTCAATTCAGCTTATATTTACATCACATTCCAACTTCGCTTCGTACCTGGGTAGGTAGGTACCTAGGTAGGTAGTGAGGAGAGGAGAGGAGAGAGGAAAGTACCTAGCAGGTCCTCAAGCAAGTCCTACCATACTATATGACGGTAACTAACTAGTGTTTGAAGGGAAATGCAAGCTGCTGCTGCTGCTGCTGCTGCTCACGATATAGTTACAGGCCATCGTCTTGGATTTTCGTATATTTACTGTATGTACATAGCTATCTAGCTAGCCCCCCTTTTCTAGGTTCGCGATTGTCATTCTGCTGTCTGGCAAGGATTAATTAATTACATTTACATGTATGTACTGTAAGTGCTTGATCGGGTCTAGGCGCATCGGAAATTGCAGATGGGGGAAGGGGGGGGGTGAGGCTGAAAGGCCAACTAACCGCGCCTCTTGCAACTGCAAATAGTACCTAGTAACTAGGTAGGCACCTGTGCAGGCCTTAGAAACGTCCCGGTTTGCCAGATGAGTAAAAAATATTGTTGTCGATGTTGCTTCGATAAGGGAAGGGGGGCTTGGTGGTGGGTGAGAGAGAGAAGTTGTGGTCGATAACTAGATACTCGGGAGGCTGAGGTGGGTCTGGATACTAACTAGCCAGTAACTAGACGTAACTCTGTGTATGATTGATTCTCAAGCCAGCTATTTCATTCCCTTTTTTTGGGGGGGTATTGGCGGAGGAAGTGAGTGACGGGATATTGCGTATAAGTTAGAAGGATTCGCGATGCAAAGAGCACTTTTCCCGTCGCTGCCCCTGATACTACTGTAGGTGGGCTGTAAGACTAGATAGAGACCTCCTGTCGTCGTCAACTTTTAAGCCTCCTTCCTCGTGGATAACTAGATAGAGATGCACGCACTACGCCAGCCAACACAGGTAGTCGGCGCTGTGGGAATTAGGTAATCAATAACTATCCGCCTCACTCACTCACTCACGCATGCCCATACACGGCTCATCACGGCACGGTGCCCATTGAAAACAACCAACCACATCAACGAAACGAACAGCAACTAGGAGGAGGGGGAGGAGTATATTAGACAATTAGTAACTACTTGTAAATGTTCATATAGTTAACCATAGAGAAAGAAAAAAAAACATACAGGTCCTCCACAACATCGACAACAGCACCCAATAAATAAATAAAAAAATTCAAACCCATAACTAATCCAAGGCAAAAATGTTAGGTGATAAACAAACAACATACTATGTATGTAGTTATGCGCTCTCTCTCTCGATCGGGGAATCGAACCCCGGCCACCTGCGAACTTTGTACAATGAGTGACAAGCAGGTATCCTGACCACTAGACCAATCGAGATTTTTAATCGCTGCTTTGCTTAGGGTTCAGTGTGCGTGTACCTTCTACTATGTAGGTAGGTACAATACAGTACTAGGTACTGGCTTTACTTAACTACCTAGTATGTAGCTAGCTTCCCTTGCTAACGTAGGTTAGGCAGGTATGTATGTATGTATGTATGATGGCGGTAAGGAAGGTACAATACAATACGATGGAGAAAGGTAGGGAAGGTGGGTTGGGTTGGGTGGGTGGTGGTGTATAACCCTTGCTCTGCTTAGTTATTTAATATTAGCCCGGCGCGAAAGGACGGAGGTCTATGTATTGTATTGTATTGTACTTATCGTCCACTTGCGCCGTTCTGGACACCGAGTATTTCGCGCATCTGGGTGATGCGGACGCACCTACATACAATGCCATACATATATACAGTACCTAGTACCTACCTACGTTTCATATAACGCGCAGACACCTACATACCTGCCTATGACATACATATATGTAGGTACTGTACATATTAAATGGATGGATGTAAGCGTCTTAGTACCTGATATTATTCGTAGGGGCATACTATTACTGGTTAGTAGCTTTATATAGACCTTGGTGAAGATATCAATTACGGGATACTACTGGGCGTACGTATATAAGCAAAGAAGAAGAAGCACAGACATCCATGCTTGTGATTTATAATTCACTTAAACCACGTTCAAGAGTGTGTTCAACGTAATCGCAGATGGGAAATAGGTAGATCAGTATAGGTGGAAGAAACAAAGTTGAGAAGGCCGAGACCCAGACATCAAGAAGAAGCCTACGCCGGATCGCAGGGGATATCAATTCATCATTCGTCAGGCTTTCTTTCCTCTCTTTGGTGGCTAAAGTAGATACCTATGTAGAGCTACCTAAGCTGTAGACTAAGTAGGTGTAGGTAGGCCACCTATACTACCTATGTATGTAGTAACTTCACGAATAGCATCGCCCTCTCCCACCCATCGCGCAGCTCCAAAAAACAAAAAGGCTCGGCATGAGGTTCTCGCGTAGGTAGTTTCGTTCGTTTGTATGGTCTTTTTCCCGCCCGTTTTTTCATTCCTTTACTCGGCCACCTCGATACTTCGTGACTCGCCGTCGACGAAGCCCGAGTTGACCTTCTTTCCCGTCTTCTTGATCGTCTTGAGCACGGTTTCGTAGTCGAGGCCGGGCTTGGCGACGACGACGGCCTCTTGCTTGTCGAGGGAGACGTCGTAGCTCTCGATGCCTAGTATGTCGCATAGCGGTCAGCCAAAGATGATTCAAATGAAACTCTTCCCCACGATTTATCCGTATAGATTATATGCACGTTCGCATATATATATTCAATCCGTATCTCGGCTTATCGCAGAGGAGAGGGGGAGGGGATATGCCTAGGAAAAGGAAAAGCACGGCTCCTTACCCTCAAGCTTGCCGAGCACGCGGTTGATGGCGCCGGAGCAGCCGCCGCAGCTCATGGTGACGTTGAACTTGTACGTGTGTTGGTTTTGTTCGGCCATCTCGACGAGTTTATTTGTTTATCTAGGTAGATTTTGCGAAATGCGATTGACTTGCGGTTTTTGCGACGTGAGCCAAAAAGAAATTCAAAAATTGAGGGGTGTAGTTGTATGTACCGAACGTCGGTATGGCGATCTTTTATGTATGTACGTACGTAAACTTGGCGGGGTTGTGGATGGAAGTTTGGTTGGCTGGTTTGGGGGAGGGATAATGTGGGAGGGAGAGAGCGTTGATTTATGGATGAGCAATGATGTTTCAAGAAGAGAAGAGAAGAAAGTAAATGTAGGGAAAAGAGGACAGCTATGGCTATTATATACCTGCCTACCTAAGGTACGGTATAATCCTTGGGTATGGTGACACGGCCGAGAAAGGTCGAAGCTTGTATTAATAATTAACTACCTACTTCTGAAAAGGAGGCCCGGCAGGTAAAGAAAGTCGTGATCTAGAAACTGGAAGAGCTCACAATGTGATAGGTAGGTACTGTAGGTGTACCTAAGGTCAGGTAACGCAGTCACTACTAGGTACCTGCCTAGTACCTAGACTCACTATAATTGGGGCATTTAGACCTTACCTAGAAGCGGGATTAATAATGAACCATCCATTCGTCGTCACCCCTCTGCCCCCTCTCCTTTTTTTTAGACGCATAAAGGCCTTAATCGTATGGTATTGTACAATACAATGTGCCGCATCGCCTTATTGGGACTTACCAACAGCGTACACGCTAGTAGAGCTTCTTCCTTGGTTGTCAACTTGAAAACTTACTCCAGGCAGTCAGTACTTGATAGTGTTGAAAAAAGTTACAATGCCATTACAGTACATGTAGGTCTTACCGCCTTCCGTCGCGTTGCGTGCTTCAGCGATTAAAGAACGCCAGCCTCCAAAAAAAGCAGCTGTTGTCAATGTGAAACCTGAGCAAGTTTCCTATCCATCCCCCCCCCCCCCCCCTTTTTTTTTTTTTTTTTTGGAAACTTGCCTTAACCATCACCATTTTGAATTCACCCAAACTTGCTCATTACTTCAATTGTATCTAATACACACCTATGTATTAATTAGTACATTGTCGGTTAGCTCAGTCTGGTATATTTGGAATACGACTTGTGCCATTGTTGGAAGATGATAATCAGGGCCGCATCCAAGGTCGCATCCAATCGTATCGAACTTGTATCGGGAAATAATTGCTTCATGATCTACATATTCCCTGTCCTTGCGCAACTTACTGCAGGAACTGTCGTGACCAATGCAGCCTTACAAAGTAATTTTACAGTAGTAGCATCTACCTGCTTAGCCATTAATCTTTCGCGAATTACAAACTAGCTCGCCCTCTGCTACCAAACCTAACAACTCTACTATCTATCCCATCACCACTCATTCCAACCATTTCCAGGCAGTATTTCGTCGTACGATGCATTCATGTTGTCTGCTTCTCTTTAAGATGTTCACGAGTGTATATCATCGTTTGACTCATCATCATCTGCAGTGCCTCCCTCATGTATCGATGGGGGTAACTCGTCACCTGTGCCTGACGCTTCATCTTCATCACGCCATGCCCCAGGCATGCCAGCCATAGGTGCGTCGAGAGCAGATGCATCACGGGCCATGTGACGCGGGTCAAACAATTCCATGAAAGCTTGGAAGGCTCCGGCCACGCCGTTGAGCCCGTGTGGTTCCGCTAACTCGTGGTCAACTCCGTCGGCGAAACCAAACGCATCTTCCTCATATTGGTGGGCAAATGCCTCTTCCACTGTTTCACGTCTTTCTTGTTCGTCAAGTGCCTCCTGCAACACTTGCTCGAGGTCTTCTTGGACTTGGATTGGCGCCCCGGCTAGCCGCGCATGGTCCAATATACGTCGTAGCTCGCGACGATCGCCTTGAAACCTCCCACCGACACTAGGTTCGGGAGAATGTGGGGGGCCCCAAGGAAGCTGCTGCGAATCGTACGAGAAAACGTTATCGTCGCGAGCAGGCGGGAGTGGATCAAATTCCCAATTGACTGATGTGTTTAGCAGTTCGCGTGGTACTGCCCCTATTAACGAGGGAATCTCCAGTAAGTACACAAATCGTGCGAGGTTGACCGTAGCAAGAGGAGGAGCCAAGAATGTAGCATCGACGTCTGCTCTCTTCGTTTCAACCGCTGCCTTTTTTAAGATGGATATAGCTTGCGCATTATCCCATAGTCCTCTCGTCTGGTGAACGTAGACCTTGGTGTGAAGTTCCTCGCCTTCGGTCCGAGGCTGCATGCCCCATATAGACCTAGGTACGTCCAAGTTGAGTGACATGAAGAGATGGCCATAAAGCCAAGGCAAACTTCTCATGCCCTTGATCAGCAAGGCCTTGGCGCCATCTTTATCCTTCAGTTGAAGCCTAGCTAAAACGAGCGTTTGCTTGATATACTCTGGGCCACCTTGGGATGGAGATTTATCCAAGATCGCCGAGTCGCAGAAATCAACAAACCAGTCTGACTCATACGCCCGAATAGCGAGCGGGTGGATGAAGTTGACAATCCCGTAAGGGTCAGCCTGGTCCAGGCTCAGTAATAGCTTAGCCCATTCCAGTGCGGTTCTGTAGGTACCCTTCATAACCAAATTCTTGAGATAATGGTATCCAGCTAGGAAAAACTGACGATTCTCCGGTCTGTTGAAAGAAAGCCTCGCCTTCCCTTGTTCTATTTTCTGTCGAAAAGCCGATAGCGATACGCGACCGAAGGTGAAGAGGGCTCGTTCGCATAGGTCGGCAGATAGCGCTGAGTTCTGGTCTTGTTTTGCGATTCTGCTAACTTGGATGAGGCTGGAGATGTGGTACGGATGCTTTTGTAGAAAATGCACCAGTAACATCGGGTCGTACATCTGGACAAGCTCAAAGAATTTAACTTCAAGTTTGTTGTATACTGCATCATGCGCGAAACGGAACTCTTGAATTCCAGACTTGCCATCTGATCCCTCTTCTTCCTTGAGTTGATTCATGGTTAACCCCTCCGTAGAAGCCAGTGGCCACGTATCCTTCCCAGCTAAGAATGGGTTTCGGCGCCTAGTACCCTCCGGCAAGCTCTTGCCAGGGTGGCCCTTGAGAAAGGTTTCCAGGTCCATTTCCTGCTGCAAGAACTGTTGTGGTCGCCTAGGCCGCGGCTGTTCTTGCTCCTCCTCTTGCTGGGCGGCAGCGATAGCATCTCGTCCGAAGAGATTGCGCATCTCATTAAGGACCCTAAGATGGTAATTGTTGATACTCAAGAGCTCGCATATTCGGTCGTAGGGCCTGGTTGAGCGGCTTTCAGTATCTACTTTTTCTTTGGACTTTTTGGAAACCTCCAGTTCTCGGAGTACTTGCTCGATTTCATCCGGACCGCTTTTGGTGATAACTTGCGGAGTGGTTGCCTGCTGCTTCTTCGCCTTCTTCTTCTTCTTTTTATTCTTCTTTGGTGAGGTCTTGGGAGTATCGGCTATGTCAGATTCGGCGATAGGCTTCACAGCAACGTTTTCTGGCTCAGTTTCTTTCTCATCCTGGCCATCTTCGCTACCCTGTTCATCTTTACCTTCATCTCCAAGAGCAGCGAAACCCGAGAATAAACTTGCTCTTGGCTTCTGTATGGGCCGGTCATCTTCACTGCTCGATTCGTCGTTGTCAGGGTTGTCAGGGTTGTCAGGGTTGTCAGCATTCTGCGCCTGAGTCCCTTGTAGTTCTTTCTGCTTTTGCAGCTTTCTCAGCTGTCTGCTCGACATCTCGAATATTTGTACGGAATCCAAAATAAATGTTTGGCGAATGTTGGAATCCTTGTCCAAGATGGTATAGACGGAGATTCGTGTTGAATTATTGGTTGGGAACTTTTGAAAGGAAAAAAGAAAAAAGCTGGAGCATTTGGCAGACAACCTAAAAAGCTAATAGCGGGGGTGGGGTTGTGCAAACTTCCACCAAGGTGCTAAGGTTCGCCCCTAGCAGGCGGCTGTGGTGCTAGGATTAGGTAGAGTTTGATGCCTGCCAAGTGCTTACACTGCTTAGGTCAGGGCATTCAATGTTTACCTAGTATGTAACTAGGTTAAATAATGGCCTAACCAGGGTAAGGCTTCGTGCATGTATGTAGCCATAGAGGTGCTTTAGTTAAAGTTACAAATCTTCCCAGGATTGTCCTCAAGTCCGAAAACCCCTCTTCTTATAACCACCTGGGCACCATTTCAAATGCTTTGTGCTCTCGTACTGGTTCTGCTCTTCTGCTTTTCTGAAATACAAACAGATTCATTATTCAAATCAATCAATTCTGTTGCTATATTCCTAAATATATACCTCGTCGTCCCTCTCTATTTCTATTGTCTATAGTCTCATATCTAACAGTTTATTATATCCAACCGTCTTACAAAACATGTCTGCTCGAATTCTCGAATCAGATATAGCATCTTAGAAATATTACCCTCCAGCTTCACTTGTCACTCGGAGTTATACGCCAGGTATGAACACCCTAACGCGAACAAGTGTGAGAGCTTGTCAACGACTTGTGTTCAGTATTTCGCCGCCTCCTTAGCACTAAGGCTTCCCACCTTGAACACCTTCTTTATTTCAGAGATGCTGCCGATTGAGCCCAGAGCCTATGTCGATTGTTAGTTCACAAGCTAGAAAGGAGGGATACAGGGGATTCGTACTCTCTGAATGTGACCATATATTCCGAATTGTACGGCTGTCATTCCACCCACCATGACGAGACGTGGACCAATGCCGGCATAACTTCCACGCAGGCCAAGCTGGCCGACAATATTGACGATTCGTCGAGCTGTTCCCTCACCTGGACGTCCCTTCTCCTTGTTGATCTTACTTAACACAGTGTCTGCAGGCTGCGAAACGATGGCAGCCGCCATACCAGCGATCAATCCACAGCCGAGATTAACACCCGAGAGCGTCGCATTAGATGCTGTTTCTTTGTCGACCCACGAATATGCTGCCTCAAGGGCTTTCTCGTACACCACAAAGGTTGCCATCGTATATGGGACCCTAAACGCCTGTTAATTACCCATGACACGTCTCGAATACTTCAGCCTAGATTTGGTACCCACTGTTTTAATACGATCGGTGTGAACCCCGAGTAAAGTCCGGACATTCCCTCGTTCTTGGCCATCTTAGCTAACGCAGGCAACATGCCGGGAGCGAACGACGGTTGCGATACTAGTCTGATACGAACAGCCTCGAATGGGCAAAGTAGCACGTCTCCGAGAAGCTCAGCCGCGGCAGAAGAAGCAAGATACACAGTATTACGATTAGCGGCAGCCGCCTCCGGCCCTAGCCAGTCGTTCGTTCTCCTCTTCTGTATACATTGGTTAGCTCATCGTGGTGGACCAAGGTGATTGAGACAATATTCGACGTCTCCTATTCACAACATCGGCGTCGGCAACTAGGTTCAAAAAAGGAAAATATTTACGCACAAAGAACTCGTAGCCACCGAATTTGAAGGCACCTTGTAAGAAGTATCCGGTTGCTGTTGGACCTAATCCTGTTAGGAGGGCTGAGGCACCATCAGCCACAACGATTTGGCGCACGCCCCCGGTGAGACCTCGGTTGTAAATAAGGGGTTCCAATTGGACTCTGGTCTTGACACTGGACACACATTAGCCCTCTTGTTCAAAGGCACATGTGATAGTCCATAGTCCAATGGTGGCAACCATGGCTAACAAACAAGTCACAGAATCATTGGTAGCTTACACGTCAACGGGGGTGAGAATAGCATGTGTAAAGGAACAGCAGGCGGCTCCTGAGAAAGCGTATCTTGCAATGTCCGACAACCTCATCCCCGATTCGGCTGGGACTGGAGAGAGATTGGCGACGCCGTCGGCGACATATTTCACAGCATTACTGTTGCCGAAGGCACTTGGGAGAGGTGGGGAGGTTGGTTCAGGTAAGAAAATACTGTGGAAATGGTTGGCATAAGTGTCGACCTCGTCAGGATATTATAGTTACTGTATTGCTTGCTAAAATTGAAAATCACCTTTTAATGCCGCTGAAAGCACTGATTCCTAGCCGTCCCAAGATGGAATCGGCCATGCCTTTTCGCGAATTCGGGTCCACCTCCTTCGCGACCTCTCTCACTGCATCAAGAACCCTCAGATGCTCTTTCTTGAGCTCCTCGAACGACTGGTCTAGCTGGTTGTGCCACGGATATAGGACGAAGACTTGGAAGCCGAGTGCGGAAGAGGCGACGGCGAAATTCGTCAGGGAGATAAGACGTGTGACAATCATGGTGGCGGTAGTATTTTGTAATGGTAGGCGTGGTAGATGACAGCCGTATGTGTTGTTTTCTTAAAAGGAGGAGGTTTGTGTGTCTTTGGTGTCTTTGATGTCTGGTATGTCTCTTCTAGTATGTTTCGTCTGATATGAACGTTAGAACCGAAGCTGAGGAAAAGGAGTAAGAATACAGGATGCAAAATGGAACATACGGAAGAGTCTAGAGGCGAGGAGGGTAAATATATGTCGAGCAAAGAGCGTAGTGCGCCTTGGGAGCGCGTGGGATATCAAGTCTATAAGGCTTTCTTCTCTTATCCGTAAGGCTCTCTGTTTCTAAACTGTAATATCTACAAACTGGAATTCTTGGAGGGTACGGAGAAGGTATATCTAAAGGAAAAAGCAACAGGAAACGAGAGGAACAGAAAAAAAAGTGAGGAAATACGAGAATCACGATGCACCGAACCAAGGAGGAAAAATTTTGAAAAGGAAGGGAAGTTTCTGACTGTTTTAAGTCACCGGATGGCGGTTACTGACCCCTGTAGGATTTCATCATTTCTCGTCGAGGTTTTTCCCGACAAGACCCTTTCACCTCGGTCAAATTCTAACCCACGAGCATGGGAGCCGACTTCGACCCGACTTCGGCAGACTAGGTCCGAATGTGACTTGTTAATTATTGCGATACTGTTTCTAAGAAGGCCTTGTATCTGGATCGGGAAGCTCTGGCACCAATGGGCCACCAAGAAATGAAGAGATGCCATTTTTAGGGGTTTTAGGCTGCCAAAGTGGCCTGACAGGCTAACAAGTCACGCCACGTCCTTGAACTTGCCCCGGTTTAAACAAAAGCTTATTCGCCCTCCATTCTTTTAATTGGTGATTTACACCGATTTCTGAGAAGGATAAAAAAAAATGCAGGCACGGGTCGCGAGGTCTGAGCCTCTGGAGCCTTCTCTTTTTGTGCCTGTGTGCCTGCCTTCTAACTAACTAACTAAGCCCTTTGAACTTTTTTTTTTGAGGCAGCCCAGGGTCTTGCAGGATGTTGCAGGAGAGATAGGTAGAAACTGCGCAGGTGCAGTCTGCAACCTGCACTGCACCAGCACCAGGGAAAGAACAGGGGAGATAGTGAGCATGTGCAAGTGGGGACACCTCCCTTGAAACCAACGTGGATTTGGGTCTAGATTGTCTAAATTGAGGAAAGAATGTTCGGGAAAAGAGGGAACGAGAAAAAACAAAAAAGAAAAAGAAAGAGAGAGGTACGTAGTATGTACGTAGTAAAAGGGTTCCTGGTCCTTCCTGGTCCTTCCTGGTCCATCCAAGTCCATCCAAGCACATCCAGCCTTAATTCTCTTTAGTCATTAGGTAAGGGCCCCAATCATCCCGCAATTTGCCTCCTCCTCCACCATGAATGCTGCAGTCTGGACCCTCTTTGACCTTCTCTGACCCTCTAGACCCTAATAGTGGATTCGGCCCATGTTAAAATACCGGGGGGTCCACACACTGCCGGGTCCGGTCCGACTTATTTTCGGCTTGAAACCGGCTCCCGATCTAGACCGACGGCGGAAGGCCAAGATAGGAATGTTGCCAAAAGTCACCAGTCAGGCTAAATGCCAAGTCTTTGGGTATAAGTCACCAGGTTGACTCATTCGCCCGAATAAGTTGTTTGGAGGTTTGGAGGTTTCACTTAAACAAACAGGCGGCCCGTACTGGGGCCTGTGTTCCGGCACTTTGCTTATCATGCATTTCTCCAGCGCTATCTCCATGACGGCATTCAAGAGCGAACAATCGGAACCGGAGCCAACGTAGCAATTCAAGACTATGGGCTTACCACCATGAACCTATCCTGGCAACTTTGGCCGCATCATGATTATCGCAACATTAATCATTCAAATTGTTTCTCCAATCTCCAAATTATGTCCCTGGATATTATTCTATTATGATAATATTTCGGGATTTCCTAGTTGGGAACCGAGATGATCCCGAGCGCCCCGAGCAGGAAAAATAGGCTCCTTTAATATTAGAATTATTAAATTGGACCGATGTTTGGATATTTGGACTACGACGCCCCCTGTTGGACTGCGCTTGTTAAACATCCTGCCACTTGAACATTTTAGAGGGGTTATACGATGAGGCGTCTTCATCTCCAACTCGATCCTGCGAAAACAAAAAGGATGAACGAAAAAAAAGAGGATATTATCCAGACGGAAAAATATTATTTTTCTTGATAGATCGTGGCATCATCGCAGGCTGCATATTACGTAGCCTATCGGTAGGGTTCCCTGTCTTCAACCTGAAATTGCAGAGCACGGGCAATGATGTATCCACCCGGATCATAGGAGAAACGGTGGAGATGAATTCACGAAATAGATTAGACCACTAGGGCTCCCTGATGTGAGTGAGTTGCGGTACTTACTCTGTTGTCATTTTCCTACATCCTCGTGATCCCCAAGGGACTTTCCTGCCTTCCCTTTCCCACTAAGAAGACAAACATTATTCGCGCGTACAACTTAGCCATTTCACAAGCACGAGTCAGTACTGGACGGCGTCCTCAAAGCCTAACCCAGGCATCAACAACAATCGGAGCCGCCGCTCACTTGCCCCATATCGAATCAACATCACAGACGACGTTCGCAGGCCGCACGCCTTCAATATTTGTCTAGTGGCTGCCCAAATACCGGATGGCTTGACTTATCTGCCAGCCAACTTACCTCTCTTTTAATTCTTCATGTTCACATATGAGAACAAGAATGCAGCTACACAATACTACGTCACTTTCACTCTTTCCAAATCCGTACCCCAGATCGAAGCTAATTGGTTCTCGTATCTGCAGCAAACAGACCCGCAACGGGAGAGGCCCGCGTGGGCGTCCTGCCAACGGTAGCAAGCAACAGCGGTGTACATTGTGATAGCTGCCCGAACCCGAAGACAATCCGTCTGCGGTTCCAGCTCCGAATCGCAACCTCTTCGTAACTATCTACACATAGATAGCTACACATGACTACACAAGCAAACAAGTAAGTGAAGTGGGCTGCTGGCCCTAATTGACACGTGGAATGGAATGCAGGTACCGATTCGGCATCACCGAGTGTCTAGACTTCTTTTTCGATATTTCTTCATCTCGAGTTGGCAGCTACAATCGAGTTTCGTTCCCGTGCCCAAGACATAAAGACCCGCTTGAGAATTACTACTAGCTATGTAGTATATTCACTAGTTTTGGGAATATCAGAGTTTCTACTGGCCTCTTCTTAGTGGGGAGTTAGTAGAAAGGCTCGAGGAGGTATATTTGTGGGTTACGAACATACGTTTTTGTATTTCCTGCGCCGCACACATCTTTGATGGCTGGGGAAAGCAGCGTGTGTAATTCACTAGTATCAATACCTGAGTGCACTTAGCAACTGCCTAGCTGCTAATCAGTCATGTAAGGCTGCGTCAACGTGCATGGGTTACCAGGTTAGTACGGCGACCATCACATGCCGAGAAACTGGGGGAGCGAAGGCGGAAGCCCATCTTCCCCAGTTTGTACGTGCGCCAACAAGCTCTCGGCGCGTCGAACCCACTTGGGAATTTGTATGAAATAATATCCATTACGTTTTAGCATGGGCTGGGCGCCCGATCCAAGGGTTGGGGTCTTGGTCCCGGGGCTAGACTTCTAAAATGCCCGAAGAAAGGCTCTCCCCGTCTTGGTTTATGATTGCTTGGTTAACCTATCCGATATGGTAATAATTATCACACCTTAAGTTATATCAAGCCAAGGTCGCCACATCTGCCACTCACCTTGGCTGCCAAGTTGAAGGGAGCGATAACAGTCTGCATCCAAAGACCATCATTCCAAGTGCTTGCAGATGGGGCTTGATGAATTGGCCCTTCGTGTCAATGCCCAGCACTTCTGCTTGTCTAGGACGCTGGAAGCTATCCCCACGTGTCTCTTCACCGACAACGCAAGGAAAGAAAACAAAGCCTTGATGTCCGGCATGTGCTTACACACATGTGACGGACACGACTCTCGGCGAATTTATATCAGTCCCTCCCTTCCACATGCTCATCAACTCGGAAGGCCTCTCTAGCACTCTTAACAACTACGAGGTTGTCTACACCGAGGCTCCACAAGCCATTGCCTTCGTGAAGACCCCTGATCACGGGATCGCTCGTTATTCGCAACCGGTGCTGTGCGTCTTCATATCGTACCCACCTAAAAAGCTCAAACCGATGAGTAAATCCTAGGGGCACAGCTCCCGACTAGGTTAGGTAAATAGTTTCTATATTTGGGCTTGCGGAAAAGATGAGCTATTATCTGGTATATAATAGCTCGGTTGTATGGGAGATATAACGCCGATACGCGTGTTCAGAGTATATCACTAAAAAGACCGCGTTGTCGACTATACCCAATGAGGACGCGAGTGTGCGTGGCCAAGCATCAAATGCTCGATCCCTTGAAAATCAGATACGGTTGTATGGTTTGGCTTGTCGTGATAGCTTCAGGTCATAGATGCCTACTCGCGACGTACATACCTGCCTACTAGCTTACCTACCTACTGGCTAAGGTATACTCGCAACTTACCTCTTGACGTATTTCACGCGGCTTTGTATCACAACCTACGGATACACCTATCTATCTATACTAACCATGCAACAACATGCCTCGATGACATGATCAGTCAGTTATTACCAATGAAGTTGCACACTTACCTAAGCTACTAACGTTAGGTTAGTAGCTATTTACATCTTAAACCCCTCGGCTATCGTGAAACCTCGCATCGTCTCGATAGCCGACGGCGCCCCCGCAAAAACCGGTTCCAGGTTCCGAGGTCCTGCCTATCTACCTACCTGCTTACCTGTAAGTACCTGCGATGTCCTAGTAGTAAGTACCTCTAAAGCTACATACCTAGGTAACCTACAACTTGATGGTTCTACATAGGTATGTGGTATCTATCTAACCTGTAGTAGGAAGTATCACAAGAGGAAAAACCTAACGGCCCTAAATTTAGCTAAATAGCTGCGTAGGTTAGATATGTATGTATGTACGCAACCTACCTACAGTACATACATATATGTATGTACGACCTATCACTACAACGCATGTACATAGTTACTACCCAACTAACTAAACCTTGGAATACTTGCCCAGGTTAGTTGCCCTAAGATATTCCATGTACATACATGAACTGGTGTTCTAGACGCGTGGGGGGGGGAGGGAAGCTAGTTAGTCCCGAGGCTATTTATGTGCATACCTCTCCACCTCGGGTAAGTTAGTCAAGCTAACATGCATGTGTAGACCTGGGGAAAGCGGGTCGTCGATTTTTTTTTTTTTAAAAAAAAAAGAACTAGGTAGGCAACCTAGTTAAAGTGACAAGTGTATATACGACATAATGCTGGCATGACGTGACAGGCGATGCGATGACAGACATACATAACCTCGGGCATGTGGGGGGGTTGCCCTTCTTTTTTGAGGGGGGGTTTTCGCAACACAAAAGCAGGGACCCGAAACCAAGTGTGCTGTGCTGTGCTGTGCTGTGCAAGACATTGAAGGTGGCTACTCTACTAATAACTACCTGTAGATAGTCAGGTAGAGGGGGGTTGATTCGGGCTAGACTACCTAGGTACCTACCTACCTAACACAAACTCCCTCGAACTATTTTTTGAGGGTTCAAAATG